GCGGATGGGTAGACGTCGCGTAGCATTAGCCTAGAATGTCGATGTCACAATCAATATCAAGGTCAGAAAAAGGTGCAACGTACGCATGATAATGCCTTGTGCAAGTGGGATATAAGTGTGTTTCATTCTTGAAGCTTGAAGCCTTAGCCATGAGATGATACATACCTTCTGTTTGAGTTCAGATTTTTGTGCCTGACAGCGAGTGGGAGTCAAGTTGGTACTTACATCAGGTATGGATAGGAGATCTTCTAGGCCAGCTATTTTCAGGATGGTTTGAATGTCCCACACATATGCGATTTTATCACCACAACCTGTGGATAGCAGTTTTCCATCAGCGGACAAGGCTGCACACAAGACGTCCTCTTCGTGTTGGAGAGGCGAACCGACTTGGAGGTTTGTGTCCAGATTCCAAAGACGCGCTGTATCATCCCAAGATGTACTCGCAAGGAGGCGGTCGTTTGAAAATAAAGTGATGGAGCTGACAGGTTTTTTAGTGTGACCCTCCAGAACGGCGATTTGCTGCCACGTGGCAGTGTCGAAAATGCTAATTGAGCCATAGGTTGATCCGGAGATAAGCTTCTTTTCATCCGACGTCCAGGCTAAGCTGATTGAAGGTACATAGAAGTCGAATTTGATTTTGATCGTTTTGCATTTTGAAGGTCCCGTCTTTGGATCCCAGATTTCGATTCCGTTGTCTCCTCCTGTCGCAATCTTTGTTGCCTTGGGTGAGTAACTCACCACGTACACCGACTCCTCGTTTCCCGTTTTGATCGGATTCAAACCCCTGACAGGTTCTCCGCTCTTGACATCCCACACCTTTACCATCCCCAGGAAGAATCCGCTCGCCACTCGCTCACCATCTGGACTCCAGCACACTGACTTCACAGTAGTGGGCTCTTCCCATTTGGCAATGACCTTTCTTGTCTCAACATCCCACAAGCTCACTGTCCCATCCCGGCTTCCGCTGACAACAGTCTTGCCATTCGGAGACAATGCCATCGAGTCTACTCGTTCCTTACCCCCTTCACCTCGCCACTCGTCACCTATCTGTGCACCGCTCTCCAGGTCCCATAGTCGAAGTGAGCCCATCGAACATGTGATGATGCGCTGCCCGTCGGGCAGGTGCGCAATGCCGCCTATCCAGTTGGTATGGCCTCGTATCATCTTACGTGGCGTTATCACTGACGTCTTTTTCATGTTAGTGGCGGCGGAAGACATGGTGGGCGCTCGCAGATCTCAATCAAGGGAATCGTGGCCTATATGCGTGAGAGCACTGGTAGCCCGTTGGATATTTGGATTAGAGCGGGTTGTCTTGTAGGGATATAGATCGTGGGTAAGTTCACTAGCCTATCTGACTTTATGTCAATGGAAGTGCCTGGAGAGATCGCTCACGAGAGGTCCTATCCAGGGGGATTCAATCCCAGGGAAAACTGGACATGGCCAAAACGGTTGAGATCGAGCGGAATATGACGAATTTAGAAGCACAATATTTCAGTATAGGAGACTTGCTGTGGAGACAAATAGAATATTTCGCATCTGTTGCAATATTCTCGAATGTCGTAGGATATGCTAAGAATATTGTTATCATATTTCAGCATATTTCAGTTCAGTTCGTGTGGTACGACAAAATCGGTTGCATTCGGGTGAATTATGCTATAATCTACTGATACAAACGCTTCGACCTGCGACCGGCAAATACGATACAGGATGATAATGATAGAACCAGCACGACAGTGAGAAGCAGGCAAAACTCGACAGCAGCAAAAGAACAGGAGCGATGTGGACGGGCGAGGAATGAGACAAGCGAGCACAGGCAGCAACCAGCAGGTAACGGCAAAAGAACAGGAGTAATGTGGACAGGCGAGGAGTGAGACAAGCAAGCACAGGCAATTGGGAAGCAATCAGCAGGCAATGGCAAAAGAATAGGAATGATGTAGACAGGCGAGGAGCGGCAAGATAACGTGATGGGAGAGCATCCAGCAGCAAAAAAGGCATAGAACAAGAGTGAGGGAGGTGAGTAGTATACTGAAGACAACAGGACGGAGGGAAATCATGAGGCGGAGCTACTGTCGACAATAAGTACCCTTCCCGCTCCTAGTAAACACGAATGATCATAAAATAAGAGTTCGAGAGCTGAAACTTACCAGCTAGCGCTAAGTGGATCATAAGCCTGCAGAGACAATAAGTTAGTGCCATTTAAGAAAAGCAGTAACAACACGTATACCTGAATCCACGAGACCCGCATATTTGTGGAATCAGTGGAGGAAGGCAGTGGCAGGACTCCTAGCTGTTGGGAAGATGGTGGTAAGAAGAAAAGGGGAAATGGACTTTGCCGAAATTCCCCAAACATTTTTTAAACTTTGGGGCGTTGGTAGTTTCAAAACTCACCCAAACTATGTGATCGGAATTCGAGTGGAGCTTTGCAGAGTAAGTAAGCTGTGTGGACGTGTGAATGCAAAGTAGTGATCGAGACATGGACGGAGTGATGTAAGATTGACGTGAACAAATTGTGTGTGTTGACGAAAACACGCTCGACGACGTGACCAACACAATATTGCAAATCGACAACAATGTAATGTTTTTGCCATGCGATGCGCAGACGATCGTGTCGTTGAAGATTATACAATATTATAGCATAAATTATATGTCTAAACAATATTTCACACTATCCTGGCCGTTTTGGCCATGTCCAGTTTTCACTGGGATTCAATCCTGACTCACAGCACAGCTTCGGAACGATATATCCCTCAATACTTGTCAGTGAGTGATCTTATCTTTTCCTCACTTCAGATTTTCCCTACTCGCAACAACCAGAGTATCACTCACGACAAAGCCCCACTTGGAACAATCTGACACAGGTTCACTCCACGCAAGAACGAGGGGCGGGCTGGTAGCTGAGATAGTAGAGGTTTGCTTTGGTTTCGAGAGAGTGTCGCGCAAGTGTTTGTTCAAGTCGCCTGGGTTCGTATCCCGTGCGTTATCTTCCACAGCTTTACAGTGCTGTGCAGACGAAGCGCCACGTGCGTCTCCCCATCTCTATTTGGCCCTTGATAGTCCGATGCATCTCCGCTTCCTCCACTTTTTTTACCAGCCTGCCTATGTCGTACCCTACTCAGAGGACGGTGTTGCACGCTTCTCTATATTGTGCCCAGGACGTCTACGATATCTGTGGTGCAATGGTGAGAAGGTGCGTTTTCCAGACCCACACAAATTTGTACGCTCGAAGTCAGCCTAAGTGTACATGAATTGACGCTGTCGTTCTGTTACGGGGGCCGTTGCCGGTAAGTTAGCAACACTGTCCCCATCAACCCATCTGATGTCCATAGATGTGGATGAAGTATTGTTCGATCCTTACAACGTCGGGACAATGTATGCAGGAATTGTCCACTCCTGCGTCCAATCTTCGCAGAGATTCGTTACGACGATATCTCTTTCTCACCTCAACTTTTTCTGGACGTCGGAAGTGTCCACATATCACTCACGACACGTACCACTCAAGAAACCTTGACAGTCACTCTATCGAAGAACGAGAGCGGCTATTAGATAGCTGAGATGTTTGGCCTTTAGGATTTGCTAGGCAAGTTTTTGCTGTTTTATCGCGCAATGACTAGGAGAAATATTAGAGTCGCACACAATAAATGGCATTAGCGTCTCTTTTCATAACCACACTCGCCATCGCAGAACATCGCAGAGCTCTTTTTTCGCCTCGCCACTTCGTTTGGACCACCGCAGTGACCGCACGCTATCTCATATGGCAATCGGAAGGCTGGACATTCACCCTCGCAACTCACTTCACTTCTCTTGGGTGATCCATGAATGGGGTTGGAGGGCGCTGTGTTTTTTCACCCGGACGCTTAGCATCGCTCCATAGTAGCATCCTTGATTTGGTAGCGCAATTCAATATATTTATTTGTTATTACGGGGTCTTGATGACTACTGACGGGCGTCCTAGCATAGCGATGTCCGAACATTCGTTCAGTTGTCTACCAGGATGCATTCCAGCCATCTCATGTACCTGCTGAAACGCCCGAGCAAAGGCAAGATCCAGGGAAGATATATTGCTCTCGCCAAGGCCGTAACGATGTGTATCTCGTGAACGGAACGTAAAGAGGTATTGTGAAGAAATTTGGAGGCGGATTGGATACAACGCCAGGCCCAACATAAATATGCCTATGAATTAGCAAGGTAAGTACGTGATTCCTCCCTTGAAAAAAATTGCAAGTCTCACGTTTCCACACTTCTCCACAGATCAAGGAAACACATATCATGTCGGAATGCTTGTTTCTATGGGATGGGCAGAAAGAAGGATTGGCGTCGAGAAAACAATTTGACGAGCTGGCTAATTTGTTTGATCTCAAGTCATAGCGAAGGCAAGGGAGGTGGGAGATACATTACCCTCACCAAGTCCTGTTCACGATGACGCGACCATTCCCTATTGCCTCACATCGTCTTGTGGGACTTCGCCACTGGCGTCTTTAGCCAAGCTCCAAGTTGCCCATTCACAAATTTTGTAAGTTAGCATCGAGCGAGTAGCTTGTATACCGACTTGACAATGTCACGTCTGGATTACGCAGCAGGAATGTTATGACAGCAGCCTTGCAGTTGTCCATCCAATACAGCACCGCCTCTATGGAGGCCTATATTTCCCAAGACAAAAGTAGTTAGATCTTTTGGGCGACTCGGATGTCGAATGAACGAGCGAGTAGCGGATTGTGTCACATACTTCAATGTATATAGGAGTCTGAAATTTGTGGGCAATGGTCAGCTCGAGGGCTCAAGTCTGGATGACAGTGTCCGGCGTGTCTGAAAATACTGATTGATATGTAAATTCACACCGCATCGAGTCCTCCGAATCCAAGCCAGATAACACCCACCAGCTGTGCAAACTTGACAGATGAATTAGGATGAGATAGGTTATTGATGGTATAGCAAAAGATACATTACAACACGATAACAAAACAGAGGAACTAGATATCAAGATTGTCTGTGCGCTATGTCCATTAATGACTACCATCGGTGGAAGGAGATGCACAGCAGAGGAACAACACAACACGAACCCACCATTTCGGGTTCTTGATGCGTTTTGCCTTATCGCTAGCTCGTTCCGGTCGTCGAGCAGTATACAGTGCCTGTAGAGAGAACTTGAGGTGCCATCCATTGAGAACACACCCCCAAAAAGACATACCTTCTTGTCATCTAGTGCAGGAACTTCGACAACAGGAGGACTGCGACGAGAGGAGGTACTGGGCCCCGGGCGTTGCTGAGATTTGATTGGTTCATCAGCGTTGGATTGGGAACGGCGGAAGAGTTCAGGAAGGCGAGCGAGGAGCGCACGTGGACGCGATCCCCAGGATAGTGCAAAAGTATGGCGGCGGCGACGTAGAGAGGGATCAGGATGGACACGGCTGGTAGTGGACGCCTAACAAAATGGAAGTCAGAAAGCAGGGCAAATTGAGACGGGGGTAACGCACAGGATCACGGCCTTGTACGTTATCGAAAAAGCCTGCTGGCACTTGACGGATGGGTGGACGTCGCATAGCATTAGCCTAGAATGTCGATGTCACAATCAATATCAAGGTTAGAAAAGGGTACAACGTACACCTGATAACGACTTGTGCGAGTAAGACATTAGCGTGTTTCATTCTTGAAAAATCACAAGATGGGTACCTTCTTTTTGAGTTTAGATTTTTGTGCCTGACATTCATTGGGAATGTTAATGAGATAGCGAGTGGGAGTCAAGTTGGTACTAACATCAGGTATGGACAGGAGGTCTTCTAGGCCAGCTGTTTTGAGGATGGCTCGAACGTCCCATACGTACGCGTTTTCATTATCACCCGTGGATAGCAGCTTTCCATCAGTGGAAAAGGCCGCACAATAAACTTCGTTTTTGTGTTGGAGAGGTGGTCCGACTTGGAGGTTTGTGTCCAAATTCCAGAGACGTGTTGTTTTATCCCATGATGTACTTGCAAGGAGGCGGTCGTTCGAAAATAAAGTGAGGGAGGTGACAACTGTGCCAGTGTGACCCTTCAGATCGGCCATCTGCTGCCATGTGGCAGTGTCGAATATCCTAATCCCATCGATCCCCAACCCGGCGATGAGCTTCTTTTCATCCGATGTCCAGGTCAGGCTCCAAATGTTGTCATAAGGTGCTCCGATTGTCACGGTGTTGAGCAGCTTGCCTGTCTCAATATTTGCATCCCAGATCTCGATTCCATTTTCCTTGTATCCTCCTATCGCAATCATTGTTGCCTCGGGTGAGTAACTCACCGCGTACACCGACTCGTATCCCGTCTTGATTGGATTCAAACCTTTGACAGGTTTTCCACTCTTGACATCCCACACCCCTACCGTCCCATCCCAAGATCCGCTCACCACTCGCTCACCATCTGGACTCCAGCACACCGACTGCACCCATTCATTGTGCACTTCCCAAAATTTGGCGACGACCTTTCCTGTCTCAATGTCCCACACCCTCACCGTCCCGGCATAGCTTCCGCTTGTAAGAGTCTTGCCGTTTGGAGATAATGCCATCGTTATTCCTCCCGCCATATCTCCTTCATCTCGCCACTCGTCACCTATCTGTGTACTGCTCTCTAGGTCCCATAGTCGAAGTGAGCCGTCAGATGAACATGTGATACTGCGCTGCCCGCCGGGCAGGTGCGCAATGCCGGTTACCCAGCTGGTATGGCCCCGCATCGTCTTGTGGGGGGTTATTACTGACGTCTTTTTTATCTCAGCAGCAGGAGAAGACATGGTGGGTGCTCGAAGATCTCAATCAAGAGAATCGTGGCCTGTATGTGCGAAAGCAGCTCGTTGGATCCTTGGATTAGAGCGGATTGTCTTGTGGGGGTATAGATCGTGATTTAGTTCACTGGCCTATCTGCTTTCACCTGAGTTTATGTCGATAGAAGCGCATAGAGGGGTTACTCACGAGAAGTCCTATCTAAGTGGAATTCAATCCTCACAAGGCAGCTTCGAGATGATATATGCAGGAGATATCCCTCAATACCGGTCGGTGAGTAGTCCTATCTTTCCTCACTTCAGCTTCTCTTACTCGAAACAATCAGAGCATCACTCACGAGTCACGACAAAGTCTCACTCGGAACAATTTGACACAGGTTCACTCCACGCAAGAACGAGAGGGGTGTGCTGGTAGCTGAGATAGTTTGGTGTCAAGAGAGTTGCGCAATTGTTTGTTCAAGTCGTCGGCCAAGGTGCGTATCCTGTGCGTTATCCTAGTGTTCTCTCCACAGCTTCACAGTGCTGTGCAGACGCAGCGTCACGTGCGCCTCCCTATCTTTATTTGGCCCTTGATGGTCCGATGCATCTCCGCTTTCTCCACTTTTTTACCAGCCTGTCTATGTCGGACCCTACTCGGAGCAGGTGTCGCACACTTCTCTGTGTTGCGCTCAAGACATCGAATGTATTTGTGGTGCAGCCACATCTTCCTGACCCACTAATTTGTACATATTGCTCCAAGTCAGTCCATTTGTACAAATTGGGGCTGTCGTTCTGCTGCGGAGGCTGTTGCCGGTAAGTTACCGACATTGTCCCCATCAACTCGTTCGATGTCCATAGACGTGGATGAAGTATTGTTTAATCCTGACAACGTCAGGACTGTATGCAGGAATCGTGCGCTCCTGCGTTCCTCCAACCTTCGCAGGGGGTCGTTACGACGATCCAAGATGTTATCTCTTTCCCACCTCAACTTTTCCTGGACGTTGGAAGTGTCCACATGTCACTCACGACACGAACCACCCAAGAGATCTCGACAGTCTCACCGTATCGGAGAATGAGAGCGGCTATTGGATAGCCGAGATATCATTTGGTTTGGCCTTCAGGATTTTTAGGCAAGTTTTGCTCCTTTATCGCGCAATGACTCGGGGAAGTATTAGAGCCGTCAGGCGCACAATAAATGGTGCTGGCGTCTCTTTTCATAGCCATGCTAACCATCGCAGAACATTACTGAGCTCTTCCTTTTTCCGCCTCACCACTCCCTTTGAACCACCGCACGCTATCTCATATGGCAATCGGAAGGCGGGACATTCACCCTCGCAACTCACTTCACTTCTCTTGAGTGATCCACGAATGGGGCTGGAGAGCGCTATTTTTTTCACCCGGATGCTGAGCATTGCTGTATAGTAGCATCCTTGATTTGGTAGTGCAATCCAATATATCTATTTGTTATTACGGGACTTGTTGACTACGTCCTAGCAAAGCATTCGTTGATGTCTACCAAAGTGTGTATTCCATCTATCTCACCTACTTGCTGAAACACCCGAGCAAAGACAAGGATCACGGGAGATATATTGCTCTCGCTGAGGCTGTAACGATGCACATTTTTCGTGACCGGAACGTACAGAAGTATTGTGAAGAAATATGGAGGCGGGTTGGATACAACGCCCTAACACAAATATGCATATGAATTGGCAAGGTAAGTACGTGGTTCCTCCCTTGAAACAAATTGCAAGTCTCACGTTTCCACGCTTCTCCGCAGGTCGAGGAAACATGTATCGTGTCAGAATGCTTGTTTCTATGGGGTGGGCAGAAGGTGTGATTGGCTTCGAGAAAGCAATTTGACGAGCTCGCTAGTTTGTTTAATCTCAAGTCATAACGAAGGCAAGGGGGGTGGGAGATACATTACTCTCACCAAGTTCTATCCACGAAGACGCGTCACTAATGAATGGAAGATTATGAGTGTTGTGTCTTTCAGCTATGCATACAAAGTGCCAGCGAGTGGGTGATCTTGTCATCTCATGTCGTGCCATCATCTAGATCACTTCAGAGCACAAAAAACAAAAAAAGGATTGCCTGCCGAACTCCTCGCATTGTGTATAAATATCGAGCCAACGCAAGGAACTCACCGCGAGGCGATGCCAACAGCTTCACAGCTCGATCCGTGCATGTTCGCTCAGGTTTGAGATACCTTCATGTGTATCATTTCACTGGAGGAGCATCGCTCTCATAAAGTCCACGAAGATGTATATCAGAGTCATTGATAAACGGAATGTCATGAATGTCATGAACAGACACGGAGGCGGATTTGAATCATTTGATACGACACCTTAGCACAAAAAGATGGAGATGAATTAGACGAGGTGCATGATTCATCTAGTCTCTTGGAGGGAATGATGAGTATTTGATGATAGCCATTTGGCCGTCCTCGGCCCGAAACGCAGCGAGGCCAAAGAACTATGACTTCGGATTAGTGCACTAGGCAGACCACTTCCAGCACCCAGCGCTGCAGACCACTGTCTCCTAAGATAAAGCGCTGGTAGGTAGGGCATCGAGAAGCTAGCAAAGCAGTAGGGTAGCAGTTTCGAGCAAGCGAAAGCTCTCGTCAGGGGGCTACCGCTGCCCCGACTGCTTGTACTTCTAGTTCTATGTAGGAAGCTCCCTTCTAAGCCTGTCGAGTGGGAGTAAGTGGTCCGCGCATGAAATACCTTCCTAGCATGGTGTAGGCAAAGCAATCTGCCGTTCGAACCTATGACCCACCCGTGGAAAGGTTCAGCTGATGGGATATATTTATTCGCGGGCCTGAGATCTTGTGCCCAGAGCCATTAGCCCCTGTGAGCAAATAAGGAAGCAACGATAACGGCGAGGAAGGAGAAATGCATTGTTGTACGAGTTGACGGATCTGCTGGGGTTATCTCGAATAATGACTCTGAGGATGGGGGGACAGAGTATGAAGACGGCTTACTTTTATATCCTGAATGTAGTAACGGAGAATTCAAGAGTTCCTTTCTGTTTGGAAGAATGGTTATCGCTGTTGAATGGCACGAATTTAGGCAGAACCCACAGGCTACAAGCTACTTCATGATCAGTGATGGCTTGGCTGGAATGAATGACGCAAACTGCATCTCAGCGAGCAGATGATACAATGTCCGCCGATGCTCTGTCATGTCCGAGTCGAAGCGCAGTTTGAAATTGTAAGACTTTATCCTGAACGGAATCACCGTCTTAAATTGGGGAATGAGCAAACTCGTACAAAAACGCAGTTAGGGCCACTCGAATGCAGTATGAACGAGTCAGCACATGAATTGTTCCGCATTCTTCGACGCATGGTCAAGAATCTTGGTCGAATTAATGAGAGTCGCTACTGGATCCCAGATATGGTGGACGATAGGTTACGGTTCGATTTGCCGATTTGCCGCGACTTATTTGAAAGTCCGCGCGGTGTTTATTCTAGTATTACAAGCATACCTAGGCATACATACAAACTTGTGTCACATTAATGCAACGTGCATTACCTTACTTGCAGACCGCTGCCCAAACTTGAGATGGGACCCTGGCCTGATGAAAGAGTGATAACAGGGAGCAGCAGCTATACCTGATCTTTCTCTGGGCTATACTAATACTAGTATCATACTAGTAGTGACTCAGATGCCGCAGAGGCAAATCAAATCGAGGCGACGATTATTTGTAAGTTACTAATACACGACCAGCAGATATCTACAATTGTAAGAACAGACTCGGAGCGTTTGATCCCGCGGAACCAATTCGCGTCGACGCCATGCAATGCGCGCTCCATCCGAACCCCTCTTCTGCTCCACTTTGGCTCAGGCATGTACTCCACTTCAGCTCCTTTGTGTCAATGATTATAGTCAGCATCTGTCACGAGCTCGACGTGGGCGCCGTTTAAACCTGTGTTGGGTCAACGAACCACATGGTTTTATCGATGGGTCGAGGCTGAACGTTGCATCGCACACTGGACACTGTGGCGAGAATACTTCGGAGATTGCACGGGCACCGCGCCCAAATCATATGCAGCATTCAAAAATTCTTCGCGAGTCACTGCGTTGCAATCTCACCAACAACTTTTACCTCGATCCCATTAGTATCCCTGGATGCACATTGTCTTTGCACTGGAATTTGGGCTGAAACACTTCGATCAATCAGATATCATTCCTCAAATCTCACTTTGGCAATGTAAACACTGTATTGTGGTATATCAAGCACAAATGCGGTCCACCAAGTTCCTCCGCTCGATCTTCTAATAGCATGGTAGTATGGTCCTAATCTCAAATGATCCCAGTTGGTGGCCACTTATCAATGCGAGTCTTATTGACAGCTATTTTGTAGGTTCGTGGAGAGTCAGCCGCATGATGACGGTGACGATTCAATTCACCTTGACTCTAATTTCGTCACACAGGATGTACATGCTGGGTGTGTATCCTCGCATAGACTCTGTTTCTTTCTTGTGATGGGCAGCATACAGTCAGTGTTCCAACAATTTCGGCGACTGGCGCGGCAGTGAGCATTCCACACCGATATCTTCCATTCTTGTCCAACAACTGAACTACCATGCAGGGGTGAGTGAAATTCTCGAACAAAACTCGTTGATTCAACATAACGACTCCCACAGTTGTGAGTTTGTTTCAGAGTCTGTGATCTTCCGAAACTGATAACCAATGTTACTGGATTTGTCAGGCCTTATCATCTACGACACACTTAATTGGATGGGTGAGGTTGTAAATGTAATACTGGGCGGTGAGCTATACACCTCCATGACATTTGACTTGACTGAAATATCATGCAAGTCATCATGATCGCTCGGTTGCATGCCATGTATCAGAGATCTAGAAAGGTGCTGACATTGCGAGGTGAGCTCATAATGTCAATGTGGTTTCTCTTTTTCCGCCAAGGTTTTCGCATGCTAGTTTTTTGGTTATCTCTTGCCTCCAGATCGGTTTCTTCTTTTCGACACTCTCAGCGGTATGCCGATCCGTTGACGACCTCTACATGCGACCATGATTCATCATTTCTATAGGACATATATTCCCTGGACCCTCAGATTTATCTTGGTCTCGCTGAGATATTCCAGGTCGTGCAGATGTTTGTGCTAGGACCACGCCTCATCCTCGGTGTTGGAGAATATCACGCTGAGCTCGTGGCCAACTCTAATACAGCAACCGCAATGACTTCAATTGCTTTTCAGGAGCGCGTCCATCAGACGGTCCATGTATCAAATAGCAGTAGTGTGTAGCGCAGGAGATGCTCGATATGATTTATTTGCGGGTGCAGGGAGCGGGAAAATGCACATTTACTGTGAGGTTGTTCATTCAAAGCGGCTTGCCACTTCAGGAACGAGAACAACGGACATGGATGAGGGTGATGGAGGTTAAATTGACAAAACCCATCAAAAACGAGGTGCCACAGCACCCTCCGGTTCATCAATGACCATAGTACCAACTACGAGTGAGACGAACGAATGGCATCGGTATCATATGCATGCTTAATGCGGCAAGCATAGTTCTTTGGCCCAGCCTGTCACGGTCCGCCTCAGAATCCAGAAAACCGAAGCCTGAAATTTCAATCCGAAGGAACGAGAAGACAAATCTCACCACATATTAGCCTTCAGTGCTGCAGTTCAAAATACCAAGTACCGAGTGAGCTAGCTCATCATGTGAAGTTGTTCAATGCTTTCAACTTTGATAAATGCATCATATACGCAGATGGCAGCAACAAAGCAAGTGCATAGTAAGTTAGTGTAAATACACCTCACGTCGCAGCAGCTACCGCGACAGTTGCAACATTTTCACGATGCCCGCGTCCAAGTTAATCGCATTGGCAAAGACTCGACGGTTAGGCGGCTTACTACGGCCTTGCAAGGGTGTGACAGTCTCACAGGTGCTTGTTTCCGCATGCTGCACTTGCAAGAGGCGAGAGGTCAGCGAGAGGTTGTGGGAGTTGCGTGAGGCGCTTGCAGGTCAACCGGTCATCTGCAGCGTTCTGCAAGCAAGGAATGCACTGAGTGTGACACGAATTTACTGGTATACCTAGGTATATTTGTAATACTAGAATAAACTTCGATCGGACTTCCAAATAAGTCGCGGCAAATCGGCAAATCAAACCGTAACCTATCGTCCACCATACCCAGAAATTAATAGAGCGTCAAGAATTTACCCGACGTACTGGTAACCTTGCTCGTGGATGAATCGAGATGCCGATGACGGTATATACGGAGTTCTTAGGTCTTGCGCCAGTGTTCCAGAAAGTCGACAGTCGCGCAGAAATTGGAATAGCCATGCAACAAGTGATCGCCGACCGAAGCCTCAAACACCAGTAATCCGAGAATCAGCTGCAGCCGTCCTCCAGCCTGAGTGTTCGGCACGTGTCTAAAATGATGTCAGTTGATATCACGCTGATCTTCCAGCCTCCTGCAGGCTATATAAACAATCCTCACCGACTGGTGCATGCTATCGCTTGACAGACGAGTTGGATGTGATACGTCGATGGTCGGGAATCTGGCCACTCTGGGGCTACCATTCCCTACGCCTTGCATCGTCTTGTGGGGAGTGGCTACTGACATCTTTAGCCAAGCCCAAGTTGTTCATTCGCAAATTTTGTGAGTTAGCATCGGGCAAGTAGCTTGTACCAACTTGAATTGTATCCCATCTGGATTACGTAGCGGTAATGTTGTGACACCAGCCTTCCAGTTGTTCATCCAATACTAGATCTTTTGGGTGACTCGGATGTCGTATGAACGAGCGAGTAGCAGATTGTCTCACATACTTCAATGTATATAGGAGTCTAGTGGTCGAAATTAGTGGGCAAGAGTCAGCTCAAAGGCTTAGGTCTGGATGCTAGTGTCCAGCGTACCTGAAAAGTATTGATTGATATGTAAGTTCACGCCCCACGGAGTCCTCCGGATTCAGGCTAGATAGCACTCACCAGCTGTGCAAACTTGACGAACGAATTAGGATGCGAGAGGTCAATGAATGTTATTGATGATATGGCGAAAGATACATTACAACAAGATAAAACAAACGGAGGAATTAGTAGATATGAAGATCGACCATGTGCTGCGTCCATCAATGGACACTATCAGTAGAAGGAGATACACAGCAGAGAAACAACACAATACGAGCCCACCATACGGGGTTCTTGATGCGTTTTACCTTGTAGCTAGCTCGTTCCGGCCGCCGAGCAGTATACAGTGCCTGCAGAGATAACTTGAGGTGCCAGTCGTTGAGAACACACCCAAAAAAGATGTACCTTCTTGTCATCTAGTGCAGGGACTTCGACAACAGGAGGACTGCGACGAGAGGAGGTACTGGGCCCTGGGTGCTGCTGAGATTCGATTGGTTCATCAGCGCTGGGTTGGAAATAGTGGAAGAGTTGGGGAAGGCGAGTGGGGAGCGCAGGTGGATACGATCCCCAGGATAGTCCAAAAGTAAGGCGGCGGCGACGTAGAGAAGGATCAGAATGGAGACGGCTGGTAGAGGATGACTAACAACATGGAAGTCAGAAAGCAGGGAAATTTGAGATGGCGGCAACGCACAGGATCACGGCCTTGCACGTTCTTGAAAAAGCCTTCTGGCACTCGACGGGAGGCTGGTTGGTTGGTTGGATGTTGTGTAGCATTAGCCTAGAATGTCGATGTCACAATCAATATGAAGGTGAAAAAAGACACGACGTACACCTGATAACAACTGGTGCAAGTAGGACATTAGCGTGTTTCATTCTTAAAAAGTCACAAGATGATACATACCTTCTTTTTGAGTTCAGATTTTTGTGCCTGACGGTGATTGGGAATGAGATAGCGAGTGGGAGTCAAGTTGGTACTTACAGGTATGGATAGGAGGGCTTCTAGGCCAGCTGCATTGAGGATGGCTTGAATGTCCCACACGTACGCGTTTTTATCAGCACAAGCTGCGGATAGCAGCATTCCATCAGCGGAAAAGGCCGCACACTCGACGTGGTCTTCATGCTGGAGAAGTAGTCCGACTTGGAGGTTTGTGTCAAGATTCCAGAGACGTGCTGTATCATCCCGTGATGCACTCGTAAGGAGACGGTCGTTCGGAAATAAAGTGAGGGAGTATACAGCATCTGTGTGACCCTCCAGAACGGCGATCTGCTGCCATGTGGCAGTGTCGAATATCCTAATCGAGCCGTCAGTCAAACCGGAGATAAGCTTCTTTTCATCGGATGTCCAGGTTAAGCTCCAAGCTGTCCAATTGGGTTTGATTTTTGAGAGCAGCTTGCCTGTCTCAATATTTGCGTCCCAGATTTTGATTCCACCCTCGCTGTATCCGCATGTCGCAATCATTGTTGCCTCGGGTGAGTAACTTGCCGTGTACATGTGCTGGTGCCCCGTCTTGATTGGGTTCAGACCCCGAACGGGTCTACCGCTCTTGACATGCCACATTCTTGCCGTCCCGTCGTGTGATCCGCTCACCAGTCGCTCACCATCTGTACTCCAGCACACCGACTCCATCCAGTAAGTGTGCTCTTCCCATTTGGCGATGACCTTTCCTGTCTCAATACCCCACACCCTCACCGTCCCGTCAAGGCTTCCGCTTGCAAGAGTCTTGCCGTTTGGAGATAATGCCATCGTTATTACTCCCGCCATATCCCCTTCATCTCGCCACTCGTCACCTATTTGTGCGCCGCTCTCTAGGTCCCATAGTCGAAGTGAGCCATCTAATGAACATGTGATGATGCGCTGCCCGCCGCGCAGGTGCGCAACGCCGGATACCTGATTGGTATGGCCTCGCATCGTCTTATTGGGGGTTACTGCTGACACCTTTGTCATCTCAGCAGGAGGAGAAACTACGGTGGCGCAGATTGGGCGAGTTCACTGGTCTATCTGCTTTAACCTGAGTTCATGTCAATAGAAGTGCCTGGGGGGATTGCTCACGAGAAGCCCTATCCAGGCAGATTCAACTCTGACTTATAGGACAGCTTCGGGACGATATATGCAGGAGATATCCCTCAGGACCGGCCAGTGAGTGGCCCTATCGTTTCCTCGCTTCAACTTTTCCAACGCAAAACAATTAGTGTATCACTCACGCAAGCCCCACTTGGAAAAATCTGACACAGATTCACTCCACACAAGAACGCAAGGGGTGTGATAGTAGCTGAGATAGTGGATGTTGGGGTCGAACGGGTTGCACGAGTGTTGGTTCAAGTTGCCTACTAAGGTACGTATCCGTTATCCTCCTGTCTCCACAGCTTCACGGTGCTGTGCAGACCAAGCGCTACATGCGTCTCCTTATCTTTACTTGGCCCTTGATGGTCCGATACATCTCCGCTTTCTCTCCGTTTTCTACCAGCCTGTCTATGTCGGACCCTGCTCAGGACGCCAATTGTATTTATGGTGCAATGGGGAGCAAGCGCATTATTCAGACCCACGCACTAAGTTGTAAGTCAGTCCAGGTGTACACGAATTGGCGCTATCGTTCTGTTGCGGAGGCTGTTGCCGGTAAGTTAGCAACGTTGTCTCCATCAATCCATCCGATGTCCATAGACGTGCATGAAACATTGTCCGATCCTGCCAACGTCAGGACAGTGTATGCAAGAATAGCTCACTCCTGTGTACCTCCAAACTTCGCAGGAGTGGTTACGACAATCCAGTGTAAGCACGCCGGCTTACCTGAGTTCCCATAATCAGTACATATACTGTCGCTGATGCTGAAAGCTAAGCTTTCAGTATTTCACCTTTTGGTGTAACGGTTATGCGGGCGGCAGTCTGACCATGTTACATCCAGGCGGCTATCTTTTTCTCACCTTGACTTTTCCTAGACGTTGGAAGTGTTCACATGTCACTCACGATACGTACTACTCAAGAGAACTTGACAGTCTCACTCTATCGAAGAATGAGATCGGCTATTAGACAGCTGAGATATCATTTAATTTGGCCTTTAGGATTTGCTGCTTTATCGCGCAATGACTTGGATAAGTATTAGAGTCGTCGGGCACGTAATAAATGGCATCAGCATCTCTTTTTATAACCATGCTCGCCATCGCAGAACATCGCCGAGCTCTTTTTTCCCCGCCTCGCCACTTCCTTTGGACCACCACGTTATCTCATATGGGCCGGATGCTCACCTTCGCAACTGGCATCACTTCTCTTAGGTGATCTACGAATGGGGCTAGAGAGCGCTGTGTTTTTTCACCCGGATGCTTGGCATTGCTCCATAGTAGCATCCTTGATCTGGTGGCGCAATCCAATATATCTATTTGGTATTACGGGGACTTGTTGACTACTGACAGACGTCCTAGCTTAGCGACACCCGAACATTCGTTGAGTTGTCTATCACAGTGTGTATTCCATCTATCTTATGTACTTACTAAAACGCCCGAGCAAAGGCAAGGTCCACGGAAGATATATTGCTTTTGCTAAGGCCGCAACGATACACATCCCACGTGAACGGAACGTAAAGAAGTATTGTGAAGAAATATCGAGGTGGATTGACGCAATTATGCATATGAGTTGGCAAGGTAAATATGTGATTCCCCCTTGAAGAAAATTGCAAGTCTCACCCATGTTCATTTTCACTCTTCTCCACAGATTGAGGAAATACGTATCGTGTCAGAATGCCTGTTTCTATGGGGTGGGCGGAAGGCAGGATTGGCGTCGAGAAAACAATTTGACGAGTTGGCTAATTCGTCTAGTCTGGAGTCATAGCGAAGGCCAGGGAGGTGGGAGATACATCACTCTTACCAAGTCCTGTCCACGAAGACGCATCACTAATGAATGGAGGATTAAGAGTTTCGTGTTTTTCAGCTATGCACACAAATACCTAGCGAGTGGGTGATCTTGTCATCTTGTGTCGTGCCATTACTTCAGAGCAGAGGAAACGGAAACAAGGGTTGCCTGCTGAACTCCTCGCTACATTGCATAAAATCGAGCCAACACAAGGAACTCGCCGCAAAACGATGCCAGCAGCTTCACAGCTCGATCCAAGCATGTTCGCTCAGGTTTGGAACCACAGTTTCACTGGAGAAGGAAGTAACAGCATGGTTCTTCCTCTGATGGACGAGGCGTCAAGAAAGCAAGTCGTTTATGACGTTCCTAATAAGCCGTTTAAAGTGAAGAGTCAAAGTAAAGGCAAAGGAGAGAGAGATGCATTACTCTCACCAAGTCCACAAAGATGCACATCCGAGTCGTTGATGAACGGAAAGTCATGAATGCCATGAAGAGACACGGAGGCGGATATTCGTTTAATCTCAAGTCATAACGAAAGCAAGGGATGTGGGAGGCACATTACTCTCACCAAGTCCTGTCCACGAAGACTCGTCGCTAATGAATGGAAGATTAAGAGTGTAGTGTCTTTTTAGCTATGCACACACAGGGCCAGCGAGTGGGTGATCTTGTCATCTTGTGTCGAGCCACCTTTCTGGATTTATTGAGATCTGCTGAATATTTGTTCTTGTGAAACATGAGTAGTAGGATATAAAAGTACATACTTATAATGAGATAGAATTACAATTCCTATGTGGAATACCATAACGAAAGTAAATGCCTATGTGCCACGATGACCATTATCAGTACCCATAACACAAATCCCCAGAGTTCGCGTCTCGACTCCAGCCACACATTTCAGCACTAAATACCGAGTACTTATGCATGACGATACAAGAGCTAGAATGCCGAGACAAGGACAGTCGTTTATGTACTGGGATCATGTTGAGCGCCGTTGGTACCGGAAGACACGCAGCAGAGAAAAAACACCACGCGAACCCACCATTTAGGGTTCTTGATGCGTTTCGCCTTGTCGCTAGTTCGTTCTGGTCGCCGAGCAGTATATATCGACTGTAAAAAAAAGTTTGAGAAACCAGCTGCCGGGTACACATCCAAAAAACGTACCTTCTTGTCATCTAGGGCAGAAACTTCGACAACAGGAGGACTGCAACGAGAGGAAGTACGAGGTCCTTGGCGTTGCCGAAGTTCAATTGGTTCATCGGTGTTAGGTTGGGAACGGTGGAAGAGTGAGAGAAGGCGGGCGAGGAGTACACGTGGACGTGATCCCCAGGAGGAGGGTGCAAAAGCACTACGCCGGCGATGTAGAGTGGGATCAGGATGAAGACGGCTAGTAGTGGTGGACTAAAATATATAAATCAGAACAAGAACTGTAGGTGAATGGTGTAACGCACGGGATTAGGGTCTTTCACATTATCGAAAAAGCCCGGTGGCAGGGCTGGACGTCGCGTAGCATTAGTCTGGGATGTCGATGTCACAATCAATATCAAGGTCAGAAAAAGGCACAACGTACGCCTGATAACGACTTGTGAGAGTAGGACGTAAGCGTGTTTTATTCTTTAAAAGCCACTCGAGATGATGCATACCTTCTTTTTGAATTCAGATTTTTGTGCCTGAAAGCCATTGGGAATGAGATAGCGAGTGGGAGTGAAGTTGGCACTCACACCAGGTATGGATAAGAGGTCTTCTAGGCTAGCTGTTTTGAGGATGGCTTGAATGTCCCATACGTACGCGTTTTTATCCTCGCAACCTGTGGATAGCAGCTTTCCATCAGGGGAAAAGGCTGCACATTTGATATCCTGCTCGAGCTGCAGAGGTGAACCGACTTGGAGGTTAGTGTCAAGATTCCAGAGACGGGCTGTATCATCCCGTGATGTACTCGCAAGGAGGCGGTCGTTCAGAAATAAAGTGGTAGAGAAGACAGTTTTTCTGTGACCCTCCAGAATGGCAATCTGCTGCCATGTGGCTGTGTCGATTATCCTAATCGAGCCATTCCCCAACCCGGCGATAAGGTTCTTTTCGACCCATGTCCAGCTTAAACTCCTAACTGCAGAATCCTATTTGATCGTGGACAGCAGTTTTCCCGCTTCTGCGTCCCAGATTTTGATTCTCCCTTTGAACCCCCCTGTCGCAATCATTGTTGCCTTGGGTGAGTAGCTCACTGCGTACACGTGCTCATCATGCCCCGTCTTGATTGGATTCAAACCCTGGACGGGTTCTCCGCTCTTCACATCCCACGATCTTGCTGTGCCGTCCCAGGACCCACTCACAACTCGTTTACCATTTGGACTCCAACACACTGACTCCACAGCTTCAGTGTGCTCTTTCCATCTGATGACAACCTTCCCCGTCTCAACGTCCCAATACCTCACTGTCCCATCCTGGCTTCCGCTGGCAACAGCCTTGCAATTTGGAGACAACGCCATGGTGATTACTCCCGCCTCATCCCCTTCATCTCGCCACTCATCACCTATCTGTGCACCGCTCTCTAGGTCCCATAGTCGAACTGAGCCGTCTCGTGAACATGTCATAATGCGCTGCCCGTCCGAGTTGGGTGGGTGCGCAACGCCTCGTACTCCCTTTGTATGGCCTCGCATCGTCTTGCGTGGGGTCGATTCTGATGTTCTGTTCATCTCAACAGCGACAGACATGGCCGTCGCTCGGGTATCTCAACAAAGTGATTCGTAGGAAATATGTGCGGGAGCAGCACGTTGAACTTTTCTTTGACTTATAGTGGGTTGCTGTTCCTCGAACCTTCAGAGCAGATCTCTACGAGGATCCTTAGCATACCGGTCGGTCAGTGGTCCTAGCTTTTCCTACTATAATAACTGTCAGTCTCACTCACAGCAAGTCCCACTTACACACAGATACGCTCCGCCAATATACGAGAGGAAGGAAGCACTGTCGACTGACACAGCGGACACTTGGTCTGGAGTCGAAGGAGTTACGTGAGTGTTTGTTTGAGTTGGCTGGTAAGGTGTCTTCTTTGCGTTATCTTCACAGCTTCACAGTGCTGTGCAGGTGGAGCGCTCAGGCACGACACTGGTGCCATGACGCATGTGCATATTCCACCATCATTTTCCACCTTAAGCTTGATGATTCGTACCAACATTTGATAGAGTGTCTTACTTTATTTCCGTATTCTCCAGCCCGTCTATTTTGGAACTGGATCCGCAGGACAGTGAGGCATGCCAAAATTCTGAGACGACCCTCGCAGGGCGTGAAGGTGAATTCCTTCATGGAAGACAGACTAGTATCAGATAAAAAGGGTTTCTACGCAATGACTAGGCCTAGTAAAGATGGACCTCCGAGGATCTACTATACACTGCAAAATATTGTCAGCAGGTTTCGAACCGACTCCAAGAGAACAAATTTTGACTCCGTTTTGATCACCACTTGGCTAAGACCACTTGAATGGACTTCCAACGAAACTATCCATGAGTGAATGTCAAGGTATGTTCTGATAGAAAAAAGCTTGTTGCGCAGGTTTCGAACCTGCGTAGCCCAAAGGAAACAGATTTCGATTGTGTTGTGGTAGCCACTTTGGACAGGACGAAGTTAAGAAAACCTCCGACGGAACTACGCATGAGCGAATCTTCAAGGCGTGTTCCGATGGAAAAAAAAACCGTCGTTCGGCAGGTTTCGTACCTGCGCAGTCCATCTAGAGAAACAGATTTTGATTCTGTTGTGGTAACCACTTGGCTGAGACCAGTTAAGATCCACCTCCGATAAAACCATCGATGAGTGAATATTGAGGTGGGATAGGAGGGAAAATCATTTGTCGGCAGGTTTCGAATCCGCACCACCTGAGAGAGCAGATTTCCAATCTGTTCTTGTGCCAGTTGGCTATGACTGCTTAAGGTAGACCTTGAAGGATTCATCCATGAGTGAATGTTCAAGGCATGGTAACAGGAAAAACATTGGTGAGCAGGTTTTCGACGAACCTGCAACAGATCTCTGTCCTGTCACGCTTACTACTCTGGTCAAGATGGCCGTCTCTACGTGCCGATCCATTGACAGTAGGATCACGTGGGATTAGCAGTCATTTGCCAATACAAAATGTAAATAGAAAAGGCTGGTTTGCGTTTAATTCGATGAACACAAAACATGCCAGGAATAAGGGAGGAATAAGCGAGTTGGGGGCCGGCACCAGCGTCGTTACGATTAAATGAACTTTGGGGAATAAACAAAGTACGGCACACTACGCATTTTCTTCCGCCAACTTCACCGAAACAGAATGCTCGGACTCAGCTGGCACTGTCCTGCTCTGCCTGCTGCTTGTGCCACATTGGTTCCTTCTGCTAGAATGGATGTAGTCTCTGCGAATACTAAAGTCGTAGGTACTGCTGGAGCAATTCGGGGCGACCAATCATGTGTAACTGCCCTCCCCCGTGCCACACGTATGATGATGAACAATTGTGTAATGCCCTATTTTAAAAATAAAAAAGCTAGTATCAGAAACACGGATAACTCAGCGTTCTGCCTGCTTACTTGAACTTGGTTAATAGACAAGAAGCATAGCGTGGAGAGAGAGTCTGAATGCACAGCAAATCCAACTATGAATATAATGATGAAGACAGTGTATGCCACGGCGGACTCGATGACCATTAGGATGATGGTATCATAAGTGCTAGAATCATATTCAGCCTTGAACGCCGTCTTCATCTGGCTTCGTATGGAGAGCAAACGTTTCGCCACGAGAATGGTATAAAGTATGGTGTGCGCCACTTGGAAGGCGAGGTATGCAACTGTGCTGTTGATATCGTAAAATGGAGTCCCGGTACCTGCCTGGACCAAGACGACGATGGCTACTGCTGCTCGAGATGTCAGTGACTGCGGTCGCTTGGTAAATAATGCAACTGCACCAATCATGCCAGTATAGAGGGAGACCATGGAGATCATCACGTGTCTCTCCCAATTCCATATCACAAAACATCGGTAAAGCTGAGTTTTTCAAACATCAGGCTTGCACATACAGCAAACTATTCAGCTCACAAGCAGTGCTTGCATCAACCACTCCGTGACGTAACCACTAGATGAGGTCGTCAACACTGTGTGTAGATGGACAGGCAAAGGTGCTTACCAGCATATCGCCATAAAGTTGATACGGTAATGCATTACGTTCTTAATCAGCGCAACGGGACCGCCAGGCGCATCACGAAGGTCTATCCAAATCATCACCGTGAATTTTGTATTGCAAGCAAAGCTTATCGTCCCAAGTGCGAACGTGATGAGGGTGTAACAAAGAAGCGTGCGACGATTATTTGCAATTTTCTGCCCATGTCGGGGACGTTGCATGAGAGCAATCACCGCTTGTACGGTAAGGAGAAGGTATGCACCTATTATGGTACAGAGGTCAACCACCAAATCATTGTGTGGACCGAAAACGCACCGTAGGACACACCTCCCAAAATCATTCCAATAAGACGAGAGCGTTCAAGCGGAAAATCTGTCTGTGGGGTATAGGACGACATGACCCAAAATTTGGGAAGATCTGAGAGGATGTCTGGAAGATGTGTCCTAATATCTGGCGCTGGCAGCGGTGAGAATAACCGGAAGGGTAGTTAGCCCTGGAGAAGAAGCAGCCATATATGATAGGCTCTGAATAGGGTTTTCACCTGGGAGAGATGATAATGTATGGACTGGGGACACATCAAGTTGCGACAACCGGTAAGTAGAAACCCTTTTACGTGAAGTGATAAAGACGAGGGCGACAGAGGGTTTATATATTAATCATCCACAGCGCAGCATGCCGTGAAGAATTTGACGTGGGATCGAGCAAGCGAACGGACTATCCTCAAGCATAGCTTCAGGCGCTGAAACATAAGTTTCAAACTTCTCATAGCTATGCTGAATTTTGAATTAGCTGCTCGTCATGCTGGACCCCAATGACTTCTATATGCATACCGTTCATTAGATTCTTCCAGTGTCTTTTCAGACTCCCCCATGCACGAGTGATGTGTGACCTCTATGTTTCAGAAACCATGTTATTGCCATGTTAAGTAGCATTCGACTGACGTTATTTAGTAAAGGTTGGACCCCGCAAACTGCGTTAGAGAAAGGTACGAATCTTTTTTATGTCTTCGTTGTCCTACTCGTCGAGCTCGCGGTCTTTGCAAACAGCATCCTCTGCCTTTTTTCCAACCCTTGTGCCCATGATTGCTGCCATCCTGCCAATTTCGCGCCCGCTCCTTCAACCTGCAGCCTAGCTATGCCGTCGCCGCCGGTTATTTTTTTTTTTCGCAACAGCGCATCACGACCGGGCGGCACGGCCACGTCAAGATCTAGCGCTCTCCTTCGCACTCGTCGAAGACATCTCCTCCCTCGTTGTCTCTCCCCGCCAGTTAGTAGTAAGTACCCCTACCTGGCGGCAGGTGCCTTCGCATTTTTTCTTCAGTGATTTCCGCTGCATCCTGGATTGTTTCCTCACCTATCTTGCAGTACCACCTCTTGCATACTATCCTACTGTCTACATACATGTCCCTGTCAAAAATATGCACATTACGGTAATTAAGCAAACGAGCAAATGCCAAATTTTAGGCGTGCTCAATTCTTGCAATGCCAAGTTCAAGGTGTGTCAAGTCGCAACCAAACAATGATATAAGCTACCAAATTGGGATCGCTAACCTAACCCTTACGGCGCGCAGCGCCGCAACATTGTGAGTGGTCCTAAACCTTTCCAGGGTGCATTTAGTATCTTAGTCTTTGTTAGGTTTTTTTTTCCTTGAATACAAGTCGCTATTCCATAAAAAGGTTTAAATAAGGTTTAGGAACACCGAGGTTTAGGAATGTCGAGGGTTAAACGCTAGACATGGTGAGGTTTAGGACTCTATTGAGGTTTAGGAAGTACTGCTGAGAATTAGGACCATGTACATGTAGTGCTAGATACCAGCCAGTGTACAACGGTAGCACTCAGGTTGTACAATAGTTTCGGCGCTACGCGCCGTAAGGGTTAGGTTAGCGATCCCAATTTGGTGGCTTGGGCCACTTGGCACACCTTGAACTTGACATCGTAAGAATTGAGCACGCCTTTATAAAATACTCACCCACCCTGCTACGTACGCATTCGTGCCACAGGAACGAATGACATCATCTTCATTTAGTCTGCTTTATCGTTCGGCAATGCAAGATGACTGTTTAACACGCTCACTTCATGTGACTTGGTGGCAAGAAGGTAAAACATGAATGCGGCTCGCTGGTCCCAAAGGAATGACACTTCGGGTTCTGTAATTAAGGAGGTCAGGATCATACGGAGGTAATACCATTGAATTGCATATCTCACAGGTAAAAGGTTGACTGCTTGCTGATGCCAGCCATTAAAGTCTGAGAAATTTGAGGTCATGGTTCACTGAGTATGAGTTCCATAATCCCACTGATAGTCACACTTACACTATGAGCACACATCTGAAGTCGTCTCATCTTAGACGAATCCCGCATCTAAAATGGTCGGCGGAAACGGCGGACTGGTGGGGTACGTCCCACACCAGGGGATTTGCGAATTCGGAGATGCGTTCAGGGCACTGGGAGCCCTTGGACGAACGTATTGTCCTCCATAGAACATGAAACTTTTTTGACCACAAAAACACTGGTTCGCTCCCTGAAACTGAGAAGGTCCGGATGGAATACCGCTGAGCACCAGAGAGTGATGGAGCGAAGCTTGTGTTGACATAAAATACCCGAAATAGTGACATGACATGAACATTCGGGAAGACCCTGTGGTGCTGGGGCGATAGCGTTGACAAAAGGTGCGAGTTCATGTCCGTTGTGGCTGAAGACCCGTAACGTTAACTGTGGTGAAGTGCCAGATAGTCGTAGAATGAACAGATGCGCTGACCAGAAAGTGAGAAAGTTGCGTTTGCAGACCTTGCGTTTACAGTTTCACGGATACGGAAGTGTCCAGGAGGATTCATCATGTGCATGATCAGCCAACTAATGACATGCGTGGCGGTAAAGTCTGTTAAACTTTTGACAGATTTCAGGAAACAATATGAACCCGTGACGACAATTTTTGCATGAGTTCGATATGGAAGTCCTTTGGCGCCCTGACAGCAGGCAAATTCCAGCTAGGATCGTAAACTGGTGTAATATTGGTCTGGAAGCCAATGCCGCTCGCACGCTTCACCATGTGATGACATCCCAAGGGACGATCTCATAGATTGTGACAACAATCTTGCATGTTCCCGATAGAATGTCGACACCACTGTCGTAAAAGTCGTCATCATCAGACGCCCTCAAACAGTTCAAAATTTATTTGATGTGGTGTTGGAGCACGTACCCGACCCTACCGGTGACACTGGCCAGCCTACATGGGAACGCCAATTTATATAGTAACCTGTCACCAGAGTATGTGTCTCCCAAGTCGGAATCACGAAATGTGCCAAGTCCTGCGAAAGACATGCGTGATTAACATGTCAACTTCGAGCGGTACACAAAGTTTGGTTGGAACCAATGACTTGCGGTCGAGTAGCTAGGGCTTGTTACATGTTCGATGTGTCCCGGAAATGCTAGCGTGGAGCTTGGAACAACAGTAAACGTGACATTGCTACTATCTTCGTCTTGCAAGGAACTAGATCAATCTTCGCGACTCCAAAACACGTATGCACAAGTAACCTGATTGCAAAATTTGCACATCGAGTGCCCCCACAATAAGAGCCTAGCAAAACAGCGAGCGAAGGCCACTAACCTACCCAGCCACTGACTCCCGCCAATCGGAACCCACCACGAGATTCAAGTGCGTGATTTGTGGACCTCGCGGATATCATTGGTAGAATTCGATAGTTTGATTTATTTGTCCTTCCTGCGAACAGAACAGTGTCAGGGCTGGTACCCTATTGCCGTTCTCATGAACACTTTCAAGCTCTTCTCGTATGGTTCAACCCCTCGACGAGGATGCTGACCAGAGGTTTGAAGCATGAGTACCCTCATACGGGTCTGCAGTGTTGGTTGATGGCCATTTCGACCACGCAGTAGTGGTAAAGAAAGGCAGGAGCGGGACGACTACCGTTGAGAGTGGTGGATGATCAGAATGAGACAGTCCTCGACTTCTGCGGATCGCAGGTAGGATCACCGTGTGACATACTGACTTTTGCCAAATTTGAAACTCAAGTCGTATGAAAGCTTATTGCCGCAGCGGGTTCTTCATGCATTTCGGGGATTGCTATGGACTGCTTGTATAGGTTTTGAAGAGACGGAGGAGGGAGGAGGAGGAGGAAGTGTACAACATTGTACCCGACTCGGACGCTGAACGCACCGACACATTCACATGCCACGGAGTCGTCGCGGACCCCTCGGCTATTCGTACTTACACGCAACTTTGCTCGTTACCATATCCCCCAGCACTGCCCATACGGTGCGCGTCTTAAGTTTCCTTTGTTTGTAGCGGCGTATAAAAATATAAATTCTCTCTCTTGTATGCTGGTCGTTTCCAATTGGTCTTGGTAGGCAATTTTATCAATCGTGTTACTACGAGCACCAGGCAACAAAAATACAACATGTGCACAGTGATAAAGGAATGTGTGAGTCCGTCAAAGACAGACGTGAGGCATTTCCAAACCAAGCGACCAGCTATGCATCAAGCGAAGAGAGAAACAGAAGTGGATCTGGGTGTAAATATGTAGTGGTCACAGTACGCGAACGAGATCAAAATATTCATAGGCATGTGGGTGGTGTTTCAAATGGAGAGGATCGGTGTCATTCACTCCACGCGAGTCTCGATCTCTTGAACCTCGACCTCGGCTACCTTCACCTTTTCGTCAGTGTATTCAGGAGGAGGGACGAAGTTGTTCTCTGCATCATGTTCGAACATGATGTACCCATGACTGACTTCCTCCAGTCTCTCACCTCTGACGGTGCGATACACAAGGACAGACATCACCCAGAACATGCGAAGCAAAACACCGATTCCGCAACCTTTCAAGGACATCAGATATATTTTAGCGACACAAGGTAAGCACTCACCAAGAACGAACGCAACAGCACGACCCTCCCACAGGCCGAGGGCCATGATGGCGCGGTGAACACGCCTGAGGAAAGATCCGGCTTTCTTGTGCTTCATGTCATGATGGTGATGGTGAGATTCAGCTCCATGCTGGCGATAGACCCGCACGACGGACCCGTCAGGAAGAAGCTCCTTGACATCGCCTGAATTGTCCTTCTCAGAGGAACTGGCGGGGACGCTTGATGCAACGGGTTGCCCGAACAAGGGAATGGGAAGGATATGAAGTTCTCCAGAAACAGAACCGGGTGTGCTGGCGACTTCGCCCTTGAATGCGTCATGGTCACCCGTCTCGATGAGAGGAAGGCCAAGAGCATGACGGAACGCATTTGACATGCGGAGTGCCTTCGCTTTCAGGGACGCGCCACAAAAGTGATGCTTCCCCTTGATCTCGGTGGAGGTGGTCATTACGAGGCTCGGGCGCACCAAGCGGCCGACGTTGTCGGAGTCATCATTGCCATTCACGTTGGCGTTGGCAATGGCGTGGCCGAAGCGAATGTTTGCATTGGCATTTGAGGGGCTCTCGACTAAGACACGGACGGGCTCCGCACTAACCTGGCTGACTGTAATGGCGTCTCGACTCGTCAGTAAGATATCACATGCTGGCTCAAGTGAAACGTACCAATACCAGCCCCTGCAACAAGGACGGGAAGTATTGAGAGGCGCATTTGGCTTACTCTCAGAGGGATTTAGATATCTAAGCTGGAAACTAAGGCTATAAAGGACGGCGTTCACAAATGAGATTTCTTTGAAGACTATAAGGGAGATGGTTCAGAGTCAGACGTGGTGGTGGTGTGTGCTGTGGTGTGGATGGCAGTGACTCTTGCCATTGGTCATGATTGAAACTCCGCCTTCGGCCAGGCGCTGTCATTGTCAACCTGTGTTGTTGTCGTTCCCAAACGGTCTAAACATATCCACCAACTGCGCCGCAGTACTTATCATTAAATGATTGGTGCAAATGATCCACTTGTTCAAATTTTACGGAACCGTCCCAGTGTGAAGATGGTTTGACTGATGTGACAAGAATGGATACTGCATGCTATTTATTTTTAAGAGCTAGCTTGCCATAACTATCTGTAGGTGTTCTACTATGTACGGTGTTTCACCGCTAATCCACACGTTAACAGCTACAGAAGGATATCTGAGATCGCGCATATGTAGTACTTATCTATGCAGCATGTAAGAGTCGAGTTGTCTTCAAAAAAATTTGACTGTGGCCAACCCTATCCATTTACTGCGTAACTTCATACCTGATGGTATATCTCCCCTTTGGACGTGGCTGCCTTGCTCTTGGAAATGTGGAACGTGACTCTACCCGCAGGCTCACCATTCCCAAGCAACTCAAGTTCGACCGCTGTCAGGGTCTGTTAGCCGAGTACAACTCGTTTGAATACGCTCTAACTCACCTGCATTAGCGTTCTCGAGGAGGTCACCAAGACATTGATTTTTCTCCGTCTTCTTGATGATCTTGTAGCTAAAGAAGCAACGGCGAGCAAAGACCTCGATTTCAATCGTGGAAGACTCCATGGCATCACTAACTCCCCATCAGTCTCTTAGCCTACAAGACATTTGCAGGGCATACAAGGTTATAATATCCTTCCAAATGGCAACATACTCGCCGCCTTTGGCGTACTTGGTAGTCTTCGATTGCTTCGTGAATTTGTCTCCCTTTATGCGGATGTAAAATTGTCCACCGAATAACCCGATTTTTTCTGGCAGCCCGCTTGCTTTGATGTCTACGACCATACTCGTCAATAGCGGCTCAAACTTGCAGCCAACTAAGCGCACCGGTGATCTCGACCGACAACTGTGACGGATGGACAGAGTCATCGTCGGCTGATGATGACATGTCAGGTACTTCAGTGGTTGGAGAAACGTCCTGGGATGGAGTTTTGTTTGACATGGCGTTGTGGCAGTATTCCAACTAGTTTGGATGACAGTGGCAGGCTGTGGGGATTAGCGGGTATGACTTGTTCTCGCTGATTTTTATATGATTGCGGTTCAGTTTGTTCTGGCGTAATACGCCCATTCATATCCATTCGGCGACCTCCAGTATGGTATGGCGGCATGTCATCACCGGGAATTGGAAGAGAAGGGCGTTGTGACAGAACGATCACCTCCTAAGGAGTCTATTGTTCGTTCGAAAGACGATGACTACGAAAGGAATAGGACCCTTTCAGGATGTATCATATCCTCCGTTTCTCAGTCACTGGTAGGATTTCTCCTAAATGTATCAGAGCGCTGATCACAGAAGATGGACGCGGTGGTAGCTCGCCCGACTTGCGAGGCGACACCTCTTGAAGCACAAGCAAGCCTTGAGGCTTTATCCCTGCCTGCGCCTGTTAGCCATATACATAGAGGCAGTACCACTGATCGCCGGGAGGATACGCGAGTCACGACATGACGAACGCTCATGTTCACTGGAGCAAATGGCATGCTCATATTTGGATTCCGCCTGCATGTGCGTAACACACCCAAGTAATTCAAAGGTTCTTAGTGGCTTGTAGATTTCCGGTATGGCTTCTAGGCTCGGTATACGTGCATGACTGTTTCGAAGCAGCTCCCTTTGAACAAGTGGATATCACATCAAACTTGGAAATACTTCTGTTCAAGAACCAGGCGTGCATGCTGATTTCACAAGGACATGTATCGTGAAAGCGGGTGCTTGATCCAGAACTTTATGAGTCTTGAGAAATACTGCATTCTGAATGAAAGGTCCATAACATCATACAGCATGGAAAACTGCAGTCTCAAGCTTCAGAGCGCCTGCAAGTCAGGGTATCATTTCCCATAAAGTATATGCCTGCTGTAAGAGGTTTCTACTGTTAAACAACATGTGTGACATCTACACTCCCGCCCGGCTCCATGAACAACGCCTCAAACTCTTCCGGATTATGTCCAATCACACCAAAAACGGTTTGTAGCGTACGCCCAAGATACTCCAGTTCCTGAGTGACGCCTTTCATAGTAAGAGCATACGCAAAGAAAAGGAGCTGTCGAGACGCTTTCACATCTCTGTTCCTGACTATATCCAATTTCCGGATTGCATTGACCTTTAAATGGATATGGTATCTATCAGATTGATTTTTGATGGATTTCGGAGACGTACCAGACGCTCCCTCGATTCCTCAACTGGTGGGAGGTACGGAGGTAATGGGGCTTTCAAGCGAAAGGCGGATGCGAGCGTGGAGAAATAAAGGATGATGTTGCCGACTAAATCTCTTCGCTCTTTATTCACGGGTAAGATGAAATCGCTCCTTACAGACTAAACGATCTTACGTTAAAACAAATCCATCATGAAGGAATGTAGCTTACCGTAATCCATTCCTCTCGGGTAGTGACACAACGCATGCTGTGTAGCCTATCCAGGATAGTCTGGAGACTTGTCAATATCGCCCGGTAGAGTGCTATAGGGAAAGGTCCCTTCAACCGAGGCTCATGCTGTGTCTGAGCCAGAAGACCTTGCAATTCAATGAGCTTCCTCTGGAGGTGCAATTCCCTGCAGGTTCGAATCAGCAACGGTCGATGCATAGTAAGCTCACACAAACATAGCCATAAAATCCTGAATGGATTTACTAAGCTTGGCTTTAGCGGACTTGGGCAAGAGCGACACTGTCTCATCCGGAGGCTGCGTCTCGGGCTCGTCTTCATCCGTGTCGTCTTCTGCGCGAGGCGTGCCTGAGTTGGCTGCTACCAAGTGGGTGTATAGCCATCCAATGTTCAGACAAAAGCTAGGTGTAACAGGTCAATACGTAACATGCTCAGCAAAGACAGACTTACTCTCCCAGCTCTCGACTGAGCTCCCTTCGCGCTTCTGAAGGCCACCAGAAACGAGATACAATCGCAGCCCAGAGGACACCAGCGATAACCGCAGTCGAGCGCTGAAACGCAATATCGATCACAGATACGTCGGCTTGTCGAACGTTGTACCTGCGAATGATAAGGAAAGGAGGATGGGTCAAAAATCTGCGCAAGCGGCAAAGCTTTCGCCAACGTACGAATAAAGGCACGTCAAATTATATGTTAAAAGAGCAAATCTCCCCGTCGTCGCATACCGTGGAGTCGCAATGATGTAGTAAAAACAAGGCATCGAAAAAAAGAAACCGAAGATCGACAACACAATTGCATTCTCCGGAAAAAGGCTGTAAATTCCAGCTGCGGCACAAGCTCCGAAACTTCGAGTGGTCAGAACAAAAGGGGGTAAATACCAAAAAAGACAACGCACAGAGTACCGAATACACGATGAATGCTAAGGAAATTGGTCTAACAAATGAATCAGCAAGGATACAAGACCGATAAAAATCATCATACAGCTCCGATCGTAGGCGACATGACCCCAAAGAACTAAAGAGGAAAAAATCAGTCATGCATATCAATGTAAAAGACGCCTGCACGCACGGAAATTAATGCCCATTCACCCTTATAGTCCGTAAAAATTGGTCTCGTAGCATCAAAGAACGCAGGTGCAGTCAACACAGCAGCAGACATCCCCACTTTGAACGCATACTTCAACTTGCGCTCTTTCAAAATCCCACCAAAATCCCAAAGTGCCCGCTTCATACGACCGATAAAGGGGAGATTCGCGGGATGGGGCGTTTGTATTGTGTTTGGAGCATGAGGTTGGACCTTTGGGAAGAAAACTTTGCTGCGATGGGGAGAAGTGAAGAATGATGCTTCATAGCAGAATGTCAGTAGATTGTGGGCAGTCTTGAAAGTGATCACTGACAGAGTCGGCGCAGTCCAGACCGCTTGAATTTTTGATGAGCCAAGTTACGTCGACGCAATCGCATGGCAGATAAAAGATTTGACGGGCCATGTATAATATATCGGTTAAACCAGCTCTGAGTATCCGCTCTGACTTGTTCGACTGCATATATTCTGCGCATAGCGTCCGTAAGAGAAATGAGCTCTCCAGAAAATTCCTGCAATGTGAAAATGAAACTGAACCACGATGACTTGAGCACGGAACCTCTCGAATAAAATTATCGAGAGCTTACAAATAGAGAAGAAATATGTGTTCATGTTCGCCGTTCGTAAGGATTGTATTGTCCCTTTGGATTAAAGAATCGATTGAATCCCCCATAGAGGGGGCAGCAAAATCGCTCCGTTTGTATAAACGCATAACAGCGTGGTTCGAGGTAGTCTCGAAAGTAAACAGCGCGCGGTCGATCTCATCAATCAAAATATGGAAATCATGAGGTTGAAATGGAGTTTCTCTTTGGACATGTTTGCTCTGCGCAAATGCCTCGCGTAGACGTTCGAAACTTGCAGTACAAGTTCTCTTATAGCTGCTTGTGAGTACCTTCCGCAGCACAGATGGCATTCGACTCACTGTCAGCGCCTTCAGCGGTGGACCCAGATCATCGACCAGATCGCCGAACATATCCGCCGCAGCTTGTAGTAGGACTTCATCTGTGTCATCCCGCATGTCCGAACCGCCATTGGACATCCTTCTCCCCTTCCCGGCTGGAGAACGATACCCGCTTGGATCACGCTCTCTTCCGATCGTTTGACTATGTCGCTTCAACGTCAAGCGTCCCTCGCTGTGAGCCTTTGTGAGTTCGTACTGCAACCGGGTGCCGCTTCTCAAGCCATTCAGATGTTGAGCAAGACGCGTGAGGCTATCAACCGCGTCCTCATATGCTTGTCTGGACTCCTTGCCTCCTCGTCCACGCAGACCGCTGAACCATTCCGACTTGGCTTCTCCTAAGTTCTTTTTGAGACTCGTGAAGCTTGCCTGATGGTTCTCGACCGCCTTGTGTATTTTATCCTGGCTAGGCTGGTGAATGGGCTCCTCGAGAAGGAAGGTGTTTGTGAGCATGCCAAGGAGGGTGGCAAACGAATCCAAGGTCTTTGTCATGTTCAACTGGAGGTTGTCTGTGGCGCTTTGGGCCCATAGCGCGAAACACACGACGTTTGATATTAAGGTGCCGACAAGCACGACCGATGAGACTTGCAGGAGTACTTCCCAGCCTCCTTCCTTGACAATTCTAAAAATATATAAGTGACATGCTCCAAATATGACGCATGATAGCCTACACAATAGATAATATTATGGCAGCCATGCTACACGCTGATAAATAGTCAGTATAAGTACGAGTTAAAGTATTTGATTGACATACCCGAATTAAATGTGGGTTTGTCCATCCACGCTCTAATCCAAGTGAGACCCCACATACTGACTCCAACCCACAAAATGACAAGAGCGTCACCGAGCCACTCCCATCCTGGTCTGACCTCGAGGGACCAGAACATGGACATGCTTCCCAAACAGACAAATGCTGCATAAAGAAACGCAATCGAGCAGTACGAATCGGCCTCCATCATTCCCCCCATGGTTTTTGCGGGGTTATAGTAGATAGCGCTGCGAATGATCAGTGTCATGTCTGAAAATGGGTGAGAAAAGACGCGTACATAGTGGCTATCATGTGACCAGTGGGCGATGGGAGGCCATTCCCTGCTCCCGGTGCGGAAATATCACTGAAGAATCCGGAGAGATATGGTGAAAACGTAAAGAGAGAGGCAATAAGATATGCCACTGCGCATTTGAGAACGTTCTTCCACAAAACTGGTATTGTGGGTACTTGCAAGGGAAGAAACCGATGGCGTGATAGCAATGTAGGGACAGAGGTAGCTGAAGAGCCGTCAAAGGAGGCTTTGAACTGGTCTTCTGATTCAGTGGGACCATGATGTTCACTGGATTGCTCGAACGACGCCTCTCGGGTGTTGTGCTCCTGCGGATGCGATTGGAGGACATTGTTGAATGGATCGCAGTCAGTGGCGGTAGCTTCTGAAGTCAGAGGTCCCGCTGAAGAGTGCTCGGAGCGGTGAGAGGAGTTTATAAGATGGCGTCTGTCACGTGTCATAGGACTCCTAAGCTGGCCCTCGTTCTCCATGAGTTGTTCGAATAGCGACCATTGCGATTCTGGTGGTGGGGGCCTGACGCGGGACAAACGGACAAGGGACTCCCTAAGGTTTTGAGCACTAGCCATATTAACTTCTAGAGGAGGCGTATGAGCGGCAATGAGGGAAACACTTCGACTCTGTTCGAGGCTTGGACGTAAAGTAGACGATGGAAGAGAACCATAAGAAGGAATCTGGCGCATATGTGGGAAATTAGGCCCCCCTGTAGGGGTGATTTGGCCAGGAGAGCCAACGAAATGGGCGCCACCATGATAGACTGGTGCATCACTGTGGAAAGACAAATACAGAAGGTCATCCTGTGAGTTGTTCCCGTGAGATGTCATGGTGTCACATGAACTTCAAGCTTCAAACTTCAATCTCAGCTTATTCGAAACCTGCTGGGGTAACTGTCTTCAATGCGGACAAGGCGTGGTAGTGGTCAAAGTGAACGTGTTGCACTAATGCTGGCCCACGATGTTTTACTTATATGACAGGCTAGACGCCCAGATAGCTTGGCACAATTGCTCCACCCGGAACCGACTCGGGTAGGGAGTATTTATGTAACATGGACCCGAACGATATTGAGACGGGCTCGGCAGGCAGTTAGTACCCTTAACCTAGACTCGTAAGTCTCACTACGTCTCTGAGATGCTTTTCAGATATGTTCTGCTCAGCCTTAGTACCATTGACCAATATTTTGTCGCGCCACTACTTTGACTTTACATAGCACGCAGGCAGCATCATCCAAATCGCAACTTGCAAGTAACCTTCCGTGGCCGCGTCACGAGCCAAATTGAATCTCCTATTCCACATCCTTGACTTTGTCCGTCCTCTGTGATATATGGCTCATGAAAGAAACGGCTCAAACACCAGATCATCGACATCTTCTGCTAGTGCTCAGCCTACTACTATTGGTACGGCTGTCTCCCTTCAGTCCTTCAATCAGGTCCCCTCATGCTTCGCCGACGAGTGCGAAAGCATCGTCAAGCGGTTCAATAGAGGAGATCTTGAAAAAAAACACAGCATGCCGCGTTGCTCAAGCAGCAAACCTCGACTTCCCGGGAAGTACAAAATAGGCGCTGGATGCTAGACCCACTTTTGCGGATGCTGGACCACATCGAGGGCGATCGCCGCAACGCCTTCACTTCGGCCGAATTCCCTGTCAGAACAGTTCAAGTAGAACCCGGAGCAGGCCCTGAGGAGCGAATTAAAGTGGATGGCTTGTCGTGGTGCCGAAGAAGACACCCCTGAACCGCCAGCAAAGAAACGACGGGTAGAACCTGATCTTTCCAACCTTGACCACCCCGATAATCATTCGCATCGTCATATTTCCCCTGATGTGCGATGCACCTGCAATATTCTTGCATTGTAGGTCCCTAATGTCCAAGAGGTCAAGCAGCGGTTCATTAATCACGTGAACTACCGTTTTTAGAGTGGGACAACATTATCACTGGTCAGCTCGTCAACCTCGACATCGTCCTCTCCGACATCTATGCAGGTCCGGGACCGCGACCGTCACTGCTGCGCTGGATTGGCTTTCCGCACGGAACTGCCTTGCGCAAGTATATTGTTTCGTGTCCCCATCGAATACTTGAACTTGATGCTTACGGAAATTACATCAACACTATGGTCTACGCACATGTCACCCCATCTCACTTTAAAATCATTAATTTGGACAAGGCAATCAGAAAGCGGGTGGGTTCATGCCGTAACTTGGAATACTCCAACTTCGAGAGATTCATGGCTACCCGCTCCTTTTACTTCTCCCCTTATGGCTTATTGCCGAAACTACATAGTACGTGGAGAGCTCAGAGGCTGAATCTAAAGGTAAAACTCCCGACAGGAAGGAGCTCTGCTGGCGTTAGATTGACGGCGTTTACACGCATTCTTCTTCATCGTGCCATCACATCCGAAAGTGCGACTTTAGCAACCACCCTGCGTGTGAGCACGAGGAGGCTGGTTGTAGTCCACGACTCTTGTTATGACAGTTGCTCCATAAACCTGCGTCACCATCACCGACTAGTCTGGATTGACTGACAAGTGTCACAGTCTTCATTCTTCACCAAGCATCATTATCCCTTCCCTGTTTGATTATCACTTCGTCAACCCCTCAAAACATCATCTCTCCTTGCTTCAGTCAAATCAAATCAAGACAAATGCAATACGTTGTTCAGCCTCCATGCACCACATAACCTACATATAGAGCAGATTTCCCAATCAATATATAGTCTTCAATCGTCAGCGTGATCTTGATCCGTTGGTAACTAAGTTAGCTTCCGACGTTTGTGTATCTTTCATGTGCCTGGTAGTCCGTATCCTGCTTCCATTTCCATTTCCTTCGAACTGCGGCCTCGTGAGCTTTTAGAGCAGTTGCGCAGCCGACGCCCATCATGCATAATATTTGATTATGTGCATCCACACGGACACTCAAACTCTCGCTGCATCTGGTCAAATGCATTGACCGCCACAGCACAACTAGCCCACCAATAACGATCGTCCACCTTTTTCTCTCGAAAGCACTCCTGAGGCCCGTCATGCATCATAGCATTGTCCACACGAACATGAACTCAAAACACTCGCTGGATCTGGTCGACTACACTAACCCGGAGTCCGAACTGCCAAGCATACCAAGCCAGCAACAAATTTAAAGACGTCCACCATTTTCTTCTTCTTCGATATACTACATAACCGTACAACAAACAAGAGCCAGACACGGTGCGACAACTACTGGTAGTGCTCAACACTAATAGTACGCAAAGAAGACTTTCAAAACAGAGATGACTATTCAACAAGGGTCTATCAAAACACAAAACGAAAGCAAAAAAAAGAGATATGACACGACATACAAATATATCACTAGATTAACAATTACGATTCGGCGTGATCGGGAATGAGAATGAGGAATGTCCAGCTTCGTGGGGGTAATGCGTGTTTCAAGTCCGTAAGGTCTAGTGTCCGCGCTGCTGTCCGTGGAGAATATTATAAAGTCCAGGCTAGATCACAACGTCCGAAGAGTACTAGGAGTCCATGAGGGTTCGTAACGAACGTGAGCGTAACAGTAACATAAGAATGCAAAAAGCGCTGTCCGTAAGGTCAAAAGTGAAGAAACAAGGCTAGGCGGGGAAAGCGTCAATATACTAGCGTGTCCAAGTCATGAGAGCCAAGAGTCCGTTAGGCCGGGAATTAAGGTTTTTTTTCTTCCAAGGTGTGCACATGGACTGCTGTTACCAAGAATTTCGCCGTCGCTAAGTGGGCTACAGCCCTGACAGTCGCTTTTGTACCTTGGCCACTGAATATCCCAGCAGGGGGAAGCGTGAGCTCAGGTTGTTCATGGCGTAAAGCATAGTCCCGATTTCACTACGGACATCCGAGCTGCTGACGAGCGGCCATGAAGACTCGATAACATTGAGTTCTCGAATCAATGTGTCCATAGCGCACGTCCAACAGGGCTGCGTCAAGAAAAAAGATTATCATCAATCATTCATTCTGTAACGCATCCTAAAAGATACTCACGCCGATGATGGGATCGAGGAACTCGTAATCTGCGTCAGCAATGTGTTTGATGATGGACACAAGACACCGCGCGGCCCGAAGGCATTTGTCATACGAGATAGGGTCGTCAGCGCCGAATGGATAATACAGATTTATCATCGCAGCGTGAGCTAGTGTGTGCGTTGCAATGTAGGCGTGTTTCTCATCAGGCACCGTGGCGTCAAGTTGATGCACTGGAATAAGGGTTGGGATAAAACGGGCGATTGTGTGTTCTAAAGTTTGAAAGTCGTCGGTAAATGTGTTCGACATGGCTAAAGCTGCATGTTGATCAGAAAGTGGTACTAGTCTGGAGGAAATGGGCCTACGTTGGTCCCAGGTTGACGCGAGGTGGTGCGCACGTTCGAACAGAGCAGATGCTTTGACACGGAGGGCCAGTGGGGAAAACCCTCCGCGGACGTTTGTGACCTGATGGTCAAAGAAGCTCCGAACAGTATGGAAGCTGTGCAGATCATCGATTTGACCCTGGGAAGGGCTAGTCAGTCTATGATCTACCCACTGATAACGTAACGTACTGCTACATATTCTTCCATATCTTGCGGCCACGGCATTATGATGGACGCGTATCCATCTGACCCATGTGGAATGGTCACTGGTTTGTGAAGTACCACCGACCAACACCGATCCAGGACAAATACCTGCCAAAACGTCAATATGCGCTCGCCCTGCTCGATAGCGTCTTTCGGGGGGTCAAGTTTGAAGGGTGAAATGGAGGCTGTGGTCTCAAATGATGATGATCGATTAATTATCGTTCCGTGAAGACCGCATTGGATAGCCAGTGATGCAGCAGCGTTGGCATGGTAACTGCCTTCCAGTGCCCTTCCGTTTGATAGGAAGTACACAGATAGAAGACAGGATGCTTGGATGACATCAAGCAACCTGTTTTGATATTGGAGGGCATCGCTGAGGGAGTCGAGAGCTCGACTCAAGTAATGAGACTCGTGCGTGCTAAGAGGGCCAGGCCTGGAGATAAAGCATGCCCACAAAAAGATGGCATTAGTGAGGACAGGGTGATGTTGCTCCATGACAGGTCGAGTGAACGATTCTCGTAGTCGACCCATGTGTAGACCAAGGAGGGACTGACGACAATGTGAAAAAAAGACGTCTACGAGAGTCTGAGCGAGCTCTATTGTGGGCTGTGGTTCCTCATGATAGATATCCGTAAATGGCGTGGGCGAAGGTGAGGGGATGCCCTGTATCCAGGAGCTTTGAGGGGAATTATTTGCTGTAAAATATTTGAGATTTAATGCGAGATAATCACAACGGATCAACACACCGGAAGGAGAGAAGGAAGACACTGAAAGCGAGAAGCCTGTACTTGCCGGAGAACCGGTAAGGGAAGACGACGAGCTTTCTGAGCGGCCATGACGATGCGGATCGTGTAGAGTAACGGATGGTGAGGTGTACTCAGGATCCTCGAGCTCTCGTATACGCTGTTCTAAACGCTCAATATGTTCACGGAGAAGTTGGGTTCTCGTTTTTCCCTTTCCATCGTCGTACTGACAGGCGTCATGCTGTTTTGCACGAACACATTGTTGACAGGCTGGTTTGCTTCCGTCGCATCTCTGATGATTTCATTAGTGACTGGCATTCCCTCATAGGACGATGACTCACCATCTTCCTTTTTCTGGACAAGGCGCGTTTGAGCATGGTTAACGAATTTTAGTGAATGATGGAGTAGAGAAAATACCTGCAACGCAAGCATGCTTTCCCCCTCTGCAGAGTTGGCGGGGGCGTGGTGGACTGATTACTGGCCATTATGGGAACGGATACTAAATATACACGAATGAGAGTGGATCTAATGGGTGAAACCGCATCAACGAGCTGCGGAGTACAGGCGTGAAGAAGACTGACATACCAAGGAGCCGTCGGGATGTGACCTCAGGAGACGCTAAAGATGAAGAAAGAGAGGGAGTATGAGTACTCCAGGCATGAAGTGAACAAGGAAGAGCTAGTAGGGGGCGGTGACGAGAACTAGTCAGAAATAATTTACTGGGAACGCATGAACTGTGTGTGCTCAAATAGTTCCTGCAGCCGTGGCTTGTCTGGTTGATCAGATAGCAGAGCCGCGTGATGTCGGACAACCTTTGACTGGTTAGTTCCGCCGGAGATCCAGGAAACTTCCGAGGTTTTACGATCCCGACAAAAGTCGATGATCCATATGCTTGGGCGGTCTTTGGTGGCTGTTTGTTTCTATTAGGATCGTCTGCTGGTCAAATCTCACAACGGTCTTCTTATCCCGTGTCCGTCATCTTAGAGGTTCAGGACCTCCTATAAATCTATCAGACTTGGTAAAGATCCACACCAATATTAATATGCTGTGTTTTGGCTCACAAGGTCAATGTCACCCGGCATTCAGACAGTACGGTCTGGAATAAAATCCGACCGTATTAATCAGTAGGTACTAGGTAAGCACAAAACAATGTGGTAGTATCTTCACTAAATTTCACCTCCTCTCGCAAACAAGCGTGACGAGTCGCGCGAAACTATTATCTGACTTCTGGCTACCAAAATCCGCCAAGGCAGATTGGTTCTTCGTCACCCGACGGAATGAAGCAGGGTCGACCATATTCGCCACGTTGTTTCTGGTCATAGTCCGCGGAATGGGTAACGACCTACGTTTTTGGGACATTTCAGGCAACCAGCCCTGCAATATTGATTCTTCAACTCTCCCTTCACGTCGGACTGGGTGGCGCTAAAACATCTGTGCAGACAATCCATCTTACGACACCCCAGTATCTCCTTCTCCACTAGATCTCTCAGGTCATTTCGTTATTATCGTGTTCGTCGGTCCTTTCATCTTCCCGGTCCGGAAGACAAGATGCAGCGCCTTGGAACGTTTTTGTTTGTCCCGTGGACTCTTGAATTCAAGCTAACTGTCAAGGCTAAGCCAGGAGATGTCATGTTGCCAGAAGCTGTGCCAATTTGTCTGCGTGTCATTCGTCTGCTGGAGATTCTCCTCCCTGCGCTCCCAAAGAAGGCAGACCTCATACCATTAACATCAGACATGCCTTATGTTCAACTTGATCTTGCGTACTTCGCATCAGATGCCTGTTGATCGGTAGCTTGCACCAGCGCTCTTCCTCGATCATGATGAATTGTTCACTCCGCGAGCATAGTTTACTACACTGTCCGTGATACATCAACCATCATGTACTGGCCTTACAAATAATTAACGGTTCAAGTTGGGACACCTGTTAATAAGGTGCGCCTCAGTCCAGTGCAAGATGATATTGAATCAACTTACACCAAGTTTGGAGTTGCGCCAGGCGCTCAAGCTAAGGTTTGATGGTGTACCTTCACCCCCGCATAACCTGCCATCCTCGCGTTCGCATAAGCTACGACGCCCCAGTATGTCGTTTGCCTTCTGCCATATCATGATAATCTAACCCTTCATAACCGACGTTGTTATAAGCAAGTTATGATCGCGGGTAACTTTTTTACCGGGCTTATCCTCTTCCCTGATGACGTCAACAGATTTCGAGGCTCCGTTGTTCATTGCATGGCCTTACACAGCTCTTTGATCGAGCATAATTTATGGTCGGGACTGACCGTAGCCATGTTGCACTACCATATCTGCCAATGCAAGATGTTGAATTTCACGGCATTAGCTTGCACTGGCAAGTCAGCCTGAGAGCGCTCTATATTTTAAGATTATACAGACTCGTCCTGTCTGACCTGCCTTTTACCCGTTGATGAGAAAATATATGTCCCCCATCGTTCCCAGTAAGGATCAGGGTATACACTGCCTCGAAAATTTCATCTCAAATCCTCAACCTGGCCGCATCTTCTTTATAAACTGAGCTTCGAGTGCACAGGCGCAGGTGTCTTATCTCCCCGAGGACCCGTCTATATTCCGTACGTCATTGATATCACATTCAATCCCTCGGTGCAAACTCAATATCCCCATTTCTTTAGCGTTTAGGTTATCCTCGCCAGCACAAGTCTGGGGCCGCATATCGGCACACTGTATTCGTTCCTCTGTGCTTCTGTCCGCACTACGTTCTAGCGCACATCGCGTACCTTCGTCCTAAGGTCAGTTGGTCCAGTACCGCAATCACAACCGTATCACCGCTGCTATCAAGCTCGCACGACGGGTAGTGCCTGTATCGCTCGGTGCCGTGCACACACTAAATACCACCTCGCACCATGTACTAGTGCTTCCATCCTCCTCGATACGTTCGGTTCCGGTGACATTGATCGGGGACTAAATCGCCGTCACGAATACAGCCATACCCTGAGGAACCTATAGTAGTCGTTCTCTCCCAACCAGCAATAGATAAGATTGCGATCCTCATTCGACCCCGGGTTTTGCCCCATTGAAATCCCTGCTCAGCATTTACCCTGACATAACCACTGCTCTCACAGTGGCAATTCTACACCTCAAGACGTTCGGTGCCGTACGTTTCCCATCTCGTGCGCCGTGCTTGTTAGGCTGTTTTGATCTAGCTCGGAAATATAATGAGAGGAATTCAGCTTCGAATTCTTTTGTATTGTGGATCTTTTGCCAGCATGCAATGACTATTAATATTGTGGGGACATTTCCAATCCCTCTTCGCGGGAGGTATTGCCGCATTTGCAACGTCGTGGCATTATATTTTCATTGATAGGCATCTACATATGCGTTTGTCGGTCACCGATTACTCTGAATCTCAGGGGTGCTCGCTTCCTATTGCCTCGGGAATTTAAATTTCGTCAGGAGTCCTCGACTTCTTGCGCTGAGTGCGCAAGTAAATTACGAAAAGCTATATCTCCACGCATGGTATTTCATAGGAATTACATACATCCTGCTATCAAAACCATACAAACGGATCATAACGCACATGTCGCTCATTCGTGGTAGATTGAAGTCGTGAATTACCGGATGGCTTAAATTTTCAAGATAACAAGAACTTCGGGAAGGTCCCTCTGCTCCAGAGTGTCGGACGATCATGATGGCTGATGGTACAGACGCCGTGCCGCCGGAGCTCTACGCACGATCACATTTGCAGCCTGGTCCCTGGATGGTTCATTGATGATGCCAGCTTGAACCAACTGTAAAAGCGTAAGAGATGTCCCGCCTGACTCAGTGAGAGCATAGGTGCCTTTCCAGGCACGCTGCGCGGAAGTTGTCCGCTTTAATTAATCTTATGTACATACATACAAACATGATCAGTCCGCTGTCATCGTGTAGGACTGGGGTAGAATTCGAACCTCCAAGCTTTATTTATAGAAGAATGAATGAACTGCCCTTCTGATACTGATCAATCAAACTACTGGAGACAAATAGCAGAAATTATCTCAACACCCCATTGAGAGGAACACTCCGCGACGACAAATCCATTTCAATATCGATACATGGCCTCACCTATCGACTCGGGTGCTGCCAGTGAGTTGCTAGAGACGAATCTCTTCATCCGTTGATCGTGCGCGTGAGGAATAACCGGTAACCAGCGATTGCAAATCCAATGCAACACGTGTATGCAAGGCCTCAAAATCCGTTGATCGTGAGGAATAATCACCGAGTGCACATGTACGAGCAAGTTGCGCTGAGTTAACGCTAGACGAATCAAATACCTCCACATCCGCGATACGTGTAAGTTTCTTATCATGAACCCTGAGCTGGTAGAAGCGGATAAAATCCCTTGACCGTCGATGTCCAGCGACTGCAAATGTCATACAATACATACAACCCACCCAGTAAGTATCTATACCGCAAGAATCAACCATGATAACTACAGCTTACCTGAAGAAAACCTAAAGAAAAGAACGGACGTGAAAGTGTAGCGTTAAATATCCAAACAACGAGCGACGTCAGACCCTAAGTAAGTAAGTATACGAATGTGCACGAGTATCCGAGTTGGGTAAGCAGACTCTGTATGGTATCACAATAATAGGCGTGGGTAATACTGTGTGGTATATATAATCTCTTTCTTTAGAGTAAGAGGGTGAAGCAGGCTGTCACAGATGCAAGGAGGGTGAGTGTGACAGCAATATTCGTATTAGTAGATGCAGAGCCGAGGAGGGGGTTGCTTGATGAGGTAGCTGTCGAAGACACTTGCGAGGAAGTACCGCTCGTTGAAGGGCTCGCGCCATTGGTAAGCTGTGCAAAACCGACGGCAGCGGGGTTCGCACGGAAGACGGAGTACACGTTCTTGAGGAACGTGTCACCGACGATCCAGGTGGGGACGTTAGAACCACTGCCAACGCTGTTGCCGATGTCAAAGATACCACCAGCACACATCTCAGTCGTAGAACCCGAGACGGAACTGTCTACAGGGCCGATGTTCATGTCGGCAGGGTTGATCGTCCAGGCGGAACCGCCAAAAGATATGGTGACTGTGACATCAGTGGTACAAGCTATAAATAGATGAGTCTCTTGCGTGTCCTGCAATGTACAAATCATACTGACGGAATGCGTATAGGCCTTCGTATTCTCCCGTAAGCGCCATGGAGCCTGTAACTTGGGCCCAAACATCTGCGGCAACGGTGTTGGGTGCGGCGATGAGGGTAGTGCCTGTGTCGATGGCAGCAAGAGTACTGGATCCGACACTGACTGTTTTGCTTTGCACAGAGAGCGCTGCACATTTATGACCGATCAGTAGGCTGATGATATAACAGAGTAAAGGAGCTAACTGTTAACATCGAGCAGCCAATACGATGGCGAACCAGCTAGGCTCATGTACTCGATAGAGCCCTGGTACAAACTCGAGTTTGTTCCACCGAGAGTGAGGGTGCCGCCCGGGGCAGTGTCCATAGCGGCTTGGTTGATATAGCGTTCAAGGTAGAAAGAGAACAAGGGTTCTGAGAGCTGGTTGGCATTATAGAGGGCTTGCCAAAATGGGGTGGCATTGAGGGCAGAAATAGTGTTGAACCCGAGACCCATGATACCTGAGAGGACACTATCGAGCAAGCCGGATGTAAGTGAAGAAGCAGCCACTGCGACAAAAAATAAGTCTAGATCTAACTCGACTCGGGATAGACGTACGGAGTTCTTGCTGGGTGATGGTGAAGCCACCGAAGCTGACAGTGTCTTGGGAGGGAGTCCCTTTGACCGATCCTGAGCCATAAGTAATTTGCAGGGAAGAGCCTGATGACTGGTACGTCGAGGATTTTGTGGTAGTAAACTCAGTTGACGCGCAAGAGCTACATGAGGATGTTGCAACCCAAAGGTCGGAAGAACCGGTGTCGAGAATAAGATTGAAATCCTGTGCCCTTGAAGACGATGAGCATTTGTGAATGGTGTTTCAACATTGTAACTTACGGAGTCCCAATGCTCACAACACCTGAGTAACTGGAGTCGTTTAGCTAATAAAATTATTATACGCAAACTAAATAGAAGTCTGAATTACAAACCTCATCAGTGATCGGAATTGTAGCAGTGTTTGCTCGCTTCGAATTTGGGGCATTTGTTGGCTGATAACCATATTTTGCCCGCAGTGCTTTCACGGCTTTCGGCAAGTTTGCGACTCTGTTTGCTTGACTACGTCTGACGATTGGGACATGAATAACACCTGCATCTGGCTGGGGAGCAGCGAGAGTGAATGGAAGGAGTGCGACAGCCACAAATAGTAGGGAAATCATCGCGGAACGTGATATGAGACAGAATAAAAGAGAGAGTAGTATTTAAACACAAGACTAGCTTGCGTGAGTCGCTTTTACAAGGAAACAGAAAACTTGTTCTACCAGTGCGCGCGGTGTAGGGCTGTGCAAAGTTCCGATAATATCTTGGCATTACACACGCTTAAGGTTATGACAACTTTGTTCCCACCCATCTGGGGTTATCCTGGGGGACAGTTCCCCGAGAAACCCCCTTATTTGGGGTGCTTCTGACTTTCTCACGGGTGGAAGCTCACTGTGGCACTGCCACACTGCCGCCAAAAATAATAGTTTATTATGTAATAGTCCGGACGGACGGTGTAGACAACGGTGGTCTTCGTTAAGTAAGCAGCGATTTCTACCCGGGTTTCTTTTCCACGGGGGGCTTGCTTGAACTCGTGATCAACTTAAAGCTCGTCAAAAGGTCAGTCATGCTGCAGATTTAATGACAGCGGAACTGCTGGAGGCCTTGGACTTTAATTTTAACTCTACGCGGTTACAATACGCTATACAAAGCAACGTGTCAGATGGCACAATGATATGTCATGATCGCGCGACAACTCATGGTACACAGCCCAAAAACCCGGCTGCAGGCAACCGTGACATACGCTCTAGGACGTACTAGGTATACAAACCCGCTCACCGGCTCCTGGTGTAAGCACTGATATACTATTCTGCTTTTTCTATCGATCAAGGTCAGCCTGCACGTGTCCGCATCCTTCATTCTATCAACGTTTCGTGAGTCCTTTCATTCCCGTCGCTGGATCTTGTCATAAATTTCACTTCAATGAGTTCCCGTTCCATCACATCCCAAGGAAAACATTTCCCCAATTCATTGCCAACCCCGACTCGACTCCTCTGTTTGTCCTGTTTATCAGTGCGCAGTATCTCTCGCGCGTGCGTGTTAACGTTGTGATCCAGAATAACATGGGGGCCGCGTGATCATTATTTTGGTTTCTTCTATGTCATCTTAGCCTTTATTGCTATGACGCTATATCCGCATTCTACCAACGTTTCGTGAGTCCTCTCAACGTTCCTTTCATCTTGCGATGAATCAGCGACACATGCATATGCATGTCAGATTGCAGGTCGAACGCACGCCGCAAATTTCCCGGCGATTACATTGCTTGGCATCTCACTTCTCCGTTTGTACCATCTCTCGCCCGTGCACTCGCATGTTCTTGTTGCTTTCGAACTTTCTCGGCCGATACCTGCACTCTACCGTGACTGCGCAGTCTTTGTATTCACGGTCCTACTAATAGATCCTACTGGTAGTTATATGTTCGGACCCCACGACACAAATTAGGGGTCATGGTAATAATAACCAAATAAAGATACGCGACCCTCCATTTATCCAATATGGAAGGTCCTTTGCTGCGTGCATCAAACGCGTGCTGGACGATTGTCAAACCCATTCATCACATCCAATTCCCTGGCTCATGAAACCCTGTCCGCACAGACACTAAGTACTAATCCACAATGAAAAGATCCCAAGACTCCGTATCGTCTCCTCCAAAATCATCCAATCATAAAAAAGCTAAGGTAGCGCCTAACCAGGTAGTCCATCACGCGAACACAGCACGCGAGGATCATAGCACTGGTGATGGGGAATGGACCCGCGTGGAAAAACGCAAGGCCAAAAAGAACAAGAAGGTTGAAGCCAAACACGATGTGTGTCTTATTAGTGCCTTCCTTTGTCGTCCACAGCTTTTTTTTGAATGAGATATATGTTTTAGGCACTGATGCCCAGATTCATGTATGTGAACGGTGAGATTGTAAAGAGAAAAGATGCTGTTCATATAAACGTGAGTTCTTTGTCTTTAGGAGTTTGGGGCGGATTGACGTTGCGTTGTCGTTAGGATGTTCGAGATTTGATATTGCACATAGTCGCAGATGCACCTCCGCCTAACTGGGTCAAGGTCGAGGTATGTCTTCAGGTTTCATCTCTGGATCATTGTTTTGACCGTCATCTGCAGCATCCCCGATCGATCGAAAAAGTCGTAGCGCTCCTCATACCTGGAATTCTTCCTTCGACTTTGGCTCTTCCTCCTCTGCCGACCTCAGCCACCGCCAACCCAAATGTTCCACTCTCAATCCCTCTCCCTGCAGAATCGCACACTCCCATTCCATTCATCGCATCTACTTACAGCCATGCATGCCCAACTCGTGCTCCGGGCGATCAAACTCGGATGTATTCCGTTCTTAGCGAGTTCTTCCAATGCCAGGTCACACCACAAGAGAAAGCCAAGAGACAAGCACAACGGGCTAGTATGTGTGTTATATATGACATTATTGCCGAGGCTGACGATGACCTCGTGTAGCACAACGTGCCTTCGATAGTACGCCGGCATTGTACATGCTTACGTTGAAAGAGATGATAGAGAACGAATATCCGGTTCCTTCGTACATGGCTGATGTATTCGAAAAGGGTCCCGGTTGGATCGAGACTCCAGAAGTATCGGAAGAATCACTGTTGTTACTCCCAGCAGATAAGCTGGAATCAAAAATATATGCTATCGACTGTGAAATGGTGCGTGGTCACACAGCTGGGTGCAGGGTCGCTAATTCAAACCACACCCTAGTGCTTGACAGAGGACGGCAAAGAACTTACCAGGGTTTGCATGATCGATTACGAGAGCGGAATAGTCGTTTACGACAAACTCGTCAAGCCTCCCAAGCCAGTCACCGACTACATGACCAAGTAAGTGGAACCTAACATCTCATGATCAGATCCAGATTCTGAAATGCGTTATCTCAGATGGTCAGGTATCACAGAATCTTTGCTCGCATCGGCTACGACAACTGTGGCTGAAGTTCAAGCACAGATTATGCCCATCCTCGCACCAAAAGATGGACCGATATCCATCCTCGTCGGACACTCCCTTGAATCTGACCTCCGCGCCCTCCGGATCTGCCACCCGAGGTGTATCGATACCGCGGTCATATACCATCACCCACGTGGCCGGCCGTTGAAACCGGGACTTGCGTGGCTCACCAAAAAATGGCTGAATCGCGAAATCCAGACGCGGGGTGATAGCGGACACGATCCCGAGGAAGATGCTCGGGCATGCATTGACCTCCTGCGGGCGAAGCTGAGATATGGTCCAAGCTATGGGGAGTATAAGACTGATTTTGAGAGCATATATGAACGTATGGGGAGGGCAAGCGGGAGGGGAGGACCAGGGTCTGTACGGAGCGTGGTGGTGGACCATGGTAACCCTGGTGTGATGCATGGATCAAAAGCCAGCTCGAATGTGCCGTGTACCAGCGATGAGGAAGTACTGAATGGGCTGTTGCAAGCTATTCCAGCACACGAGTTCGCATTTGGACGGTTTACCGGTGTTGCAGATGCACTGGGTTGTGAGTACCGTACAACTGCTCACCCCATTATACATACTTACGATTCGTAGGGCTAACACCAAAGGCGACTGCTGCAGAGACCCCGGTTGTCACCCCAGCAGAACCATCGCCCATCGTTCTCGCCAACGCCCAAGCAACCCTTAACAACCAGCTGGTCACCCTCTACACATCTCTCCCTGCACGAACTGCATTGATTATCTTCACCGGCCACTCAGATCCCCGACGGATGGCCAGCCTAAATGCCAGGAAATCGGCATTTGAGTCTGCTATTAGGAGCGGGAAGAAGGCCGAAGACATTGACAAGGCAGATTGGTGGACAGCTAGTGATGGGCGGGAACTCGAGGAGGAAGTTGAGAAGGCGAAGAGGGGACTGTTGTTCTTGGGAGTCAAGTGAATGCAAGGGATGGGTTTGATAGACTTGGCGGGTTTTCTTCCTTGTGCATGCATTTATACTCTGGCATATTCCACCGTTTGATTATGTTGGTCATTCGTCCCAATCGAGACCCAGCACTCCTTCTTTCCCTCCTCGTACAGCAGCTTCCACGGCTTCTGCGAGTTGCCTCAGCATCTTGGTGTCTTCGTCCAACTCTTGAGGTCCCAATAAGTCGTTCTTGAGCTGCCTAGTGTCAACTCCAAGGGCGCGATGTAAGGCATCCTCTCTATCTGCACCTCTGAGCTTGTCTATGGAAGTGAGGAGCTCTGGCAGACGAGGATTCGACTCCAGGGCGTGACGCACAGCAGCGGAAGTAGCTAACAAACGGAGATAAGGTTGAACGCAGGAAGGAAAAGTCGATGAATGGACATACCGATGGCTTCGTATTGGTGAAGTTGTATTGGCCGTGGGTCATCACGTTTCAAGGGGTCGGGATATGCCGATTCTTCGGGTACGTATGGCCAATTGAGAGAAGTGAGAGGGCGTAGTGGCTTTGGATCATCGAGAGTCTCTTCTGCGGATGAAGGTGGTACTGCTAATCCTCTGTTTGAGCAAGGGGTCTAGAATGGAAGGAGGGGAATTACTTTCGCGAGTCACAGCTGAAGTTTCAGTAGAGCCGCAAGATTCTGTGGGGTGATTTTTGGATGAGATCTATCTCGGGTGTGTTTTTGTTATACCTTTGTGGCGTTTATAGCATCCAACAGAACAGCTGAACATTGATATCAGCAAACGCTTTGAAGCGCGATGACACGGGGTTAACGCACTAGACGGTTGCTCTGCATTTTGCGCATGTATATTTTGATTCGGTTTCGTTACAGACATGGCACAAGTTGCGGGATCGAGGGGGCATCGTCGTCACTTCCGAGTCAAGCTTTAGACCTAAACAATTTGATTTTGATAACCACGTAGCACGTGACCACTACATCCACAGTGCCTCGGATGTTTTACCCGTCGAGTTTTGGTCCGTCATTAACTTGCTCTCCACTACTCAAGCTGCGGCAGCAGCGTCACTCGTTTCATTCTTCGACTGTAACTAAAACAACTTTACAAGGATGGAAGACGTGGTATATGTAGGCAGCGGAAGGTCAATCGACATCGAGCTTGGGGGACAAGAAGTTATCACCATCGATCTTGACAACCTCGATCCGAACCCGGAAGATGTATTGGACCTTTTGAAGGAGGGCCAGTGCAGAGTCTCTGTGTGGACAAAGTTGGCTGGCGAGTACTGGCGAAGGGGCTACCTAGCAGCCGCCGAAAGAATAGCTCATTCGGCTATTGAATGTGCGTCTCCGAGTTCAAGTTGGTTGTGTAACTTACCCGAACGTATCTACAGCATTACATGCAAACGGAACGACGGCTTCATCTCCTCCAATATACGCACTTCTTGCGAATATCCAGATAGCTCATGCTCAAAAGGCACCCAAGTTGGTACTTTCAGAAGCTCGTGAGCTCCGTCAATTTCCGCCTTAGGCGCCACTGAACATGTCATAGGCGAGGATAAACTGACGAATGTGCGCCCAAAGGAAGAATATTACCAGCAAGCTGCCCAGTATCTCAACACTGGTGAGAGGGCTGCTGCAGAAGGTGGTGAGGGTGTGGGGCGGAACTTTAGCATTCTTGACTCGAGGTATTGCGCTCGTTTCATCTAGTCTTTGAGTAGCTTACCACATTTTACAGGGATACAACAACTCGCGACGAGGTCTATGGATGATGCCATGCGTTCCTTTGAGGGTGTACTGGCTGAGAAACCCACTAATGTTGTGGCACTCCTCGGAAAAGTAGGTTTATTGCCTTATGATCCTAGGCAGTTGGTGACATCTTGGTATCAGGCTCGAATTCTCTATGCTCGACGGAGTTATCCTCAAGCGCTCAAACTATTCCAACAAATTCTCCAACTCAACCCGCGCTGCATCCCTGACCCACGCATTGGTATCGGACTCTGTCTATGGGCAATGGACTATAAATCGAAAGCGAAAGCGGCATGGCAACGAAGTTTAGAAGTTGTAAGTTCTGGCTCCAAGTGTGGGGTAGCATCACACAGCTCAACAAATTCCATAGAATCCAACAGATTGGCCGGCGCAGCTTTTGCTCGGACTCGAGTCCATCAACGCTAGTAAGACCGAAAATCTGAGCGAGAAAGAACGTGCGCAAGCCTTCCTTGCCGGTACAAAATTCATAGAGAAGGCTTTCAATGCCAACCAAAAGAGTGCTGCCGCCGCCAATGCACTTTGCGAACTCTTCCTCAGGAAGAATAGCTATAAACGAGTACGTGATTCTTCGTCTCCCTTCGCGAACGCACTTCATATCACGTCATTAGGCTTTGAAGCTTGCGGAGCGCACCATTCAGTTCGCAGATACCCTTACGTTGCTAACAGAGGGAAACCTCAGAGCTGCTCGAGTGCTACATGCAGAGGGCTCTCTCAAAGAAGCCACCAAGTATTACACGACAGCCACAGATGGCCAACCAAAACACGTTTTAGGCGCCATCGGCATGGCACAAATGCAGATCCAGAACGGTAAGCTGACTTGGACAGAGAAGTAGAAAAAGTATCTCATTTCAGTTTCAGACGAGATAGCTGCAGCGATCCACACCCTCGATCTTCTTCTGCAACCTCCAAATCCTCAGCGTTCCGTTGAAGCAATGGTCATGCTCGCTTCCCTCCGCGCACACCCTCGTCCAGGAGTTTCGAGCTCAGACTTTGCTCAAGAAAAAGCTAAAGCCAGGGAACTATTCGATCGCGCTATCAAAGCTCTCGAGCAAGACGACTCACGTACAGCCAATGGTCACGTCCCGCAACACACAGCCAGTTATATCAACGACGATTTGGATATGCATGTTGAAATTGCACGGCTTTGGCAAGAAGAGAATCTGGACCGGACAACACGGGCCCTTAAGGAGGCACTGAGGCTTAGCGAGGCGAACGAACAGATCGACCCGCGGCTGCTCAATAATATGGGTGCCCTTCAGCATATGGAAGGCAACCTAGCAGAGTCACGGGCCTTGTACGAAGACTCACTTACAAAAGCAGCAAGCTTGGGCCCGGATGTTGGAGAGGGGATGTCAACATCGATGTTATACAACCTCGCACGGGTGTACGAGGACGGTGGCGACGTTGCAATGGCGAAGGAAGCATACGACAAGCTCTTAGCCAGACATCCTGAGTACGTCGATGGTGAGTGCAGGTAAAAGCACTCACGCCTCTGTCTGATTGTCTTTTAGCCAAGGTTCGACAAGCGCAGATGCTAGCTGATCTCAATCAGTCAAATGAAGCGCACGATCTCTTAAAACAAGCCATGGCGTCGCAAAACAACAACCTCAATCTCCGCGCGTTCTACACCTACTTCCTCATCCAAAGTAATCTCCCGAAGCCTGCCAAAGATTTCGTCTTTGCTACGCTCAAGGACCACGATAAGCATGACGTTTATTCATTATGCGCCGCTGGCTGGATCCAATATCACCAAAGCCGGGAAAGTCGAGACCCGAGTCCGAAGGGATTAGAAGAGCGAAGACGTGGTTTCCAGCGCTCTGCCGAGTTCTACGATAAAGCGTTGCTCTTAGACCCGCTCTGTGCTTTTGCTGCTCAAGGATTGGCCATTGTGACCGCGGAAGATGCACTCGGGTCCTTTGGAGGTGGTCCATCTACTTCTGGTGGAGACGATCCACAAAAGCGAATGAGGAACGCAAGAGACGCCCTCGACATTTTTGCCAAGATAAGGGAATCCCTCAACGACGGCAGCGTGTACCTGAATATGGGGCATTGCTATTATGCTCGAGACGAATTTGATCGGGCTATTGAAAGTGTGAGTCTTCCATGGTCTGTCTCACTGTTTTACAGTTGGACTGACATGTACGCACTCTAGTATGAGACAGCATCTGTACGATTTTACAGTGGCCACAATGTTTCTGTGCTCCTTTGTCTGTGTCGAACGTGGTACGCAAAGGCTAGCAAGGATCAGTCATTTGTTGCTATGAGTACAAGCGCTTAAATATGCACAAAAGGTATGATGATATTTCTATTTCACTTTCATTGGAACTAATTTTTGATAGGCCCTCCACTTACAACCAAGCGACAAGGCCATATTGTACAATATCGCCATGGTTCAACAAAAATCTGCAGAGCTGCTCTTCGGTCTCAGCCCGTCGAAGCGTACCCTGAAAAGATCTGGAGTGGGCAATATTGCAGGCCGGCCATGCGCAACGGTGAGATCATTTAATTGACAGTGTCGTGGCTCAATTAAATGCGCTTCGTTAGATTATTCGCTTCTCTTGCCGCAGACTCTGCCTCCGTTGTACCTTACAGCCGTGATATCGCAGACCAACGTAGGAAATACGGTGAAAGTATGCTAAGAAGGGGAGACGAGCATCTAGCGACACAAAAGGAGTTCGAAGCTGAAGCACAAGCGAAACTCGTGGCTGCTAGACTGAGGAGACAAATGGAGAGGGATAAGTTGGAGGCTATTGAGGTAGGCCGCGTTCGGCTTCGTTCACGTTCTATCTCTGACCTACGTTCGCAGCAAGAAAAAATCGAGGAACACCGCCGGCAAGCGGAAAAGCTTGCAGAAGAGCGTCGTAAGGCGAGGGAACAAGCTCAGGAATGGACGAGGGAGGTTCAGATGGAGAGCGAGGAAGAGCGTGAACGGAAATCCAAGAGGGGCCGCTAAGAAGGTCAAAGTTGAAGGGGAGAGTGGAGATGAAGGGGCTGAACCTAAGAAGAAGAGAGAAGCGGAGGCAAACTCAAAAAAGCTATTGATCAGGATGTCGACAACGAGCAGCTCTTCAGCGATGATGAGGTCGATAGCAAACCAGCAAAGAAGGTATGGCATTTTGATTTGGCTTGATTGCAAATACTGAGCTCCTTGAATTAGCGTGTCCCGAAAAAAACGAGTCGTCAGAGATGATGACGACCAGGACGCTGTTGGAGGACCACGCAAAAAGCAATAGTACGTGAGACATCTAAATTTCTCGAGCTTTTGCTCATTCTCTCTCGCCAGTAAAAAGCAAGGAAATTATATCGGACACGGACGATGAGGAAATGTCATGATATCGGTAGAGTCTGTCTATATTGCTTTAGTTTGTGTTGGGCTCCTGTCGAGCTACGCCTCGCCATCTTTCTTTGAAGCTCGGAATCGCTCCGTGTATATACATATATCCTGTATCATACTAATCCGAAGTGAACGCCTATCTTCGTCTCTTCTGTCTTTTATGTAGCTCAGTTAGTAGCTAGATTAACAAGAACAAGAAGCCGTATTTTAGATGTAGCTTGTTTGTTGTCAGTGTTTATGTAATTTATGCTTATTACTGTCTGCACCCTTCGTTGACCATGATTTTTTAATAAATTGATCAGAACTCCCGAGTTCTACCCACTACTATGCTCAGGATATAAAGCATTCAGCCAGCCATGTTCCTATTGTGTTCCCCCAATCTTAAGAGTTGTTATTCAAGATCCCCCTTCGGAGATTCCACATCACCTCGCACAAGTAATGTGTTTCATTCACCCCGAGGACAGAGAGGAGTCAGCCGACAACTTATTCTACATACTTAGTAGTAAGTTACTGTCGGAGGGCTCATTGACTTCCAAATGAAAGATGACTACTAACCACCAATCAGGAACACAAGACAGGTAGTAGTCTTACCGTCCTCCAAATTCAGTTCAAATCAGACAGACTACAGAACACGAGAACAAAGTACTTACGGCGACCTGTCCAAATGTTGCCATGGAAATGTGATGGTGGAAGATGTACATCGCAGCAGTGTCGTCACTGCGTGGGTGTTTTATTTGTACAGCAAGTACTGTGAACCTATAAAGACGAAGATAACGGATGCAACATGCACCTCAATAGACAACTTGAACGATCATTTGGACAACTTCTTGATTTCCAATCTTTTCCTATTTCAACTATCAATCGCGCCTCCCAATCATCAGCGGTGCTCATCTGTGAGTGACAATCTTTCGCAGGAAGAGTCGAGGTAATGAAAGTATAGCCTACTCGTTGACTAGTATCTTGTATCCTTGTACAGATCCAACAGCGAACGCACACCCATCCCGAAGCCGTTGGCAGGATCGATTTGCTTGAAACAAGTTATATCGTGAGTGATGCCTCATGCTCGTCTGTCGACAAGGGTTGAGATCACAAAGCAGATAGGGCAGTCGAACTCACCAGCAACCTACGCCCCTGAAACTTGCTCTGATTCAAAGAAGACCCAGCCGAACCGCTCTCGCAAACATAGTCTGCAATTTTCTTGATTGAGATCCCCGAACGTCCGCCATGTCTTCTGAAGAAATAAAGCCCAACAAGGCGATGCGTGGCCATACCGACCGAGTGAGAGGTGTTGTGCACCTGTTCTGCGGGCAGCGCATCATCACATGTTCAACAGATGGTTCACTTCGATTATGGGACTTGGAGAGTGGTGCACAGATAGGCGAAGATTGGCGAGATGGGGGAGCGGTAATACTGAGCATAGCATTGTCTCCAAACGGCCTGACCGTTGCAAGCGGAAGCAGGGACGGGACAGTAAGCTTGTGGGACATTGAGAAGGGGAAGGTCATTGCCAAATGGAAGGAACACACTCGAGCTGTGAGATCAGTGTGCTGGAGTCCAGATGGTGAGCAAGTTGTGAGCGGAGGCTGGGACGGGACAGCCAGAGTATGGGATGTCAAGAGCGGCCGCGGCAAATCCGTTCCGGGTCTAAATCCAATAGAAACGGGGCACGGGTCGGTGCTCGTGGTGAGCTACTCGCCTAAAGGAACAAAGATCGCGACGGGAGGAGACGCATACAGTGGAATCAAAATCTGGGACGCAAAGACTGGCAAGCTGCTCTGCACAGTTGATATGCGACACCCAGTGACAGTTTGGAGCTTGGCCTGGACATCAGATGAAGAGAAACTTATCTCTGGGTTTGGGAATGGCTCAATTCAGATATTCAACACTGCTACATGGCAGCCCATTGATCGGTATGGTGACATGCATCATACACACAGGCACCTTGTCAATGCCATCATTGTATCTCGCAATGGCCGACTCTTTGTGAGTACATCATCGGATGGCACAGCACGCCTCTGGAATCTCGACACAAACCACCTCAGGCTAGTCTATTCCCTCCAACACAGAAGTGACGTCAAATGTGCAGCATTTTTCTGCTGATGGAAAGCTGCTATCCACGGGTTGTGTTGATAAGAACGCGTACGTGTGGGACATTCAAGCCATCCTCAAAGCAGCTGGCTTAGAATACCTCCTGTCCATACCTGAAGTGGGTGTTGACATGTCACTCATGGTCTCACTGACAATCCTGATATCATTTGCTCTTAGGCTAATTAGGCACCAAAAGTTGCGCAGGACATTGAAGACAAGTCGTTTTTGGAAGTACGTGACGCGGTTGTCAACCTCGTTAATGATAATAACACTGATATTCCAGGCTGATGCTACGTACCCACTACTATGCTCAGGATATAAAGCATTGGGCCAGCCGTCTTCCTACCGTGTCTCCCATTCTTAATAATTGTGATTCAAGATCCCCCTTTCATGTATCTCGCACAAATAATACGTTTTATTCACCTCGAGGGCAGAGAGGAGTCAGTCGACAACTTATTCTACATACGTCGTAGTACTCTTGGAGAGCTCATCGACTTCGAAATGAAAAGATGACTACTAACCACCAATCGGGAACATGCCTCACAGTCCTCCAAATCCAGTTCAAATTAGACGGGCTGCGGAACACAGGAATAAAGCATGGCACTCTGTCAAATGTCGGCATGGGAAATGATGGTGGAAGATGCACGTCGCTGCAGTATCGTACCTGGGCGTTTCATCTGCACAGCAGGTGCCGTGAACCTGTAGAGACGAAGATAACGGACGGAATACGCGCCTTAGTAGACAACTTGAACGATCATTTGGTCACCTTCTTGATTTCCAAACAAACATCAGCTATATCGACTATCAATCTGCACTCGATCATCAGTGGTGCTCGTCGAAGTTGTCTGAGCCGTGAGTAACACTCTTTCCCAAGAAAGGTCGACGTAAAGAAAGCTTAAAGCCTACTTGCTTACTGGTATCTTGTATCCTCGTACAGATCTAACAGCGAACACACACCCGTCCCGAAGCCGTCAGGATCAATTTCCTTGATCGAGATCCCCGAACGTCCACCATGTCTTCTCCTATTGCTATGATAAAAAAGACGTCAGCAGTAACGCCACGAAAGACGATGCGAGGCCATACCGGGCGAGTAGAAGGCGTTGCGCACCTGCCAGGTGGACAGCGCATCATCACATGTTCTTTCGACGGTTCACTTCGAATATGGGACCTAGAAAGCGGTACGCAGATAGGTGACGAGTGGCGAGATGAAGGGGATGAGGCAGGAGTAAGGACGATGGCATTGTCTCCAGATGGCAAGACCGTTGCCAGCGGAAGCCAGGATGGGACAGTGACGTTGTGGGATGTCGAGACGGAGGAGGTTGTCGTCAAATGGAAAGGGCACTCCGAGTTCGTGAAGTCGGTATGCTGGAGTCCAAATGGCGAGCGAGTGGTGAGTGGATCCTGGGACGGGACAGTAAGAGTATGGCATGTCGAGAGCGGAGAACACGTCCAGGGTTTGAATCCAATCAAGACAGGACACCAGCAAGTGTACGTGGTGAGTTACTCGCTAAAGACAACAAAGATCGCGACAGGAGGATACAATGAAGATGGAATCAAAATCTGGGATGCAGAGAGGGGCGAGCTACTCTCAACAATCAGAGACAAGTTCAAAGTGCCAGTTTGGAGCTTAACCTGGACATCGGATGAAAAGAAGCTTATCGCCGGGTTGAGGAATGGCTCGATTAGGATATTCGACACTGCCACATGGCACCAGATTGCCTTTCTTGACGGTCACCGAAACGACCGCCTCCTTGCGAGTACATCGTGGGATTGTACAGCACGTCTCTGGAATTTGGACACAAACCTCCAAATCGGACTACCTCTCCAACACGAAAACCACGTCGAGTGTGCGGCCTTTTCCACCAATGGAAAGCTGCTATTCACAGCTTGTGATGATCAAAACGCGTACGTGTGGGACATTCAAGCCATCCTCAGAACAACTGGCCTAGAAGACCTCCTATCCATACCTGATGTGAGTGTCAACTTGACTCCCACTCGCCATCTCATTCCCAATGGCTGTTAGGCACAAAAATCTGAACTTAAAAAGAAGGTATGTATCCTCTCATGGCTTTTCAAGAATGAAACACGCTTATATCCCACTTGTACAAGTCGTTATCAGGTGTACGTTGTACTTTTTATGACATTGACCTTAATTGTGACATTCACATTCTAGGCTAATGCTACACAACGTCCAGCTCCCCATCGCCTGCTAGGCTTTTTTGATGACGTGCAAGACCGTGGTCCTGTGCATGACCCCATCTCAATTTTCCTGTAGTTCTTGTTTCTTATTTATATTTTCTCGATTCTCTACTACCCAACGTCTTCAGCCCGATCCCAATCTACATCGCCGCCGTGGTGCTTTTGCACCCTCCTGGGGATCAAATCCACGTGTGCTTCTCACTCGCCTTCCCTTACTCTTCCGCCGTTCCCGACCCAACGTTGATGAACCAATTGAACTTCAGCAACGCCCAAGGCCCAGTACTTCCTCTCGTGGCAGTCCCCCCGTTGTCGAAGTTTCTGCACTAGATGACAAGAAGGTACGTTTTTTTTGGGGGGTGTGTGTGGTTCTCAATGGCTGGTGTCTCAAGTTTTCTCTACGGGCGCTGTATACTGCTCGGCGGCCGGAACGAGCTGGCGACAAGGCGAAACGCATCAAGAACCCCGTATGTTGGGCTCGTATTGTGCTATTTCTGTGCTGTGCATCTCCGTCCACCAATGACAGTCATTAATGGGCGTAGCGCATGGAGATGATCTGGGGAGAAGACCTGCTCAAGATTGTGTTCTGAATACTTGTATACAGCCAGTGTACTGGCTAAGATGGAATGTAAAGTAAGGATGTCCTATAATCATGTTTCTGTCGCTGTGCGCGAGGCATGTTAACGGTAGTTCCACGTTGAACGTTGAACGTTTGGTCGTTGACTCAATTAAGGTTGATAACGCAGTGTTCCGGTCAAGCGGCTGGAGTGTGCCACCGACCAGACCTATGTTTGAACAGCAAACGACAAGGATATTTTAGCATTGAGCATCCCTATGGAGATGCCAAGCTTCTTTGGAACTATGCGGGTGGGTGAGTTATCACAATTCAGAGTCCTGGGATATGGACGCTGCTGAGGCTCGTAGATCAGGTTTTACATCAGTTTGAAGAACAAGTCAGGATTCATGTGGTTATAACAGCACGCCGAGTCTTCTTTTACATGTCCTCTCAGCGCTGTTTTTAATCTAGGGATGGCGTTGTATCTTCACCAGATATCAATCACGAATTCTCAAGTAGGATGTCTCTGGCTGTGCAAACTGATGCACCACACTAATACCATGTTGCAAATTGATGATTCAGCACTCACCATTTCTGGCATCCTTATGATACGAAAGTCCGATAGCCGTGCGTAAGAAGATACGCATGCATGTTGAAATTCTTCTATCTCTTACGGTGCTCAGGTATCAGCCCGCGCAACTCCTTTACGACCAACATCTACGTTGGTGGTGTATCATCTAGCACGAACGTCATCGCCACACGTCCACCAAGTTCGCCTCTCATCCCCAATATGACCATAATATCAAATGATTCCACTGCGTGGCCGGTCATCAATGCATATCGCTTCCGCAGCTATTTTTTTGGTTCGTGGAGAGCAGCCAGATGTTGAAGCTGACGTCTCAACTTAACCTTGACTCTGGTTTCGCAGTTGCCGCTCTTGTTGGAGTTGCGTATGACTGGGGTGAGCATGATAATATTGAAGAACTGCTGATATCCTACAAGTATCTTCAGCACTTACATTCGGACAAGAGGTATGTTGACGCGATGACCGGAGCAGCCATTTCGCTAAGAAAGGTTTTATAGGTCGAACTGATCTGGGTGAGTGGAGTCTTACGTCAGAGGAACACGCATGAAAGTATACTCAATTCCAGAGACAACGCTGGTCCCTGATGACAATTCTGTATCTCAGCGTGTGTAGCTTACCTGTCACCATTGTCATGTTGTGCTGACTTGAAAGTGTCCTAGGTGCGCTACCTTGGAATCTTATTTACTGCGTATGTTCAGAAGTCTAAACAATCAGTGTTGTGCTAATCGTTTATCTCTCATAATCAGCCTGGACATGCTGAGTATGTCTCCTTAGTACATTCACTTCTTCTGACGAACGGCATACAGGCAGTGTTCCGACCGTCTCGCTAACAGATACAGTCAGTTTTCTGCACAAATGCTTGCTATCCCCCTCCAATTAATTGTGGTGCCCTGTAGGAGTGGGTGCGGTCCTTTACTAACTTCTTGGTTTATTAATGACTGCCACAGATGTGAGTCTGTTTGGAGTGTGTGCTACCCAAGGCTGATCAATTACTGGATTCCTCAGGCTGGATTTCGTTCGTCGTATGGAATTGGACGACTGTTTTGGTATTTGCAATGTTGTGGGGTACGCTTGACACTTGCGAGACCTCAGTGATATTGACTTGACTGAAATATGGCGCAAGTCATCATCATCACTCGGTTACATGCCATGTATCAAGGATCCAGAAAGATCCTGATATTTCTCATTGTCACCGCCCTGGCTGAGAAAATTTTCAATGTAGTGGTCGCCATAATGGCAACGATGTATACTTCAGGAGGTACGCTCAATTTTGGATCACAAGATATGCATCACATTGATGAATACCAGAGGAATTCATTCTTTCCGGCACCTATCAGTGTTCGATTAGCTACCTGGGAGATATCCCACTTCTGAGTCCCATTAGTTGGATACTCGGCACCGTGTGGGAGGTCCTCGCACTATCTCTCGCAATATGGATTGCTGTCAAACACCTCCGTGAACGGCGACGACATTCGGCACGAGGGATTATCGAGGACTGTTTCACGGTGTTGATTCAAACTCACGTGCTTTACTTTCTGAGGTGAGTTTATGCTGTGAATATGGTCCCCATTACCACTGAAGGATCGGACATGTCAGCTTTGTAGCTGTTTCTTGCTTCCACCTCATTATTAACCTGTCTCCAACACTCTTAGCGGTATGTCAATCTTTCACTGACCTCTGCATGCGACCACGATTCATCATTTCTGTAGGACCAAAATTCCCTGGAAACTCAGATTTATTATGGCTTGATTCAGATTTCAGCGGTCGTGCAGATGTTTGTGCTAGGACCACGCCTGATCCTTGGGGTTCGAGAATATCACGCTAAGCTCGTGGCCGATTCCGACGCAGCAACTGGCATGACCTCAATCGCTTTCCAGGAGCGGGTGTATATATCGACTGGCAATGGTGTATAGCACGGGAGATACTCGATGGAACTACTTAAAGGCTGTCTAGTGCCCTGCAGGAAGCAGCAGGTGAGTTCGCTTTTGTTCAGTCCCGCCTTTGCCTTGGTATTGATTTAGGTTATGTGGTGTTGTGCAGTGGACCCTTGTAAAGGACATATGGGTCTGGGGAATGTCTTTCGTCGTAGTATTTATTCAAGTGCACGTGAGTAGCTATGGGTTCTGACAGTCTTTTGAACGATGCACGAGAGGTGGGGATGCACGAACTGGTGATGAACCCAAGTTCAGTTAATTCATGCATATCTCTCCATACAAACCTTTTGTCAAATGTTTGTGGTAACGTAGTGCCAGTCGATATTTTCTCTGGACACTCATTCGACCCCACGCACTACAACACAAATCATGGGTGGAGTTTCAAATTGGCTGGGTATGGCGCATCCCCACTAGTTCGCCGAAAGTTGTATTTTCTTAAAAACGGTTAGCGATTATGCATCATGGCGTAGCCAACGCCTTCTTTTGGGGGAAGAAAAAGAGCCATCTGGTATTGACAAGTATTGGTTAAGCATGGGGCAAGCAGAGATAAGACACGCTGTCTGCATATATTACTTGTCCGAAGACATTCCTCGTTGTGTGATAGAGCGATAAAACTTACCCAATCCTGAAAGACAAACCCAACGACATCCGAGCGAGGCACCTCTGCAGTAGAGCTTGTCTGCCGTGATACGGTACACGTCCCACAAAAGCTGAGGCGAGGAAAGAATAGAGCCAGATCACTCCTGGAATGTCATAACACGCAGGAGTGAGCGATTCCTGCATACATCGCCCTGACATTGTCAAGACCCAAAAATGCTTCATACATGTCTATGGACATCGTATGTATAAGAGCTGGTAGGACAATAGATATGTTTGTCAACGTATCGGCAGCAGACTCTGCAAAAGAATGACAATCCACAACTCGTGTATGCTTGAACTTTGCAGGATAGCGCAGTGCGTGACTGCATAAAATGTGGCTGCTCACCGTTGGACCACCAATCGAAGTTTTCTGTGTGATACAGAGAAGCGTGCAACACCGTGTTCCGAGTAGGGGTGCGATAGACACGCTGGTAGAAAATGTGTTGAAAGCGGAGACGTACGGGACCATTTGAAGGGCCGGATAAAGATAGGGAGATGCACGTGGCGCTTCGTCTGCGCAGTATTGTGAAGCTGTGGAGAGAACACGAGGATAGCGAATACGCACCTTAATAGGCAACTTAAACCAACACTTGCGCAGCCCTCTGGACCCCAAAGCAAACATCTACTATCTCAACTACCAGCCCGCCTCTCTCGTTCTTGCGTGAGCGATACACTGATTGTTTTACGTAGGAAACATTGAAGCGAGAAAAAGATAGGGCCACTTATATACCGGTATTGAGGGATATCTCCTGGATACGTCGCCCTGAAGCTGTCCTGTGAGGATTGAATCCCCCTGGATAGGACCTCTCGTGAGCAACCCCTCCAGGCACTTCTATTGACATCAACTGAAATGAAAAACAGATAGGCCAGTGAACACATCCACGGATCTATACCCCCGCAAGACAGCTCATTCCAATCGAAAGGTCCAGCGAACTGCTCTCGCGCATACAGGCCACGAGTCTCTTGATTGAGATCCCCGAGCGCCCACCATGTCTTCTCCTGCTGCTAAGACGAAAAAGACGTCAGAAGTAACCCCATACAAGACGATGCGACATACCTGGCGTATATTGGGTGTTGCACACCTGCCTGGCGGGCAGTGCATTATGACATGTTCATGGGACGGTTCACTTCAGCTATGGGACCTAGAGAGCGGTGCACCGATAGGTGACGAGTGGCGAGATGAAGGGGATGAGGCGGGGATTTGTGACTATGGCATTGTCTCCGAATGGCAAGACTCTTGCAAGCGGAAGTAATGACGGAACAGTGAGGTTGTGGGACATTGAGACGGGAAAGGTCATTGCCAAATGGAAAGAGCACACTCGAGCTGTGACGTCAGTGTGCTGGAGTCCAGATGGTGAGCGAGTGGTGAGCGGATCCGAAGATCGAACGGCGAGAGTGTGGGATGTGGAGAGCAGAAAACCCATTCAGGGTTTGAATCCAATCAGGACAGGACACATCGACATGGTGCACGCGGTGAGTTACTCGCCCGAGGCAACAATGATTGCAACAGGAGAACTTGAAATCAAAATCTGGGATGCAAAGACGAGCAAGCTGCTCAATACAATCGAAGTTGATGGAGACTTCGAAGATGATTCGGAATACTTCGGCGATCCCAACCTGGCTTTGAGCTTAACCTGGACATCAGACGAAAAGAAGCTTATCGCCGGGTTGGGGAATGGTTCGATTAGGATATTCGACACTGCCACATGGCACCAGATCGCCGATCTGGAGGGTCATGAAAGGCTTGTCTACTCCCTCACTTTATTTCGGAACAACCGCCTCCTTGCGAGTACATCTTGGGATGATACAGCACGTCTCTGGAATCTCGACACGAACCTCCAAGTTGGACCACCTCTCCAACACGAACAATACGTCAATTGTGGGGCCTTTTCCGCTGATGGAAAGCTGTTATCCACAGGTGGTGAGGATGAAAACGCGTACGTGTGGGACGTTCAAGCCATCCTCAAAGCAGCTGGCCTAGAAGACCTTCTGTCTATACCTAATGTGAGTATCAACTTCACTCCCACTCGTTATCTCATTCCTAATGGCTCTTAGGCACAAAAATCTGAACTGAAAAAGAAGGTATGCATCATCTCATGGCTTTTCAAGAATGAAACACGCTAATGTCCCACTCCCACAAGTTGTTATCAAGTGTATGTTACGCCATTCTCTAACCTTGACACTGATTGTGACATCGTCATTCCAGGCTAATGCTACCCGACGTCCACCCATCCGTCCAGTCCCCCGTCAAGTGCCAACAGGCTTTTTCGATAACGTGCAAGATCGTAATCCTCCTTCTGTACATCGCCGCCGCCGTGATTTTGCACCCTCCTGGGGATCACGTCCACTTGCGCTCCTCGCTCGCATTCCCTCGCTCTTCCGCCGTTCCCGACCCAACGTCGATGAACCAATTGAACTTCAGCAACGCCCAGGGCCCCCAGGGCCAACTAACTCCTCTCATTGCAGTCCTCATGTCGTCGATGTTGCCGCAGTGGTAGACAGGGAGGTGCGCCTTTCTTGCGTGTATTGTAATTACTGGGTCCGATGATTTCTGTGCAGGTCATATTTGTTGCTCGTCGGCCCGAGACTGCTAGTGAAAAGGCCAAGCGCATTAGGAACCCAAAACCGTGGGTTCGCGTGGTGTTGTTTCTCTGCTGCGTGTCTCCTGGTACCGATGACGGTCCTGGCACCAACGAGACACATCGCGGAGCATAGACAGATACTTTTATCGAGTGTAGTGTGATGTTGCTTTTGCTACCATATTATGACCAGATATTCATTCGTGATTCTATTCTAACCTGTCTGTCAAGGGATACCACCTGTCATGAACACATTAAATGCCTACGACAAACAGTACTATTAGAGCAGAACGACGGGTCTGGCATCTATTTCTTTCCCGAAGACTCTGATACTCTTCGTTGCGTGATCAAATGCAACAACTGAGGCCTTGCCACATGAATGCTGCCTCAGGTATTCAACAGCCCCTCTCGTTCTTTGGTAGAGTTTGTCAGTACCGTGAGTGAGACTGTGGGTGCTTCCTAGAAAAGCCAAGGTGAGAAAAAGATGAGAAAAAACCAACGTCCTGGATCATCGTAACGATCTCCTGCGACATTTGGACGAATGTAGAAGTAAGCATTTGTCGCGATGGTGTCATGATCGAACAGCGCTTCATGTACATCTATGGATAAGAGTTGATGTGACGTGACAATAGGTAGGCTTGCTTGCTTACAGGCAATGATGGCCTCTGCAAGAGAACGATGACCCGCAATTCATATACATTTGGACTGACTTCGAGAAATATGTACAGCTTAGTACGTGAGTCTACAAATGCGGCCACCTACCATCAATGCACCACCAATCGATGTCGTATACAAGCGTGTGTCTTTCGAGTAGGGTCCGACATAGATAGGCTGGAAGGGAGCACGTATGAAGAGAGCGGAGATGGTTCGGTTCGGTTCAAGCGCTCAAGGTCCAAATAGAGACAGGAAGACGCACGTGGCGCAGTCATGGTCTGAGGGCGCTTCGTCTATGAGCTGTGGAGAACACGAGGGCAACGCACGCACCTTATCAAACGCCTTAAGGCTTAAACCAACACCTGTGCAACTCTCTCGGCTCCAAAACAAAAATCCACTGCATCAGCCACCAGCCCATCCCTCTCATTCTCGCGTGGAGTGAATCAGTATCTAGTTGTTCGAAGTAGGGCTTGCTGTGAGTTACTACATGCTGTGCGAAAAAAGGAGGAACTTTATTTACTGAGCGCTGTCAAGGATCTTCGTGGAGACCTCTTGCAAGTTTCCAAAGACCAGGAGCGAAATCGTCCTGCATACATATCGTCCCGAAATTTTCCTGTGTCTCTATTGTTCTCGTAAGCAATGCCGCCTGTACAGCTATTGACACGCATTCAGTGAAAACAGATAGGCCTGTGAACTCACACACAATATATATCCCGCTGGCCAACCCATTCTAATCCAAATATCCGACGAGCTGCTCTCGCGCATGCAGGCCACGATTCCCTTGAACGAGATCCTCCAAGCGCCCACCATGTCTTCTCCTGCTGCTGAGATGAAAAAGATGTCAGCAATAACTCCCCGCAAGACGATGCGGGGCCATACCGAGTGGGTAGGCGGCGTTGCGCACCTGCCCGGTGGGCAGCGCATTATCACATGTTCGGCTGACGGCTCACTTCGAATATGGGACCTAGAGAGCGGTGCGCAGATAGGTGACGAGTGGCGAGATGAAGGGGATGAGGAACCAATAAGGACGATGGCATTGTCTCCAAATGGTAAGACTGTTGCTAGCGGAAGCCAGGACGGGACTGTGAGGTTGTGGGACATTGAAACGGGGAAGGTTGTCGTCAAATGGAATGGCACACTGAAATGGTGAAGTCGGTGTGCTTGGTGGGCAAGTTGTGAGTGGATCATTGACGGGACGGCAAGAGTGTGGGATGTGTCAAGCGGAGAACCTGTTCAGGGTTTGAATCCGATCAAAACGGGAAACGAGTCGGTGTACGCGGTGAGTTACTCACCCAAGGCAACAATGATTGCGACAGGAGGATTCAAGGAAAATGCAATCAAAATCTGGGATGCAAAGACAGGCAAGCTGCTCAACACCGTGACAGTCGGAGATCGTTACGTCACTTGGAGCTTAACCTGGACATCGGACGAAAAGAAGCTTATCTCCGGGTCAGGGAAAGGCCTGATCGAGATATTTGACACTGCCACATGGCACCAGATTGCCGTTCTTGAGGGTCATGAAAGGCTTGTCTACTCCCTCACTTATTTCCGAACGACCGCCTCCTTGCGAGTGCATCATGGGATAACACAGCGCGTCTCTGGAATCTCGACACCAACCTCCAAGTTGGACCACCTCTTCAACACGAAGAGAAGGTCGAGTGTGCAACCTTGTCCGCTGATGGAAAGCTGCTATGCACAGCTGGTTCGGATGAGAACGCGTACGTGTGGGACATTCAAGCCATCTTCAAAACAGCTGGCCTTGAAAACCTCCTGACCATACCTAATGTGAGTGCCAACTTGACTCACACTCGCGATCTCATTCCCAATGAATGTCAGGCACAACAATCCGAACTCAAAAAGAAGGTATGTATCCCTGTCGCTTTTCAACAATGAAAAACACTTACGTCTCACTCGCGCAAGTCGTTATCAGGTGTATGTTGCACCCTTTTCTGACCTTGACACTGATTGTAACATCGACATTCCAGGCTAATGCTACACGACGTCCGCCCATCCATCCAGTCCCCCGTCGATTGCCAGCAGGCTTTTTTCGATGACGTGCAAGGCCGTAATCCTGTGCGTTACCACCATTTACCTGCAATACTTCTTCTGATTTTCATATTTTCAGTCCTCCACTACCCGCCATCTCCATTCTGATCCCTCTCTACATCGCCGCCGCCGCACTTTTACACTATCCTGGGGATCGCGTCCATGTGCGCTCCTCGCTCGCCTACCCCAATTCTTCCGCCGTTCCCAACCCAATGCCGATGAACCGATCGAACTTCAGCAACGCCCAGGACCTAGCACTTCCTCTCATCGCAGTCCTCCTGTCGTTGAAGTTCCTGCACTCGATGACAAGAAGGTATGTTCTTTTTTGGGTGTGTATTCAGTGGATGGTGTCTCAAGCTTTCTTCACAGGCACTGTATGTTGCTCCGCCGCGGGAACGAGCTAGCGACAAGGCTAAACACATCAAGAACCTAAAGTGGTGGGCCCGTGTTGTGTTATTTATCTGCTGCGTGTCTCCGTCTACCGATGACGGTCACTGATGGCGTTAGAATATGCACCATCACATTCATTTTGATATCCTCCTTTTGTAATGTCTCAGTATTTTCCGCCAACTTGACTAACAATCATTGACGCCTCGCATTCTAATTCGTCTGTGAAATGATAGGTCAATTTGCACATCAGTTGGTCAGGACTGTTTCCACGCTGCATCCAAAGAGTCATTTAATGTTGCTGTCCATCACGTGAAAGGACGATAACCAGAAGCAGAAAATTCTGGACGAACGTGTCAGCGAATTCAATTTGGACCAGATGCCCACAACTTTCGAGGTGGAAATAAGAAAGTGCTATTACGCGATAGGGAGCATGGATTGAGCATAGGGCAAGCAGAAATAAGAGATGTTGTCGGTATCTATCGCTTGCCTGAAGACTCCAATACTTTTGCCCAGTCCTGAATGCCAAAATAAACGACGTCACAGCATCCAACGGGCCTTCTCATTTTCAGCAAAGCTTGTCTGTGTCATGAGTGATACAGTGTAAAATCCACAAAGATAAGATCATACCGGTGTCCTGGATCGTCTTGAACGATCTCCCGCGACATTTGGAGGAATATAGGAGCAAGCACTTGTCCTGATGATGACAGGATCGAACAATGCATCATACACGTCTATGGATAAGAGTTGATGTGACGTAACAATAGATAGACTTGCGTACTTACCGGCAATGGCCTCTGCAAGAGAAGGACAACCCGCAATTCGTGTACACTTAGACGAACTTCTAGCAATATGGGTAGACGGTTTAGTACGCAAGTCTTAAAGATACAACTGCTCACCGTTGCGCCATCAATCGATGTCGTATATGGAGAAGTGTGCGTCCTTCGAGTAGGGTCCGACATAGATAGTCTAGAAGGGAGCACATATGAAGAAAACGGATCGGTCCAACCGCTCAAGGTCCAAATAGAGACAGGAAGATGCACGTGGTGTAATTGTGGAACACGAGGATAACGCATGGAATACATATCTTATCATATGCCCTAAGCCCATATCTGTGCAACACTCTCAACTCCAAAAAAAACATCCACTGTCTCGGCTACAAGCCCGTCCCTCTCGTTCCTGCGGATTGAATCTATGTCTGCTCGCTGTGAGTAACATGCTGAGCGAAAAGGGTGAAGGAAGAAAACTTTACTTACTGAGCGCTGTCAAGGATCTTCGTGGAGACCTCTTGCAAGTTTTCAAGGACCAGCAGCGAAATCGTCTTGTACAATCCCAAAGTTTTCCTGCGTCTCTGACGTTCTCGTAAGTAAGGTCGCATGCACATTTATTGACACGCATTGAAAACAGACAGGCCTACGAATTCACCCACAATCTATACCCCCGCAAAACAACCTTTCGAATCCAAAGATCCAGCGAGCTGCTCTCGCGCATATAGCCCACGATTCATTTGATTGAGATCCCCGAGCGCCCACTATGTCTTCTCCACTTGCTGAGATAAAGAAAACGTCAGAATTGACGCCCCGCAAGACGATGCGAGGCCATACCAGGATCATAGAAGGCGTTGCGCACCTACCCGGAGGGCAGCGCATTATCACATGTTCGTATGACGGCTCACTTCGACTATGGGACCTAGAGAGCGGTGCACAGATAGGTGACGACTGGCGAGATAAAGGGGATGAGGCACCGATAAGGACGATGGCATTGTCTCCAGATGGCAAGACTATTGCCAGCGGAAGCGATGACAAGAAAGTGAGGTTGTGGGATGTTGAAACCAGAAAGGTCATTGCCAAATGGGAGGGGCACACACGTGCTTTGAAGTCGGTGTGCTGGAGTCCGAATGGCGAGCGAGTGCTGAGTGGAGACGGGGACGGCACAACAAGAGTGTGGGATGCGAAGAGCGGCAAACTCGTCCACATCAAGATGGGACCATTTGAAGGCCACCATATAGTGTGTGCGGTGAGTTACTCACCCAAGGCAACAATGATTGCGACAGCAGGAGAAATCGGCATAAACAACATCAAAATCAAAATCTGGGATGCAGAGACGTCAGACGAACTTTCAGTAATCACTGGTACTGGCACACAGGTGGTATACTGGGATGATCAACCGGATATCTACGACTCTAACGAACAAAAGAATGTGTGGAGCTTAACCATGAAAAGAAGCTTATTGCTGGGTTGCATTCGGGCCCGATTAGGATATTCAACACTGCCACATGGCAGTTGATCGCCACTCTGAGGGGTCACACAAATCTCGTCCGGTCCCTCACTGTATTTCCAAATGACCGCCTTCTTGCGAGTACGTCATGGGATGGTACAGCACGTCTATGGAATCTTGACACAAAACTCCAAATTGGACCACCTCTCCAACACAAAGGCAACGTCTATTGTGCGGCCTTTTCCACCGATGGAAAGTTGCTATCCACGGGTGATGATGAAAACGCGTATGTGTGGGACGTTCAGGCCATCCTCAAAGCAACTGGCCTAGAAAATCTCCTGTCCATACCTGACAGCGTTAGTGCTGTCATGTCACCCATGACAATGCTGATATCATTGTGACTAGGTACCAAACGTTGAACCAAAACAAAAGACATATACATCATCTGACTCGTCAAGCATAGGGCACAAAGACAAGTCATTTTTGGAGGTACGTGATGCTTTTGTTAACCTCGTCCGTCGTGGTAATAACGTCGACATTCCAGACTGACACTGCGCGAGGTTCCAAAGGGTTTTGACCACATCAGGGACGCAGATGAACTCTCACCAGGGTTTTTCATGACCCCGAAGCCAATGCTAGTGAAAAGGCCAGACGCATGAGGAACCCCATCTGTGGGTTCGCGTGGTATTATTTCTTTGTTGTGTCTCTCCCGGTACGGACAACGCTTATCATAGTACGTAGGCGATTCATCTCGTGGCATTCCACATATCTCTTTCATTCAATTGTAACCCTATCTCATCGTCCCGTATCCTGCGTTCATCATATCGACCTTCGTGTATGTATCCTATCCTAATCAAGGCATCTTGAAGGCCGGAAAGAGATGGCGCAGGGTTGAGATCTGAGACGACGAAACCTGTGTATCCGTCCATAACCTAAGACATCATTTTCTCACTTATCGTCTCTTGTGAAGGAAAGATTAACTCTATAACGCTGAGGGCTATGTCATACCTATTCACGAGCGATCTGCATCGTTGCGGCCTTGATATATCTCCCAGATACCTTTGTTGGAATATGATGTAATCCACACATTGGATGCAGTGAGGGAAACTGTAACGGCTGGATAGTCTAGTGGTTAAGACGTCCCCCCGGAGTTGGGAAGGCCTAGGTTCAAATCCTGGTCCTGCCATGATTTTGGTGTTCAATAACCTTGCCTTTGCTCGGGCGTTTCAGCATGGATGGAACACACCTTGGTAGACAACTTAACGAATGCTCGGGTGTCAGGAAGCTCGTAAGTAGCCAACAAGTCCTCATAGAAAGAAAGAAATATATAACATTCCACTACCAAATCAAGGATGCGACTACGGAGCATTCGGGCGGAAGCATGTAGCGCTCTCCGTCCCATTCGTGGATCGCCCAAGAGAAGAGTTGCGAGTTGAGGGTGAGCGTGCGATGGCCCGGCCCCGACTTGAAAGGGGGCGGTGAGGCGGGAAAAAAAAATCACTTGTTAGATATTGCACTTACTGCATGCAAACTAAAAGCATCTCATCTTCGCAGGATGGCGCATCTAAAATGGCCGGCGAGGACGGCGGACTGTGGAGGTATGCCTCGCATTAGGACATTCGCGCATGCAGAGATGCGCCAGGGACACCGGGGGTCCCCTCCAGTAGTACTCTCGATAGGACATAAACTTGGATTTTTTCAAAGACAAATTATTCGACAAACTAGTAATACTCTTGGAGGGCTCAGCGTCTTCGAAATGAAAAGATGACTATCAGCTACGAACCAGAAACACGAGACAGGGTAGGCACCCTTGTGTGCTACCTCACCGTCCGCCGAATCCAGTTTGAAATAGACTGGCTAGCAGAACACGGAAATGAAGTACGGCACTCTGTCAAATGTTGACATAAACCGCCAAGTTCAAGGCAGAAAATGCACACGGCACCAGTATCGACGTGCCTGGGCGCTTCATCTGCGCAGCAACTGTTGTGAACCTGTGGAGACGAAAATATCGGTTGGAACACGCACCTTAGTAGACAACTTGAATGACCTCTCAGAAAAAATTCCTGAGTTCCAAACTTTCGCTGTCTCAGCTATCAATCTGCACCTCTCGTTCGTCAATGGTACTCATCTGTGTCTGGGTCTTCTGAGCCGTGAGTCACACTGTTTCCCAGGAAAGGTCGAGATAAGGAAAGCTACAAGTCTACTCACTGACTAGTATCATGTATCCTCGTACAGATCCAACAGCGAACATACACCCGTCCCGAAGCCGTCAGGATCGGTTACTTTGAAACAAGTTAGACCGTGAGTAATGTCCTATGCTTGTCTATCGATGAGAGTTGATGTCAAAGCAGATATGCCAATGAACTCGCCTACAATCTACACCCGCGCAAGACAACCCATTCTAATCCAAAATCCAGCGAGCTGCTCCCGTACATATAACCCACGATTTCCTTCGTTGAGATCCACGAACGTTGGCTATGTCTTCCGCCGCTGCTAAGACGAAAAAGACGTCAGTAGTAACGCCTCGTAAGACAATGCGAGGACATACCAAGCAGGTAGTGGGCGTTGCGCACCTGCCAAACGGGCAGCGCATCATCACGTGTTCTTTCGACGGCTCACTTCGACTATGGGGCCTAGAGAGCGGTGCACAAATAAGCGACGAGTGGCGAGATGAAGGGGATGAGGCGGGAGTATTAACCATGGCGTTATCTCCAAACGGCAGAATTGTTGCCAGCGGAAGCCAGGACGGGACAGTAAGGTTGTGGGACGCTGAGACGGGGAAGGTCATTGCCAAGTGGAAAGCGCACACTCAAACCGTAGAGTCAGTGTGCTGGAATCCAGATGGTGAGCAAGTGGTGAGCGGATCCTTCGACGGGACGACAAGAGTGTGGCATGTCGAGAGCGGAGAACCCATCCAGGGTTTGAATCCAATAGAGACAGGGCACCAGCACGTGTACGCGGTGAGCTACTCACCCAACGCAACAAAGATTGCAACTTGCGGACGTGATGGAATCAAAATTTGGGATGCAAAAACAGGCGAATGGCTCTCCACAATCAAATTCCATCGATCGCGACCAGTTTGGAGCTTAACCTGGACATCGGACGAAAAGAAACTTATCTCCGGGTCGAGGAATGGCTTGATTAGGATATTTGACACTGTCACATGGCAGCAGATCGCCGTCCTGGAGGGTCACACACAGGGCGTCAAGTCCATCACTTTATTTCCAAACGACCGCCTCCTTGCGAGTACATCTTGGGATGGAACAGCACGTCTCTGGAATTTGGACGCAAACCTTCAAGTCGGACCGCCTCTCCAACACGAAAAGGACGTCCAGTGTGCAGCCTTTTCCGCTGATGGAAAACTGCTATCCACAGGTTGTGAGGATAAAAATGCGTACATATGGGACATTCAAGCCATCCTCAAAACAGCTAGCTTAGAAAATCTCCTGTCCATACCTGATGTGAGTGCCAACTTAACACCCACTCGCCATCTCATTGATCTCAATGGCGGTTAGGCACAAAAACCTGAACTGACGAAGAGGGTATGTATCATCTTGTGACTTTTCACGAATGAAACATACTTACGTCCCACTTGCACAAGCCGTTACCAGATGTATGTTGCACCTTTTTATGATCATTACATTGATTGTGACATTGTCATTCTAGGCTAATGCTATGCGATGCTCCGCCATCCGTCCAGCCCCCCGTCAAGTGCCATCAGACTTCTCTCATGAAGTGCAAGACCGTGGCCCTGTGCGATACCACCGTCTCATTTTCCCTCCTCGCCCTGACTTCTATGTTCTTAGTCGCTTATTTCTAACTATCTCCATCCTGATCCCTCTCTACATCGCCGCCGCAGTGCCTTTGCACCCTCCTGGGGATCAGATACACGTGCGCTCCTCACTCGCCTTCCCTCACTCTTCCGGCTTTCCCAACCCAACACCGATGAACCAATCGAACCTAACCCACGCCCAGGACCTAGTACCCCCTCTTGTCACAGTCCTCCTGTCGAAATTCCTGCGCTAGATCCCGGGAAGGTACGTCCTTTCAGGGATGCATTCTCAATGGCTGGTGTCTCAAGTTTTATCTACAGGAACTGCATGTTGCTTGGCGGCCGGAGGAACGAGCTAACGACAAGGCGAAACGCATCAAGAACCCCGCATTGTGGGCTCGTGTTGTGCTGTTTCTCTGCTGTGCATCTCCGTCCACCAACGACCGTCATTAATGGGTGTGGCGCATGGACAAACTATTTTTTGTCCTAGTGTCCTGGTTTTTTATATAGAAAATCCTTGATTATTGTCCGTTGGAGCCAAGGGCTGTGGTTGTATGATACTTCCCAAGTACACTAAAGTACTCGCCCTGAATGTATCTTGTCTGTGTATAGTGTCTAGTTCCTCTGTTTTGCTACGATGTTGTTGTGTGTCGTTCGCTACACCATCAGACCTCTCAACATCCTAACTTGTCTGTCGATTTTGCACAGCTGATGAGTGTTATGTAACCTAGATCCAGGGGACCTCGGTGCAGCAAGAACTTTCGTACCAACTTGAATCAGTATATTTCGGACGCGCTGGGCCCGACACTGGCATTCAGACGAGGCCTGTCAGCCGACTATTGCCCACAAATTTCGATCATCAGACTTAGGACTGGCCAGCGTAGGCCGCAGCCACATGTCTTTTTTCGATGTTGACGGCGACCAAAGTTGAGTACACCCATCCACCGCACTTTTACCCAGGCGACCCTGTACTCCCTCGGAGACAAGGAACAATGTTGACGAAACCAGTTTTATCAAGGTACCCGGGCCAACGCTCTTCCAAATTCCTCTTCCTCGTCAACCGTGTCACACGTGTCCCTTGCACCTCGTCCAACACTCGCTCGATGAAGAGAATCAGTCTCGAACTCTCCACACTACCCCTTGACGGAAAGTACCACAAATCAGTGATATTTATCCTCTTTATCGTTGTCGCCCTTTTTCACTTTCATCATAACGCGCCCTCCTGTATGACCTTGGGTTTTGACTGCATAGCAGAAAATAACGTGTCTGTCACGAATCACGATCAGAAACGAAGTGACGTCCCGTTGGCTCCATTACACACACCAAGAGAGATCCATGAACTGGCCTTCGAGGTCAACGTTAGACGAACAGATTCAACCTGCGTGTTTGTACAGTTTTGGGTTTTCGTTGCCAACGTACAGGCAGGTCAATCCTTTGGTGGCTCCCTGGCCATACTAAGGCGCGCAGATGTTGAATTCTGGTCGCACAGCGACCTGCTCATACTCTCTACATCATAGGCACAAACCAAGCCACTGCAGCAATCTTGCTTTGTTTTGCAAGTATGTGTCTCGGCCTGATATGCACTGACAGACATAGATGCTGCTAAAGCAACGACGACGGCGAGGAGGGAGAACGCATTTTCTGTGCGAGGTGATATGAAATCTTCTGAAGGGGATCTCGAATGATATCCCTGAGGATGGGGGAACACTATCAATGAACAACGACCCGCTTTTATATCCTGCATATACTTATGGGCACGATTCTGATCGATTTGGCAGAATTGTCATTGCTGTCAGATGACAGAAATTTCGGTAGAACCTCCAGGAGCGTATTCAATTGGTTACGACCATTTCATAACCTGCCGTTACTGTAATCGTATTGTGTTAGGGGTATAGTTCATGATATGTGAGTTCTCCCGCATGAACTACTGATTTGAACCATCTCTGAATCCGTCCCTTCGCAGCGCTCCATTTTTTGCAATCCAGAAATCCAAATTGGCTCACTTATGCTGGTGTACGTCGGGTAAAACTCTTGACTCTCTGTTGGTTTCTGGAATCTGGTAGCGACTCTCAGTCATTCGACCAAGATTCTCGCCAAACTCCGCCATGCATCGAGGAACGCGAAATAATCCACATACTCACCCGTTCATACGACATTCGAGTGGCCCTAATTCTCGTACGAGAGTTTGCTCATTCCCAAATTTAAGACGGTGGATCCGTTCAGGATAAAGTCTTACAATTTCAAACTACACTTGGACTCGGACATGACGGAGCATCGGCGGACATTGCACTATCTGCTCGCTGACATGCAAATTTGGCAATTCATTCCAGCCAAGCCATTACTGATCATAGGAAGTAGCTTGTAGCCTGCAGGTTCTGCCTAAATTCGTGCCATTCAACAGCGATGACCATCCGTCCAAACCGATCGGAACTCCTGAGTTCTCCATCCAGGATTCAGCAACATGACTGACCCTTGCTCTATATAATTTAGCATTGCCATCAAACATGCGATTTTAACGACCAACCAGGTAGCAGCCAGAGCAGCGCGTCGTGACAGTGAGTTATGTTTCTGCTTGAGCTTTGGTGCCGTGTTTGATGGCGCAATACGTAGTTTGGAGTTGATCAATACGGCTGTTTCTGCATAAATTTTCAATCCTGCCTGCGCAGTGCATATTACGGTGGAACCTTTGAACATCTGAGACGCTCCATAGTAATATGAAATTGACTTGATAACATGACATACGAGTGACTACGTGGTATTGATTCCACATTGTACTAATCAACGCCATCTTCGAGCAAATAACGTTTGCACATCTGCTCGATCCATCGTCTCTGATAGACGACCTACCCACATACCTCGCGTAGGTGTTTTTGGTGAGAGAAGCTCAGTGCACTAGCTTGCAGTGGCGAATGATAGTAAGGCTTTAACTTTTCTGCAGGATGGTATTAAAATCGACTGCACTCAAAAGTCACCATCCCTATCGTAGCGCTTACACTCTGGTATCCAAGCTGATCATGGACTCGAATGACAAATAGATTTATTTTCATAGTTCATATACATATACATAATGATTTACGCGACATACATGCTTGAGTAGAACAGGACGAAGACCCTAGTATCTTCACAAACTATCCTCCGTCTGCACAGATTCAGCAATATTCCACCCGCCGAGACCAATCTGCCCCAATCTCCGGCACGATGCCAGTCGGATCACCCGCGTCAATGATGCGGTGGTAAGGGCCATCTGCCCGTGCATCCAGGGGACGACCCTGTGCTACCGCCATATGAATGAAGTAACTAAGCGTCTTCCTGAAGTGGCTTGGGTCCTCCATGTCAAAACGGATAGGCCGCAGCTGCTCTTGTGAAGGCTCATAGCAAGGAGCTACCGGATAACGATTGATCATTGTACTGATGACATTCAGGTCCTGCTCGTCCAAAAATTCATGGTAATTATTGTGAGGCCAGTAAGACTGTCCCTGGTCTGGAGCAGCAATACGTGGAATGGCGAGGTGAGATGGAACCCGCCGCAGGTTTGTACGTGAGTTGTGCGCAGAACGCGAGATCGGTGGATACGGCGAGTGGGTGGTAAGAACGGCGGAACAGGGGAGAGCAGGGGCAAGGGCGTACGAGCGACCAGCGCTCGACTTGGCGGGTATACAGTCCGCCTGTCTACTGCTCTCGACTACTGGGGCCTGGCCATCAGCTGTTTCCACCACATTCGCGACAGCTTGGTCATCGGTGGCCTCATGCCGCTGTTTGCGGGCAAGGGAAGGGTAGGCCGTGGCTGTGGGCCGCGAAAAGCACGTGACTGAAGGTGATTGCTGAATCGTTCGCTGTTTGCCTGCGACATGCTGATAGCGGCAGTTCTGCGGGGGCAGTTGGGGCCTGCTGTTCTTTGAGTTTAACGAAGTCGTTCTCAAGGCGCTGCGGGGGGGCCTCGGAGGTGGTGGTGGGGGATTGGGAAACTGATCCAACAAGTCCGCGCACGAGTCAAAGTGGTCGCGAGGTGGCGCAAGGTCTCGGAGATCTGGGTACCATTGCGCGCGATGGATGTCCAATATCCTCGGAGCTTGCCCAATGTAGACAATGTCCGAAGTTTTAAGGGTCTTGCCACGATACGCGGGTTTCAAAGGATCGGCGCGAGGGTCACGCGTGCTCCCTTGTGAAGAGAGTCCAAATGTCATCGATTTAGAATGCTTGAGCGACGGCGTGTCGTCGTCGTAGGACCTGAGCGGCATTGATTACTGTTATGTCAACTAATAGAACCTGAAAACGGTTGACTCACTTTTGGAACAATTTCTTGAAAGAATTCATGGCTGATATTTTGGAAAAAAAAACGGATGAACAGCTACGAAGATTGTGAAGAGGTCGACTGTCTGGAAATGTGGCGAATCTGTGTTGCAATATATATGGGCTGGGCTGTTGTGGACACATCATGGTCATCCACACCCACAACGACAAAGCCGTTCTTCAAAGTCCACAACCGATGCAAGCATTAGTGGATGCTTTGATTACCTTTGATGTCGCCCCATTTGTGTCACAAAGACACAATATGCACCAACCGACCCACTATCTGGCACGGATGCCACAGGCTAAATGAATGCATAGCACGACGTGTTCAATGTTTCCCAAGAGCTCATAGCTTGTGGACACGGAATAAGACTTACCGGAGATGATGACCAGAACAACGTGGCTCATATCTCGTGCAATAGATGGTCGACATAGTCCCATCGAAGATACAGACACATTTCATGCAGCGAATGGGCTAATAACCCATGATATCATGGTGCCCATTGAGACTCTTAGATACACCCCGTACAATGTTGGAAAGAGGCCCAAGAGGAGAGTCACGAAAGTTCTGCTGTTGATGAGACTATTGAGCAAGGCGATGAACTCGACTTGTTCATTCCACCGTATTGAACCATGCAGCTAGTTGCGAGAATGCAGGGCATGCAGTTGCTACCTGGACAGATGCTACAAGGGACCTTGATAAAAACACGTTTTTGTGATAACGTACTATGTCAATGTTGAAGTGGATGTCTCTTGAGTAGAAGAAAATGAGATTACCGTGATTCCGCGACTTAGTCCATCAGTGATTATGTCCATCCCAGTATTCTGAGAGTCCGAGACGATGATGACTCCGATGACTTGCGTTTGAGAAAGGGAGCTACACTTGAGCTCTGATATATAATGACTCTTCTGCATTTTATAGGCTGCTGGAATGCGGGGTATGCTCAGTATTTGTGGTCTCCTTGACAAGTAAATCATTCAATGAAAGTGTCGTACCGCATGCGTTGCTAGATTACTTCCTCGACATTGTGAACTGGAGGTCGACATTTATTTCAGAGACGCGTAACACCTGGATTGATTGTTGTGGCGTGGACTTCCTCAACATTGTGAACTGGAGCCTGTCGAAATTCATACATTCATATGTGCCACAATGTAGATTGAATATATTGTTGTGGTGTGGTCGAAGACTCGAAGCCCACAAGTTGCCACAACAGCTGAATCAGCTCAATGTCAATAATCCACTTTTGGATAGGGCGGGGAGGCCAAATATGTGTAAATACTCTCCTCCTCGTCTCTGGCATTGGCGCCAGTCAGTACGTTACTGAGACCTTGTACATCTTTCAATTCCTTATTCTAAGACCAATACTTTTGGCTTCCTAATAAGTACCCTGCTGGGATTTCCTTTCCACATTGCAGAACTCCGACGGTCACTCCGCGTCGCACAGCAACTAGCGCGTTCAATATCCTTTCTGTCGCCGACGACGCGTATCGCCTTGGTTTTTGGCAGAGAGCTGAGATACAACTTCTCTGTATGTTCTCCCGCGATCATACGATTGCGTTTGCGCTAACCTGTTTCAGATCGTGAGCCCAGAGCTCCATCGTCTTTCGAGCTCCGGTACCTTGGGCTTGTCCGTCCCTTTCTTCTGGGATGACTGTCTCCCATAGAAAACGACAACACCAGCCGGATGAAATCCAAAGTACGTGGTTCCTTCTACCTATTCCAATAGTATCGTCTGCTTCATGGAATACCTTTCTCACGCTTCATTTACGTAAACTGTGCAGCTGTAAACGAGCCCGGCTTGCAGATTCAATGTGATTGCTGTCAATGCGACTTGACGCATTCCGTTCGTATCAAGTGCGCCGATCCTGTCTGTGAGCCAGGTGATGGCGTGGATATATGCCCCGCCTGCTTTTGCGCTGGCAAAGAGTTCGATAAACATAAAGCAGGCCATGCGTACCGAGTTATTGTATGACATATTCACGCTTGACGCACGTTCTTGTACTGATTGTCATGTTAGGAACTTCACTCGTATCCAATTTTCTCCGCTGACTGGGGAGCGGATGAGTAAGTTACCGTTACCAATCCCTTCCTCATCGCTCCATCTGAAACCTACTTATAGGGAACTCTTACTTATCGAGGGGATATCTCAGGAAGGCCTTGGAAATTGGCAGATGATCGCAGAACACATTGGTACTCGCACAAAAGAAGATGCGGAAGAACACTACAACAGCGTATATGTTGAATCCTCCGATTGGCCACTTCCTGTACGTCTACATATGATTCAAGCCTGTCCCTTCACTGATTGCATTGTATTACAGCGGATGGATGTCGAATTCAATATCGACCCAGATGAATTCCAGGCTCGCAAGCGCAGGCGAATGTCAGCCATGACCACTTCTTTACCTCCACCACCCAAGGTAGCCCCAACCTCCGCTCCTGGTGTACACGAAATTGCCACCTTCCTTCCTGGTAGGCTCGAATTCGAACACGAGCTCGATAATGAAGCAGAGGATCTTGTGAAGGACCTGGAATTTGGAATATGTCATGCATGGGGCGGTGATCAGATTATGGAAGATGAGAACGACGCGGATGTCCGCGCCAGGGTACGGATGCTGGAAGAGCGCAAAACTGTTGCTGGTTCCAGGAACAGCAGTCAACCACCCGTCAATGGTGTCAATGGCATTGTGAATGGCAACGGACATCTTCCAATGAATGGCGATTCACGTGTCAAGTCAGAGGAACCGTCTGGCGAACAGCAGACTTCAACGGAGGACGACCCAAATGCGGAAGAAGCAACTCTGCCTCCTCCATATGAGACGGAAGATTCACTCGCCTTTAAGCTGACTCTGATGGAGATGTACAATCAGCGTCTTGACAAGCGACGAGAAGCCAAAGCTATCATGTATGAACGAGGTCTCTTGGAATACAAGAAGGTATGTCGGCGTGTGTACGCACGTCATAAACTCACTTCTTTTCAGATGCAAGCCGCCGAAAAGAAGCGTCCGAAGGAAGAAAAGGACATCGTTCAGCGGCTCCGACCGTTCGCTCGACTTCAGACTGCTGAGGATTTCGAGGTTTTCACAGCTGATATTCTCTGTAAGAACTTCTAGCATTGTGGTGGAAAGGTGCTGATGATATTGCTGCAACAGATGAAGCCATGCTAAGGAAGAGAATACAAGAACTGCAGCATTATCGACGAATGGGACTTACCACTTCGGCCGATATCGATAAGTTTGAACTCGATTCCATTCGCAGGGTAAGAAATGTTCCACAATTGTTTTCTCAAGTAATGCAACTCACTTGTACGCTTAGACTCAAGCGAAAGCAAATCTATCTCGCGATTATTATTCTTCAGAACGTCTGGCACAGCTTCGTGCATCAGGCAGCACGAGTATGATGTTTCTTCATTGTCTCTGTTTACGTTCTTCACACTGTTGCAGGAGAATCTGAAGGTCGCAAAAGTCACGAGAGAGAATCAACTCCGAAACTTGGGACCCCTGCTGGAACGGGTCCTCCGATCCGCAGACCACGTTCGTTTATTCCATCCGAAAGTGTCATATAATCCCTGACCTTACTATCCAGCCGCCCCTCTCAATCTTGCCAATAGCCCATCCTTGCATTTGCTTACTCCAGCCGAGCAGACCCTCTGCACGCAGCTCCGAATCTTTCCCAAACCTTATCTTATCATCAAGGAGACCCTCGTCCGGGAGTACGCTCGTCGTGGAGGCAAGCTTCGCCGCAGGGAAGCGCGGGATCTCGTCAAGATTGATGTGAACAAGACGAGTCGAGTTTGGGACTTCTTGGTGCAAGCTGGTTTCCTCAAAATCACACCTGACCCGCCGCCTGTTGCTGCTGCTCAGGATACCTCGTATGTATATCACTTTTCCCTGTAGCTGGATAGTAACGAGATTCTCTAGTATGAACGGCATCTCCCATACATCATCAAGTGTATCTCCATCCAAAGAAACACCACGTATCCCACCACATCCTCCCGCAACAGGGAATCTTTCCATTAGTCAAAACGGATTTGGTCACAGACCAATGCCCAACCACACACCATCTAGCATATCTGCCCCACTATGGCCTTCAATTTGACGTCCTTGCTATCTTTATCCCGCCGTCTGTTTGCTTCATCAAGTAGCATTTGTACCATAGCACTCGCATACATCATTTACCATGTGCAACTTATGGATTCATTATTGAGATTTTTAAACTCCAGAACCAGGTTGGGCGATTAGATTGTCGATTATACTGCGGTCGACCGGGATATTAGCTTTACGCAAATATCCATCATTCCTACACAGATGTCAACGTTTCTCCAACCAGACATGAGGTTTTCTTACCAGAACTGACGACAACCCAGGCACAAACGCATTAGGGAGCATTCACTCTTCCCAGATACCATGCACTTACCTTTGAGTAATGTCTGTTGCCAGAGTCACATCTGGGAAGATGGTGAATCACATCATTCATTCCGCGGGTGTCCAGGGAAACCTACAAGATCGTGACAAGCGTTTCACCGTCCCGCCATCCCCTTTTCTTTACGAATTTGATGCATGCCACCAGATTGCAGGCGCTGCTGGAGCCCAGAAATAGACCATCGTTTTGAACGAGGTATCGGGACATGGCAACCGCTTCCACGTCAGTTATCCTTCATTGTCGGTGAGCTCCCCATTGAGGTCGAAGATGAAGGGTTCAACGTACCGGAACGCGTCATCTATGATCGGGATCGCAAGGTCGATGTTATTTGTCATCCGGTTGATTCCTCTGGAGATAGATAAGTCAGAAAGGGCAATAAAAATGATGCTTGTATACGCACATTCCCTCGACTACTGTGTCAACTTGATGCCTTCGTTTTGTTCCTTCAGCTTCTTTGCGGTCGTACATTACGCCGTGCTTGACCTGAAGTTGAGTGAGAGAAAGTCGGGCAGCCAACAAAGACAGGCTTCGACCTTGTTGTAGAGACCGCTGCCTTCTGGGTCTGCTAGGACGACTTGCACCTCCTCATTCATCGATTTAAAAAATTGACCAATGCCTGCGATCGTTCCGCCCGTCCCTAGTTTACATAGTATTGAAAAACCGGACAAGTTGAATAAAACACACGCGCACCTGCTCCAGATACGAATGCATCGATATGACTATTAGTTTGACGCCAGATTTCCGGACCAGTCCCGTTGTAATGGGCTTCAAAATTACTGCGATTCTATGCATACGTGAGTTTAGTTATCATTTATTTATCAAGGTGAGCACCTCGAATTGGTCGGCAAAGAAGCCCCTTGGCTTGCTTAGCAGATCTTCATCCAGCGGGTCGTCAATGGTGCCTTCTGCATTAACGTGCGACGACGTAGTCGTGACAACTACAGATGCAGAACCTGTATGGAGCTCGTGGTTGGCATGAGCGTCCTCCAAGCCTCTCATTATATCCGAACGTCCGAATTCGATGGCTGCTCGCCTGGCGATATTCTTTTTGCAAATTTGTGAACTTTCATTGCGCAACTTTCCTCAACAAAGAAATTAGTACTCACCACATACTGCGATTATCATGTCGATCCCGTTAAATAAATAAAATGGTGACCATGGTATGAGCTCGCACCTGTTTTTTGTCGACGATGCTCGCAGGACGAACACGCTGAACATCAGCTCCAAGGGCCTGCAAAGCAGTTCACCTTCTCCTGGGCAACATCATCCGGCATGATAATCGCTAAGAAACATGAGATAGGGTTCAACAGCTCGAGGAATTTGCCTACTTGTATCATATCCCCTGCAACATCATGTTATCAGATGCGATGTTCTCGCACCAGAAATAGGGTCACTTGCCTTGCCTTGGCTATCGTCGCTATTGAAATGCCAGTAGATCCAACAGTGCCTTCAAAGATACGGGATCCAGTGTGAGGGTGCAGCAAACCTTGCCGCTCCGCGTCCTCGATTACTTCATATTCGCAAGATAATGAGTTTTTAGGTCGATTGCTGTGTGACAAACTCACTGCGCAGAGCAACTCGGTCCTTGACACTCCCTCCAGGATTCAGAAACTACAAATTGCGGAAAAGTTGGAAAATGATTAAAGGGGCATGTTCTAGCTCGAAACACACCTCTGCCTTTCCAAGAATCTCGACTCCCAAAGCATCACTCAATGAGTCGATCCTCACCAAAGGCGTATTTCCTGGACCGTTCAAACTTCGATACCCTGGAAGAACGCTCAAACGACTAAGTCACACACCTATCAACCCAGTGACACCATGTACAACTTCATCGCTTCTCAACACAATTGGCCGAAACTCGTGTTGCTCCTGTGAAAGGCTTTGACGTCGTCGAGAACGCCAATATGATGATAGGGATGTCGACGTTACGGACAAAGTAAACCCGATGAGGACGCCGAACGTAATATAACGAACAACCGCGTTGGAATACCAGGGAGGCAAAGCCAACTCAAAAAGTTTCATGGCATGAACTGAACAAGATCCTTGAAGTACATGCTCAAACTTATAATTGACCGCAGGACTCCAACACCTGGTATCTGCATGGTATACGCTAATTCAAGGGCAATCATAGCGAGCTAGCTACTCAATATAAGACCGGGACACCTCTAGCGAAGCTTGCAAGTAATTGATTTGCCATAACAAATTTTCATAAAGTCAAACAAATTTATATTGGGCAATTACAATACGATACAAGTAGGAATCCATCAGACAGACGCTCAACTCGCTGGCTCCGTTTCACTAAACTGCAAGCAGTCGCGCGAAAGACAGAACCAAACGTCCTCGAGACCCCACGTAAACGCGAGACCATGTTCTCTGTCGAACGAGAGAGCGCGAATGTCATCGAGTGGATTTAAGGATGTGGCATGTGTAAACATGCGAGACTCGAGTTAGTTTCTATAAAATAGATCCTAGCTGAGTATGTTCTAAGGATTCAATTACTTGGATGAAAGGTTTATATATCTTTTCGACCTGGTCCGTGCGCGACACTCCCACGGCTCACTCACTACCGCGTTGCCACACGCTTAACATGCATGTGCACTCTGCACGGCGGTCCATTGATCTCTATGGCAGGTTGTTGAGGTCCTGCGAAATACTACCCATCTGGCTGACTTGATGGTTTTCAACGGGAAGAATAACGACCTAGTTCACAGATCAAGTTGCGTTGTGAGATTGTTCTCTTCTCTACTCACAACGCATGACACATGTACATGATGTACATGCACCTCTCTGTTCCGTTTCCGCCTTGATCAAGCCCATCCGACAGAAATACAAATCAGAAACGTATGTACCTTGCACCCTTCCTCGCCGACCCTCCGGATGGTATGGATCGCTTTGCTCAGAAGATATCGCCCACCTCGTACATCGTTTGGTCTTTGCGTCTGTTCCGCGTCTTTGGTAACCATTACTTTCGGCGATGGATTATTCCGTGGTCGTGACACAGTCCAACGAAATGCCGCCAGCACTATGGTGCGCACGACCTTCGGAATTTCCTCTCGTCGGGGACCTGTTTACGTTGCGGACTGAATGGTCGGTAAAAATTATTTGGGTAAAATGTTTATTTCTACACACACCGTATCTATCCCCTCTAATTCGATTGTTTTTGCAGGGATCAGTAGGGACCAGTGCTGTTCAAGGCTGTTGATATATTTGCCACATCCCGCCACGTGAATTAGTCTCCCCTAGGCATCCAATCGTATTATACTGTGAATTTTCAACTCCAAGCATAAGCACGAAATGAAAGCCAAGATCTACATGCGTCATGGCGTCACAACGGCTATAAATGGATTATTTCCTTGTCAAGCACGTCATTCCCAAGTCTCACAGCTGTGGCTGTAGATATGCATCTCAGGTTTCTTTCCACCATGACAAACACAATTCAAAAGCAAAAGCTCTTTTTGTCATTTCCGCGCTATGCCGTGGTCGGTGCCTCTACAGACCAGTCAAAGTTCGGCACGAAGGTACTCCTTACTTCAGCATTTGTCACAAACATGACAATATCGTCTATAGGTTTTGCAATGGTATATTCAGCGGAACAAACCAGTAACCCCGGTCCACCCGTCGAATGACGAGTTGGAGGGCATAAAGACCATACGGTCTTTAACCGACCTTCCAAACCCAACCGAAACGTCACTGAGTATCATAACGCCCGCTAGGGTCAGTAGTATGTTGCCACATTCACAGCTTCACTACTGAATATGTGTTTGACAAGATCACTATCGATCTGCTCAAGCAAGTCGAGGAGCTTTCGATTCCCGCTGTCTGGTGCCAGCCAGGAGCAACTGATGTTGCTTGCGTTCAGTACATCAAAGACAACGGGATGTCTGACCGTGTACTTTTCGAAGGGGAGTGTATACTGAGAGATGGTGACGGGGTCTTGCAGGCAATGTTATAATATTCATGAATGCACTATCATTGCCCTATGAAGTTGCCTTTTCCGCATTCTGGCAGATCATCGGATAGTCTGCGATCACCGGCAAGTCCGATCGATTGACCGCTTCTATGATACTAGAGTCCGAGTCACTCGTACCGCAAGATCATCCAACTGCCAGTCTGCAACCACGTGGATCGCTATTAATTTAGTCCCAAACGAGCCAAGGAATCAAGATATAAGAAGTTGTCTCTGTGATCACAATATTCTCCTTCAGGCTCTCGTCATGCTATTCGCATTCCTTTTACCGCTTCTTGCCCTGACTAATGTAAGCGCCAGCCCTCTTACCCCCCGTTCCATTGCCGCCCATTCCACTACACCCGTCAAAGCAACTTGGTATGCGGGATGGCATGCGACTGAAGGATTCCCGCTCTCTTCAGTTAGCTGGGACAAGTACAACACGCTGTACTACTCATTTGCGTAAGTTACCTGTATTGGCGTAAATGCAAATAGCTTCGATTAACGCGATCAATCTTAGAGAGACCACTCGAGATGTCAATAATCTGAGCCTGTTAGGCTCTGATGGCGAAATGCTCCCTCAGTTTGTCTCTGAGGCCCATGCACACGTGAGCAAATAAGAATTTGCTGCTCCTACACTTGTAATCTAACCCATGCGCAGGGTGTCGAGGCCCATATTGCTGTCGGAGGCTGGACTGGGAGCATGTGGTTCTCTTCTAACCTTGCCACTGCCAAAAACCGGACGGCATTTGTCAAGACCGTGGTAGATTTTGCTTCACAGTACAAGCTCGATGGCATCCAATTCGAGTAGGTTGGTTCCTGTGAATCTGACATCACGCACTGACCTAAGTCGTCCTTAACAGCTGGGAGTCCCCGAACGATCAGGGAATTGGCTGTAACACTATTAGCGTGCACGACACGGCAAATTTCCTCGCGTTCCTCCAAGAGCTTCGCCAAAACCCAGTGGCGGCAAAGCTCACCCTCTCGGCCGCCGTAGGACTGGGACCGTTCTTTAATGCTACAGGAAGTCCTTTAACTGACGTCACTGGATTTGCGAAGGTCCTCGATTACGTCGCCGTGATGAATTACGACGTTTGGGGCCCTTGGTTCTCGACTGTGGGGCCTAACGCACCGTTGAACGACACCTGCGCCGCGCCCGCGAACCAACAGGGCTCTGCTGTTTCTGCAGTCAAGGCGTGGACGAACGCAGGGATGCCAGTCAACCAGATCGTACTCGGTGTTGCTTCCTACGGTCACTCATTCAGCGTCCCTCCCTCTAAAGCCTTCACATCCGGCGCGAAGACGCTAGCTGCATACCCTACTTTCAACGCCTCCAACCAGCCCTTGGGTGATGCATGGGATAACACTGGTTCTGTTGATGTCTGTGGCGTTTACGAGGGCCCAGGTGGCACTTTCAACTTCTGGGGCCTCATCGACAACGGTTTCCTCACCAAAGAAGGCAAGCCTGCTGATGGCATCCACTATAGATATGACACCTGCAGTCAGACGGTAATATTATTTTGCGCCCTGAAGGAATAGTGCTCATTTCATTGCTTTTACAGCCGTATGTGTACAATGAGACCTCGCAAGTTATGATCTCCTTCGACAACGCCCAATCGTTTGCTACCAAGGGCAAATATATCAAGGACACCAAGATGCGCGGTTTCGCGATGTGGGAGGCGGGTGGTGATCACAATGATATGCTCCTCGACTCTATCATCGATGCTTTTGAGTGTGCTTAGATTCGTCTGCGCTATTTAAGGTCTGGAACCACTGCCAAATCACGTTCGTTTACATAGATATGACCACGTACGTTACACTCTTTATCGCGATTACGCTCTTTGCCAGTCTATCAGCACTTATTGTCTGAAAGGACTTCCCTTTGTTTACTGTGCGGCCGCCGCTGCATCCTTAGCCGCGACGCCTTTATCTTTCGTTACACGGCTACAGTAACCTTACAGTTTGAGTAGTTAGTCCATATACTTATTCTTTAGTTAGTTCCGAATCACTATTGATTCCTATTCGAAACTCGTATTGTAGATATCTATTACTCTCATCTCCTTCAGTTTCCTCCGATGTAGTCACTAGGAAGCACCCCCAGGCTGGTAACCTTTGTGGCGCAGAGTCTCACACTAAATGAATAGATTGAATCATACCCACATCTATTTATATGTCATGCTTCTATAGAATCTACTAATTCACATGCATGCCTTGGCTGTAGACCCGCTCTCTAATAGCATCTTTGCCTTTCCTTCTGCCCAATGCTGAATGAGAACCCCCGCGATTGCAGTTGGCGCGGGTATCCTGAAGGGTGGCTCGTCGTTGTTATTAACTTCTACAGACTGATCTTGAGATTTCGCCGACGTGGAGTTGTCGGGACCATCTTGGATCTCCCCGATCTTCTTGTGGTCACGACGGGACAAGTGAGTTCCACTAGCATGTCTCAAGACAGTAAGAATTTCTTCTCTGGTGTACCATCGAGCATCTATGGCACATCCCAGAGTCAAACTACAACATCAACGTTTCAGTAGCAGACCACTGACCTTCAAGTTCGTTATCCAAATCTGTACGGATTGGTGCAGAAGAATCAGCGGTTGCATAATAGCCAACCATCAAATTGGCTGGATATGGCTAAAATATCGAGATTGATAGGTTGGAGTTCTGCTGTGCAGAGTTGACGTACCCAAGGCTGTCCAGAGTGATATCGGATATTCCAGACCTTCACTCCAGCCTCCTCCCACATCTCCCGCTTGACGGCGTCCTCGAAGGACTCGCCTGGCTCGATGAAGCCAGCAAGCGCGGAGTAGAATTTACCGGGGAATTTTTTCTGTTACGTGCCACGTTAGGAAATACAACTTGTATTGAAGACCGGCATGCGAACATTTCTCCCGAGAAGGACTTTCTCTCCTGATTCATCAATGGCGAGCATGATTACAACGGGGTCCGTTCGGGGATGAGCAAAGTTATGCAGCCCTCGCCTTCATGTCATATAAGTGATTGTTTCCGACGCAGTCACGGTGTTGGAACGAACCCAGAGGGACAAGGTTTCCTATCCGTGTTATCGGCCCAAGGAAGTAGAGATGTACAGCTCAACTTCCATCCAGCCCACAAGGAATATACAGGTGAACCGCAAGCAGGACAGAACTGTATCATCACATTTCCCGTATAAGGCTTCTGTTCTGCAAATACTGCCACGTACCTTGTTCCTTTGGTTCCAGTCTACCATACTCCGAGCCTCCGCAAATATCGCTGCGGTATATGCATCGAGGCTTGACATCGCCGCACGTGGCTCCATAAAAGCCAGTGTCGATCCATCCTTTACAAGCCCAGTGTTCTCTATGGCTTCATTAACCTTGTTCTCATCTAGGTCCGCGACATCCGCGGAAAAGTAAGGGGTTCCAGTGAGTTTCGCAACAGCAGAATGGGGATCTTTGAATTCGGAAGATGGGAGAGCACTTCCTGAAGTTTCCGTCTCTTTCAAACCAAGGAACACTACTGAAGGACCACGGACTCGGGCAGCCTGAAGAACGGGTGCATCAGATGCGCAATGTTCCCCTTCCTGCTCGCCTTGACCAAAGAACGGCTCTGCACCGAGCAAGGGTCTAACGTCCTCGGTGGTCAATAACGCCAGACTTCGTTTCTGTGTATTACCAGGATGAGAAGCGATAAGTGGCTGGCCTCCATTAAATAAGATCCACCTCGTAGCAGGTGAAACAACGACTGCATTGAGGAATGAATGAGAAGTCCGCAGCCATGATAGACGATTGAGAGGTGATCCCGCAAGGAAATTTGTAAATCTGGGAGACAAAATCCATCCGATCAGAACGATGTGTCACGTATGTAAATCATTACACTGACGCTTCGGCCATCTTGCTGATGTGCAGTGCTCGGAAGGGTATGGTTGCAGACAAGAGGCGGCCGCAAGCGGGTCACGCGTGGAGTCATGATTAGTTAACACGGTCCCCTCAAGGCCTCAAGGCCCAAGCACACACTGCCGCAGCTCGGACCAAACGACAGACCATAAAATTGTAATTATGCCTTGTTCTAACGTCAATTCTTACCCCGCATTTCATTACTTCCATTCCCCGGAACTAAGCCAGTGGGCGCCCATGTAATGATATCGAACCTTACGGAACTGCGAGCGTGTAGACAAGTCCATTGTACCAGTTGCAGGTACTCGCCAATCTTATCTTGTTTCTGCACAGTTGACGCACATGTTCCGCTTAAGATGAAGTCGTACAATGTACATTGATCTTCCCATACTTGGGTTACAATGCATGTGCAAGGTGATTTCGAAGTAGAACGCTTCTTCTCCGTGCTTCCCGTGCCTATTAACCGGTCAAAGCTTGGTGGGTGGTACTCCAATCAGAACGAAGAACAGTGCCTTGTTGGCACTTGGGTCCCTGACACCCAGGCTATTCACCGCAGCTATGCCGCGTTTGCCACACTCGTGGGTCTGGCTGATCCCCTGACTCACTCTCCTAGCTCCCATTGAACCATGAGGCAAGTCATTCTGTCACCCTGTGAACTTCAGACAATGGACACCATGACATGTATTGATGCAATTTGCACGAGGCGTTCTAACACAGCGCTCATTCCATGAAAGTTACGTGCGCCGTCCGCCTTGAAACTGCCTTTTACGGCAATTCGTTTATTCACTACCCATTTTCGGCTACTACGCGAAGTCTTGCGCTCATCGCAGAAGGCCTAGATATACCGTCCGGTAGTCTATCCGCCAGCTTTGATCCTTCCATATACGGCGAACAACAATGGAGAGTTTGCCCTGGTATGCCTCGAGATTCGACCCGCTCCCGCAGACGGAAAGAAATAAGATTTGGTCCACTAACCAAACCTTGTATAAAAGTCCAATCACCCGGTTCCTGTCCATGTCCCACCTGTTTGATGTTTGAACCTTGAGCTGCCGTACGCCAATTTTGCTACATCGGTTTCTCTAGTATTTCCGAATCCTGAACTCGTATGTTTTCTGAACTCTAGAATGCGATGACGTCCGACCCCCGCCCAAAACAAGATGGGAATACCATGACAGGGTCATTATATCACGCAAACTTATCGCCCGCTCAAGTCATTGCGGAAGCGTGGCGACGCGAGTCTCCACAAAGCCAAGAATTTTGGCGGCAAGCAGAGGCAAAACGCAAAGAACTCTACACAATACCCAGATCACCTAACCCACGGGGAAAGATGTAGGGTCCATATCTTGATGATGGCATGACTAGTAAGCGACCACCTCCATGAATTTTAGTTCGTTACTCACGTTGCTACCATGCTATTGCCATTCAGGTTCTTCGCATTCTGTGTACATATTTTCATTACTTTGGACGTTATCAACAATTGTACGATTAGATAGATGCATTACAGATGGGCTGAAGGCTGCCGAACATGCCTGGGAGGTGGCAGAAGCTAGAGTACTAATTATCAGATTGATACGTACTTGGCACACTCGCAATACCTACACAAGATTATTGTCCCAACGTTGAAGGGACTTCGGTTCCGACAGTTGATCTGTCATTGTCGTCATTGTCCAGCTCGTCGTAATCCTCTTCATAGTCCTCTTCCTGTTCTTCCAACGCAGCCTCTGCCTCTGCCTGTGCTTGAGCTGCAGACGCAGCATTAGCGATTGCCTGCTCCAAAAGTCGCGCTTGTTCCTCCGAAAGACCATACAGTGATAGCGGCGGGGCAGAAACATTTGCACTGTCCGCGGCTGGATCATTATTCGGAGCGTAATATCCGTCGTCCAGAGAGAGAGGCTGCGAATCGGCCATGCTAGGATTGGCAGCGCTCACCGCTGAATTATCTTGTTGAGTTTGCGAAGACGGCATATTTTGCAGCTGGGCCCTAGCGATGACGCTAGCCAAGGTCGCTTGACCTCCAGCCGGTTCGAACCTGCATGGGTGGAATATTATGATCCGCTGTTGTTCCTAGCGCGCTCGACACATGCGCTTGCAACGTCTTATGGAGACTAAGCACAGCCTCTTGTGCATGGCCGATGACGTTGCCAGTCCATTTCCCCTTCCTCTGGGCCCCAATCATCACCAAACGTTCCGTAACTTGCTGTGGACGCCACAGAATGCGTCGCAATATCAGCCCACATCCGTGTTCGTCGACCTTCCCGCACTGCATCGTCCCCACCTTCCTTGTCCAGTTCGACTTCTTTGATTGCCGCGTTGACACATGCTTCTCCTTTGCCACCACGAGCCGCACTGCTGTTTTTGTGCCTCTTTATTGCGTCACGCCGCGAGAATAACTTGTAGCAGCCAGCACACTGGTACCCCGTCTTGTCGTGTAGTTTGGCATGGCGTCTCAGGTCGTGATTTCGGGCAAAAGAGGCAGGACATGCAGCACAACGATATGGCCTGTGCACTGCGTGCACTTGTTGGTGTGCTCGTAGGCTAAACAATCGCGCGAAAATCTTGCGGCAACCTGGAACTAGGCAGGGATATACTGCGGTACCAATGTCGCTGAAAGGGACAGGCTGGGGGCCAGTTCCCGGCGGTATCCATGGGCGGGGAGGATACATCGATACGTCAGGGGGTTGAATATGAGCGTGCGGTGGGACAGCGGTGGGACCAATGGGACTACCACTCAGGACTCCAACCACCTGAATGAGTCCACTGATCTCCTGTAAGGCGTTTGTCTCAGGTCCTCCTCTCGCAGAAGAAGTGACCGCAAAAAGAAATATTTGGTGTAACTGTAGCTGGATTGAGGATATGATCGACGGGTCTGGCGGGCCCTTGGAATGTGGATGGGAGGCTAGAGTTTCTGAAACCGCGCGAACTGCGTCTGTTATCTGGCTCTGTAAATGACCATGTGCAAAAGTTGGCCGTTTGAAAGCTCGTGGCTCGTTCCTCTGCCGTTCTTCTTCGGTCTCGTCGCGTTTCCTCTTGCCCTTGTCTAGCTGTAGTGCGGGCGCATTGGAATGACGCATTGCGGCAAAAAGAGTGTCGGAGCGAGCCAAAGATACAAGGGTCATGCTGAGTGTTTTTGCAAGCTCTTTGGAAATTGTCCCAGCAGAAACTGTGTGACTGAGTATTTCCAGAACGCTGGTGCCCGCACCAGGAACGACTGCAGACGCTAGAGTTGAGTGAACCAGAGGATCCTTTCCAGCAATGTTCAGCACGTTCCCCATTGTCTTCAAGGCGGCCTCTTCCTTCTTGAACGATGTAGATGATTGGGGAGGCGGTTGTGTGATTGGGACTGGAGAAGGAACCGCAGACGGAACACCACCATGTGGTGGTGCACCAGGAGTTGACGCCGTCGTAGTGACGTTTACGCGGTCTGCCTGTGCTTTACTAATGTCCGCCCATAGTTGTTCCTTCAACCGACGTGCAATTTCCTCCGCTTCCTCTTCTCCGTCATCGTAGTCATCGTCATCATAATTTTCGTCCTCTTCAACCCATTCATCTACCTCCTCATCTCCAATATGTTTAGTAGTCGAGTTTGCTGTCGTGTCTGTTTCCCCGGAGCTAGGTTCAGTCATGAGTACTGGGAGATGCTTAATGGAAGGTCATAAGTATAGTCTTGATTATGGTCGGGTGCAGACCGGAGTAATTATATACTGAACTTCATCGATTCATCATCAATGTAGCCAACCGTCCATCTTATTGAGTATCACACTTGTTATGCTGTGTCTCTACGTATCATATTCGTGGCAATGAGCTGGCTAGCATGAGTTAGGGTTACGTCTGCGCGTGCGCTAGTAGTCGGCAATTACTTTTTGTGCGAAACTCCGCGATTTGCATAACCGCCAGCTGTTTATCTCAAGGTTTCAGAGTCACACTTAGGTTAAATTTCCCTCAGGAATAACCAGTCGCAAATGTCGAACACAATCAAGGACCTTGCGGCTGGAACAGCTGGAGGAATAGCTCAGGTGCGTATGAAATAGGCTCAGTGCTACGTGTTGACTCAACTCGCGTATTAGGTCCTTGTCGGACAACCCTTCGACATCGTGAAAGTGGTGAGAGTGGCTATAAAATCCAAGCAAGGATACTTGCATACCCATTATGACTCTCCCTCAGCGCATGCAAACTTCGGCAAAGGGCACTTACAGTGGCATGCTGCATTGCGCTGGCGGTATCTTGAAAAATGAAGGGCCTCTGGCATTCTATAAGGTAACGCTCTTGTCACTCTACGCTGTTCCTTCTCACATTCTGGTAGGGCACGTTAACACCATTACTGGGAATTGGTGTCTGTGTATCGATACAATTTGGAGTACTCGAGTATGCAAAACGGATATTTACGGCTCGGAATCTAGCTAGAGGTGAAGGGGGAGAAGAAGGAAAGATGCTTGGTGGGGGGCAGCTGGTCATTGCTGGAGTAGCGGCAGGGCTTGCCAATGGTGTGGTGTCTGGTCCGGTGGAACACATTCGCATTCGTGAGTCCCCTGTGTTATGTGTATGACTAGTATCTGACTTTTAACCTCTTCTTTAGGTCTGCAGACACAGTCAAACACGAATCCAATATACAAAGGTCCATTTAACGCAATGAAACAAATCGCCTCACAACACGGCATTGCCGCACTATTCAAAGGACAAGCTGTTACCTTTTTACGTGAAGCGACAGGCTACGGCGCCTACTTCTTGGTATACGAAAAGCTTGTACAACGCGAAATGACCCAGAAGGGCATACGACGGGACCAGATTAACCCTATGAACTCCGTTTTGTACGGCGCGACAGCTGGATACGCCGTAAGTCCCATCCCCTCTACCCAGTGCATGTTCGCGTGTACATTGAGCTAATTCCGCGATAGCTTTGGGCGGTGATATACCCTATAGATGTGATCAAATCTAGAATGCAGACTGATGGATTTACCCCTTCTACTGGACAAAAATATGCCTCGGCACGGGATTGTGTGCGGAAAGTTTGGAGAACTGAGGGAATTGGCGCATTTACACGTGGTCTGGGGCCCACTTTGATTCGGTACGTATCTGATTTCTCAGAAATGTTTCACTAACTCATGGTTCACTAGTTCACCATTTGCGAACGGGGCGACGTTCCTTGGATTTGAGATGGCTAGTAGACTGCTTTATTCATAATTATCGAGGATTCAACTCCCGCACGTCAATGGGACACGCTCTCTATGGTGGATCAGTCCGCTTATATTTTCATATTTTAGATCGCACTAGAACAACAATGTGCAGACACATGAGTTTTCTTGTATTCACATCTCTGTGCTATGGTGTGGCACAGGAATATAAATTAATTGACGATCATAATGACTGCCCAGGTTAATGCAGCGAAACAGTGCACGCGAGTGTCGTGAGTAAGGTTGTACCTACCACGCAGAGGAGACACCTGTTGACAGCTTGAGGTCAGTCTAAACGGAATCGGCCGCTTCAGTGAAGAAGGTAACCGTGGCTTCATCTAGTGGCGATTCCAGTGGAACAGCGATGGCGCTAATGCGAGCGTCAGATGGTACATCGTCATCTGCGGTCAGTTCATGAGTTATGTACATCGAGAGGCACGAGTTTGAACGGACACTCGACTGGTTGAACATCTTCCTCTACAGAAAGTAGCCACCTCCTCAGCTTTTCAGATGAGCTCTAGCCAATTATTAGAGTATGCTGCGAACAATCAAGGTGACACAATCATACCCTGGTTTGCCTATACAAATTTATGGCTGCTGCTGCTACGAGCAGTCGAAGGGAACGATATCTCGAGAACAATTTCACAGGATGGAAGAATGTCTTTTGGGTTTCCAGCTCTTTTCTCTCTCAGTGTAACCTTCAACGCTGTTCAGTAACATGTTAACAGTGTGGCACATGAAGCATACCTAGCATATTGCCACTTCCTCCTTGGTATCCGCAAAGATCGATTCCAACTCTGTCAAATTCCCTGCCATGTCACGTATCTTGAATAATTCATCCAATGTAGCTTCAATAACTATAGCCACTTGATCTAGATTGTCAATGCGTTTCATTTTCATGAGAGGGAATATCGATGGATCATATTGAGAAGGGGAGCCAAGGTTCATGGGAATGACGATAGTTTGGCGTTCTTGCTCGGAGGACATCGTTGGCGAGAAATTGAATCAGAAACCATGGCTTATAGAAGGTCTTATATATGAACAGAGATGTTGTGGAAATCCAACAAGGGAATAGTCAATGACTGTGATATGTGAAACATCTAGTACACCTTATGTAGAACTTCGAAGACTTTTTAATTATGTACTTGCTATATCGAGTAGAATCATAATGGGATGGGTCCTTGTGTTATGCTGGAGCGATCCGGGGCCATTCACTGCCTCATGCACTCTGTTTCAGCATCTTCCTATGAAGGCACTTTCCTTGCCGAAGGGCCAGAGTACTACAAGACGAAGGTCGAGCTCAAGGCAGAAGAGGCTGCAGAAAATCAGAGACGCAGAGCTCGCAAGGGAGCTCGAACTTTTTGGACAAGAACACGATCGTCCCTGACTCGGATTCGTCCAGGAGCAAAGTTTGTCGGTATATGAAACCTGGTGTCGACAATATCTATGGTTGAAGAATCAAGGCCATTTACTTCGTTCTCGGTACGCACCGGATTGGGTGCCATCTGGGGAGGGTACCGAGCGCAATCCGTTTACTTGTGAAGATGGACGTCTTTGCGGGTAAGAGATGTTTGGGCGCTTCACTTCTGTGCTATGGTGTGGCACAGGGATATAAATCAATTGACGATCACAATGACTACCCAGGTTAATGCAATGAAACAGCGCACGTGAGCGTCGTGAGTAAGGTTGTATCTACAACCCAGAGGAGACACCCATTGACAGCTCGAGGTCAGTTTGAACTTCCCGACAACTCCTCGACAGGCTGAACAACATGTGATGCAGCACTGATGCCACTGATGTTTACGATACGCCGGACAGACCAAAACCACTGGGTCGTTGGACCACAAAGTCACAATTCAGGTCGTCCTGCAGTCCTCACGCTCGCATCGGAGCGTTGAGACTGCCAGTAAGCTGCCTTGACATATGTTCTCCATGATACATAAGGGCTCAGAGTGGGTATTCGTCCCAGGTTGTGGCATAGGCTTCAAACCCTTGAAATGTAGTCTAAATGATACCCCGCTCGTGGATCTCGCACCCACGACAGCTGCGGAAGAAAAATAATCACTACTGCTGGTTCAAGGATTGTGACTGTATCCTCGATCTCTATTTGCTCCAGGCTTGGTTGCCACCCACAAGAACCACTGGAGTGTGAGATTTAGATCGTGGATGTCAGCGTCCCTAGCTCTCTCCCTCCGCAGCACACTGCACTTAATGCATTAACGAGCCATGTGCACACAGGAATCGTCAATAATAATATTATGTGCTCTTCTATGCTTTGTTAGGCTCCAACATCAAGTGGAATTGCGTATCATCCGGCTGCGTACCTGATTTCAGGCCAAGTTTCACGTCATGTCGCTTGTGTACTGCAAATAACATATCTTCAGCTGGATTTTAATGTCCTACAGTCCCCCAGACACGAATATATTACTATAGGGATGCTTGTCTTTGTTCCAGTAACAGGTTTTTGTGTTTTTCCTGCGGACTTCTTGAACGGAATATACTACATACTTGGATAGGGAAGATCCCACCTTCACCGTAATTGTGCAACCCTAAACTTAGTACTGACTCGCTCGATTATAAATTGAAGACCTGACTAGGGAGTCGGAACAAACTTGGCAAGTGTTCCTCTATGCATGATTGATGCATGATATTATTTTGCAGGCGCTTCTTGGACGTTTCGATGGAATTGTCGAAGAGCTCGCATGCGGTTGTAAGCTGAAATCATGCGTAAGGTCTCCCAACCAAGAATAAGTATGCAACCTCCAGTCGAAACTCCTGGAATACAATTTGGAGGGGAATCTTAATAAGGGAAGTAACGCGGAGATATTGTGAACATCGCGGAGCATAAAAGGCAGATTTGGTGGTAGAACGTGATTATTGAGACCTGAGCGCAGTGACAAATAGGGAATGACACACAAAAGTATTCGTCGACTGCTATTCGACGCCATCGAAATCTTGAGAACATTGTATGCGGCGTGTTACGGAACGTCTTATCCCCAACGAAAACCACTGCAAGTGAGAGCCATGATATTTTTTCAATCGTGTATATAAGCAAATATTCAATAATTGATGGTGTCAATGGTGAGGAGCTAATGTGTGTGATGAATAACGTTATAGCATGATAATGTTGAAAGTACAAACATGATCCTTGATTTTGTGACCCACCGTGGTTAAGAGTCGGCGATTGGATGACTGATCTCGAGGCAACGTAGCTGTTATTGAAGATGAAAAAGTTGTTGCCAGATCCCTGCCCCGAGGATGTTCCAAAGAAATGAGAACTGGCTGGTGATGCAGCCCCGCTATCGGGGGTTCCAGAATCAAAGGGTGTATGGTATTCAGTATCTGCAGCTAGCAAAGACATCAGCGCAAAGACTATTAGGATGTATGATCTGTCTTACACTCTTCCACTCGTTGATCATCTCCGAAAGGATTGTCGTCAGAAAGGAGATTAACCTGAGAAGAAATAAAATCCGCTGCTTCAGTGAAGAACGTAGCCGTGGGTTCGTCTAGTTGCGATTCCAGTGGAATAGCGATGGCGCTAATGCGAGCGTCAAATGGTACGTCGTCATCTGCAGTCAGTTCGTGAGTTATGTACATGGAGAGGTACAATTTTTGAACAGACAGTCGACTGGTTGAACATCTCGTCCGTTTACAGAAAGTAGCTGCCTCCTCAGGCTTTCAGATGTACTCTGATGAAATTGTATGAGGGTTACTGCGAACAATCAAGGTAGCACCACCGTACCCTAGTTTTCTTATACAAGTTTTTGCCTGCTACTGCGAGCAGTCGAACAGAACGATATGTCGAAAACAGTTTCACAGGATTGAAGGACGTCTTTTGGTTTTCCAGGTGTTCTTTCTTCGACTTTAACCTTCGACGCTGGTTAGTCACGGTAACACGCCAACGGCGCGATGAGTATACGAAACGTACTTATCATATTCCTCCTTAGCACGCACAAAGACTCTATCTAACTGTTTCAAATTCCCTGCCATTTCACGTATCTTGAATAATTCATCCATTGTGGCTTCAAGAACTATATCTACTTGATCCAGGTCGCTCATCCGTTTCATTTTCATGAGAGGGAAGATCGATCGATCATATTGGGAAGGGGAACCAAGGTTTAGAGGAATAAGGATAGTTTGGCGTTCTTGCTCGGAGGACATCGTTGGCGAGGCGTCGAATCAGGAACCAGTTAACCATGGCTCTATAGGTCTTATGTACGAAAGTTAAATCCAACAAGGGAATAGTCATACTTGGATATGCGAAATATCTAGTACAGTAACCACTGGGGGGTCGACTGGAACTAATCCAAGTACTCGCTATATCGAGCTTGAAGCTTTAGTCCTTGTGTACACTTGTTTATGCTAGAACGATCCACCATTCTTTGCCTCATGCACTGTCTCAGCATCTTCCCATGAAGACACTTTCCTTTCTGAAGGGCAAAAGCACTACCAAGACGAAGGCCGAACTCAAAGCCGAAGAGGCTGCAGAAAATAAGAGACGCAGAGCTCGCAAGGAACTCGAACTCTTTGGACGACAACACGATTACCGGCCTGGAGCTTTGACTGCGAATGAAACTTGGTGGTGTCAACATTATTTGTGGTTGAAGAGTCAAGGGTATCTACTTCGTCCTCGGTACGCGCCAGGTTGGGTGCCATCCTGGGAAGGTACCGAGCGCGATCCATTGACTTGCGAAGATGGTCATTCTATGGAAGTAAGAAATGTTTCGGTCCTTCACCGTTTGTTGGCTGATGCGATGAATAGTTTGGCCAAATCATGGATGCAACACGTGTATCCGACGATGTACATGTCTCTCTCAAAATCGTGGAGAAGTCGCTACACCCTCATGAAGCAGAGATCGGGCAATGGTTCATGTCAGAGCCACTTTCGTCGCATCCCAAAATCATTGTGTACCTTTTTTTGAGGTGTTATCGCCACCGAACGATGAAGATAGTCAATTGATTGCTATGCCGCTGCTGCTTCCTTTCGCTCGGCCACAATTCGACACATTTGGTGAGGTGTTGGAGTGTTTTAGACAACTATTTGAAGTAAGTACAACTGTATGAAATGTTCATACCGTCTCAGCGAGTTGTCATAGGGTCTGCTGTTCATGCACAATAACCATGTGGCACATCGGTGAGTAGTTGTGAGCTGTTGTTTTACGCGTTCTCGGCTAACCAATAGCCAGCGACTGCATGTGGATGAACATAATGATGGACGCCAAAGACCTCTATGCCGAGCCCTATCATCCTGTTGATCCTCACATGAAACGTGACTTCAGTGGCCGTGTGAGGCATTATACCCGCACTCAGCGACCACCAAAATACTACTTCATCGACTTTGGCTTATCACGTCGATACGATCCTCCCGAGGCCACTCCGCTAGAGTACCCGATTTTTGGCGGCGACAAATCGGTACCGGAATTTCAAAACAACTCAGACGTCCCCGTGAACCCATTCCCCACCGATGTCTACTATCTCGGCAACGTCATTAGAGAGGAGTTTATAGATGTAGGTGTTTGCACGAAACTCCTTCTGTCGATTGCTTATCACCGTGATCAAGACAAAAATAGGTTTTGGCTTTCTGAAACCTCTCGTAGATGACATGGTTCAGAATGATCCCAATGCGAGACCTACGATGAATGTGGTAGTCGAACGTTATGACTTGATTCGACAGCAGCTCAGCTCATGGAAACTACGCTCCCGTGTTATTGCAAGAGACGAAGATATCTTCGAAACTATGTATCGCAGTGCTACCCATTGGAGGCGACGGATAGGTTTCATCGTCAAGCGTGCACCAGCCATACCTCGCTTTCAGGAATGATCACATACCTCTGCAGTGTTGCGATGTATATCCAGAACACCGCTACTCTGAATTATCTACGACGTTGGTTGGCGATACGAGTCGCAACTTGACATGTCCAGATCTTCGATGATACTACATACTAGGGTCAATTCACAAGCTGGATTAAAACATATGCTTATGCTGTATCCTTTTGTCGTTACTTCACCAGTAGTCTAATACTGAGGATGTATCAGTGTGCTTCTGTTGTTGTTTTTTACCTCCAGCGCGGAGAGAGAGCTGAGATCGATATCATTTTGAGAGAACGATCGTCGGATACCGCTACTCGCGGAGTTTGGAATGAAGGGGGGGTCGCGTTAACTACTAGTTCGTTCAATCCAACGATGGGTTAAAATTTAAAAATGTCTAACCAGAAATCACACAGAACAACATCTTGGAGCCTGTGAGTTCTTGTCCTTGTTGTTGGCCCGTATGAAAGGTGTCCGAGGTGCTCGCGCTTAATGACACATCGGACAGCTTCCCGTTACAAGAAAATAGGTCCCTGTTTTATGACTCGGCCACGTCACCAGTTCACTCATGAATCATGATCGATTGATCCACAAGCCCTTGCAAATGGCGTTACTACTCGTTGCTGATAGTGGTAATTACCGCAGAAAAGATAGTTGACAAATGGTACTACACCAGGAACACCGATATCAAATTCACCAGTGCAGTTGGGTATTTCCTTCGCGCAAGAACCCCTTCTCATGCTATCAACTTGAGGAAGAACAGTGAGGATCATCGACAACACGATGTCACGGATTGTCGATGCGATCACATGGGAACGGGGGGCAATCTTGTCCTTTCATGACACTTGATTGGTACGGGTAACACACCTTCTATGTAGTTCTAGCATAACAAAGCACGTAATTTTGACTATTGTGTCGACTATGTACCAGTGTCGTTTTTTACTAACGGTTAGCTAAACGTGGACTTCCGAAAGTCTACGACCGCATTCACGATAAGACTTTTTGATGTCAAATTACATAGTTTATGGCATAATGGAATCACTGAGCAATTTTACAACACAGAACGAGCCACTAATTTTCTGCGCCAACGAAAGCCAATTGTGAAGATTCTGACATTGCCATTGCCCGTATTAAGACTGAGATAAACTATCTGGCTAATCACGGTTGAACATATGATGCACCCGGACCACGTCTTTGATGCTCCCCATACTAAGGGTCGATCATCTCTATCCTTCTTCTCTATCGAACTCTCTTGAGATGGTTATCATGATGAAACACTGCCGTTTATGTAACGTGTTTTTCAGCTGATTTCACATTTGGCTAGACAAAAAGTGCTTACCAGCTCCGGAGGAGTTTGTGGAATTGATATTCAACGTAGCACCCGTCACATTGGAACCGCAGAGTATCATAGAACTATTGCTCGAATAGTTTCCTTGCATGAAATTACGGGGTTGCTGTTGTGCACGCCTACCAACAGCTCGGCGAGGGCGAGCGGGCTGAGGTACCTGCTGAGCAATCTGGGGCCCATGCGAGAGGATTTCTGTGGTTGAGGTTGTCAATCTCGTCAAAAAGCATTGATCAAAGTTCGTACTAGCACCAGTGCAATCTGGGGAGTCGATGTTCAGAGTTGGACACTTCGCAGTAGTGCCCACCATGACCATCGAGTCCACTTCACTCGAGATTCCCGACGTTACTTGGGAAATCGCCTGCTTCAAGTTAGCGTGTGTAGGAATATGATGGCCTGATTAAAAATGGTTCAGAATTTAACTTTTGGATCGCAAGGTTGCTCACTTTGAGGGAGGCCAGAACGAGGGTTAACGGAAGGGACACCTGACTGAGGTTTGAAACGAGTCTTATCAGTGGGCAACGTGCCTGCTAATGTTGTAGAAAGCGACGCTATGGTCTTGACGTCCGGTGGTTGATCTGAGTGGCTAGAGTTTGTCTCTAATGCAACTCTAGCAGGTGATGGGTTCAACTTCTGGTGGCCTCCGAGTCCACCTACACCTGTGGGTACTGAAACTTCTCTCCTCACATAAGCTACTCTACGATCGTCGATCGTCTTCTACAATTTAATATCAGCACGAATCTGAGAAGAAAGAGAAGCAGGGTCGTAACTTTAACTTTGCCTTTGAGGGCTCTGCAGTCATCCGATATTATATCCACATTCCTCAGGTTTTGCTGTTGATTCCCCCGCTTTATACAATCGAATTTCGCGCTGAAGTCTGTAGACGATATCAGCGATAAAGAGAAAAAACTCAAGAAGGACATGCCTGTCATGTTCATCCTTAAACTCGGTCTTGTCAGTCTCTGACAGGTGCAATGGGTATTCGGAGAAAAGGTCCATGACTTCAACGAGTTCCTTCTCTGCGTCTTCATGACCGCGGTGCTTGGTGGGGAATTTAAGGAGTGACCGAAACATGCTGAACCGAACCATGCGGGGCCGTTGGTATCATTTAGCATAGCATATTTATGCTAGAATCGGTAGCCAAAGGACTCAGTATACAACTCAAGCCTCGCCAGGAACGCCAGCTAGAAGAGTGTTTGGCCTTGAGTTTCCCTCGCGACGATTGAAGAGCATTAAACAATAACACAGCCGCTGGAAGAAGAAGGTTGAAGGACTCACGGTGATGCAGGCGGTTCTGGGAAGGTGTCGCCACACGCCCATAAATCGAAAATTCGCCCCCACACATTACAGGGCTACAACGTGGACTGCTAAGCGCATGTGTTTGAAACTTTCAAATATGATATACAAAACTATTATTATGAGTCGCGCCTTATCATAGGGCCTGTATATTTAATTGTCAAAATTCGACATACCAGGTTTACATCCCTCGCGGAGTAGAAGTGGACACAAATCGGACTCTGGTGGGTCCATGTTTACAACTATTTGAATTGTATGATAGATCGGTTTTATAGGACGTATTATGTAACCATTAGACCGTTAATCAGTACTATTCGCTTATCAAGTTGTCCGTGATGTGGATTATTAGTTTCCAACATATAGGACTTGCAATTCATGATCACGCATAAGCACCACGTAGCCGGTACGCAATTATCTTCTTGCTTCGCTGTTGATTTGTGGTTTTTCAGTGATTGTATGGATTGAACATCATATTCATGATGGTTCCCTGCATGAAGATGCACCCACATCCACTTGCATATCATCCATGCCTACCTTCTAAGACATCTGGACATCAAATATCAGGTAGAACATCGCTCATGTACGAAGCACCGTCTGCGATACCTTTTTATCGGCCTTGGAACATCTCAACACTATCAACCTTCGGAGAGTGCTCCCCTAGAATTTCCGATTTGGGGAGGGTAGTATCCAGGAACGTCCCAGAGTTTCTGTTGTCTGATGATCAACCTTATAACCCATTTCCGAAGTACTGACGTGTGGTATCTGGGCGTTACTATGCAACAACAGCTTCTTGAAGGCCATTCACTCTCGGTGGTACTCTGTTATCACGATTATCACGAATAATAAATCTATCGCGGCCTGGGTTTTATGGAACCTCTGATTTCGGATATGTTGCAGAATGATCATGCGTAATACTATACCAAGCATCGAGCGTTACGCTCCAGGGCAGTTATGGAGGAGGAATGGATTGTTAGGCGGCCCTTTTATGATGCCTTTCATTGGCTTCGCTGTCTCCGATTTTTATCGAGACATCTCCCTGCTATGCCTCCACCCACTACTTAACTTTAGACATACACATTCATATGGCTTTTTTTGGCTATGTATGTAGCTGTACGCTGTACTCCTAAAATTTCGATATCTCATATATAGATCTACAAGGAACGGCTACTCTTCATTCTATTATGAGACTACAGACTAAGTAATCTATATGTACAACACGGGTCGCTAACACATGGACAACACTATATGTTTGTATAATATTCTCCATGCTCACATTCCCAAGTGCCAGGCTTGTGAGTATCATAAACAACGTGTTCAACGGAATGATTCGGTCACCGTTTCTGAGCGTTGAGAAACGATTTGTTCGACTGAATAAATTCAGTTAACGCCGAGCTCATAACAGACGAATACAATTAAGAGTGAACTCACTAGTGCCAGAAGCGCGCGGAGACCGGATGTTGAAGGTCGGGCTAGCTACTGTGCCAGAGGTGAAAAGCATGACACGCTCACGCCTCACGGTGTGAGCTGTCTGCGGCTGGTGAGCACCCGTGGGCGGTCTCTGTGCTGAAAGCCCGAGAGATGGACTGTTGCCAGGGGACGTATGAGCTAAAGGACAGATCAGTATTCCGGATTAGCACACTCAAAAACATGTAGCTTACTTGCTCCAGTTGCCTCCTCGGAGTCAATGTTGAATGTGGGTGACCCAACAGACGAGTCTGGGCCGAACATCATGCACTCTGTGTCGGTGGGCGGTGCATGTAGACTTCCATCCGTGGGTACTAATTTTTATGGTGTCATTATTGAACATGAAGGCTAAGATGTGGTGCACGTGCCTGCGGAAGTGCTCGAGGTTGCTTCGTGGGCTACAGGAGTACCGGAAGAAACAGCAGAACTGCTTGTTCCTGTTGAAGGATTGGAAGGGCTCGGGTACGAGCTGTTTCCGCTTGTCAGGGCGAGATTGGACTGAACTGGAGTGGAACTTTCGGACGGTGGGGTCCTATAAGATGGGTCGGGATCAACCAGTGCAATAGATGATTGACGAGATTCAGGGGTAGCTGATTTGCGGCACTCAGTCTTGAGCGACAGCAACGGTAGATAGCGCCTACCTATGGCGGCAGGAGATTCCAGCCCTCTTCTTATTTTGTCTTGTTCGTGTTTCCTGCACGCTCTCTGTAAACCACTGTCAATGTAGTTTTTACTAGGAAGTTAGAAAGAACGAACCTCTATATTCAACTTCAACTTCTCGCACTCGTTGAGTGCCCCGGTCAATTTGCTATTAGATGTGCCCTTATTCAATTGAACACGAGCATCTGCAAGACTATCAGTCATTAAAATGTAGTATATAATACGACATGATGGATGCACGGTACCTCGAGTATTCATCCATGAAAGATGATCGCTCCTCCTGGGTTAGTGAGTCCAAATTGGCGGTACAGACTTTAAGAATAGCTTCCAGGACGCTCTCTATATCGGCGAGGACCTGCTCGCGCGACGTATGAAAGTTCTTCCAGAAGGAAACCATGATGCAGCTCTGATAGAATCTAGTGATGTGGTGAATCTGTGGAGTATGTTGATGGGGATCTAGCACATACCTCTAATTCGTCTGGTATTTCTACCCCTGCGAGACCTGGTAAGGCTAGTGTTCGGCCTCGATTGGGAGTTTCCCTCGCAACAATAAATCATGGATAGAACAAGGAGACTGAAGATCGGGATTTGTCGTGATTCTGGTATGATTCAATTCAGTGGGAAAAACATGCGCCCACAAATTGCAATGCTCAACAAAGTCAACGTTAACACCATGACACAATTATATACACCGAGCCTATTGAACCGTTGTCATGAGCTGCAGGTTCCCAGTTAAGGTCCTCCGTCGTTGTGCATACCATCAATATTAATGCTCACGCATCATGCATCTTGCTAGTTTACCGCCCTCGCGGAGTAGAAAGTTTGGGACAAATACTTATTTGAAATACATGACGCGGAGTTTTGAACCCCTGCAGTGCTTCGTGCGTTCGGTACGATCACAAGGCTACATAGCCATCATGTCATCATGGATGTATCGATGAGACCTTGATCAAGGGCGCCTGCAAGGACCCGCGTTGCCTGTATCATAATTGATTGATGGAGTTGATCCCATCTTCCATTTTTGCAAATTCGATATAGTATGTATTGTATTTCCGATTAATCTCGCAACTTACAAGAATATTGAAGCCTCAGCAAGGCGTCTGCTTGATTGACCCATGAAGCAAGATGGCCGTGCGCAGGCTTAAATATGGACCAGGTGTTTAGCTTGGTGCATATATTTTCCGAGCCGCATGATGATTCACAAGAAGAATGATCACCCACGTCTTCCCACATCTTCAAGAACAGAAGATATCCGGCGCGGATTTGGCTATCACACGACTTATTATTATTTTTTGAAAAATATTGTTGGAAAGTGCAAGTTAAGTCAAAGCGCTCAGCACTGCCACTAAGCCTTATCTCACACTGTCATCCGACCACACCACCCACTTTCCCAGTTACTTCTGCTGCACATGCAATATGAATTAGAGTCACGGTGCGCATACTATCAGCTGAATAGCGCAAGGGTCGAAGTTAATCACTAGTAACACGTTACTTCCTAAGTCCTTGGGTAATCACTGGCACGTATACACCAGCTGTAGACAGTTTGGAAAACTTGCTTGACTTACTATTTATGCAATCACAGTTATTCGTGCCCAAGGCTATCAGCCTTTGCGTCCTGAAAAGTCTTGGAGACCAATTGTTTCTGTGGTGGTAGACCAACACCAGCCGTTATGAAGTAAATCTAGGATGCGACTGGTCAGAACCCAAACCTCAGGGAACGTTTTATGATGTTTGTCATCTTTTTAACTATTGCAGTTTCCTTCCGCTCATTTATACATTTGACCAGACAAGGTGCGGACGGCCGTTCTCGAGTGGACATCAATGTATATTACCAGGCGCCGAGCAAGAAGAAACGCAAGAAGCGGTATCTAGTTGCAAAGGCTTCCTTGTCGCTTCAGGCTCTATCTAAGTTAAGGGATACTGCAAATTGTGAGTGTTGTGAATTGCCATTGTACTGTGCCTAATGTATTCCAGCTTTAAAAATACCGTTGAGCCCTGTAGTTCAGCCCTCTACGCGTAGGTTGGCTCGAGGTGGAACATGTTCAGTTTCCCTTGTTGCTACGCTTGAGGTCCCTGAGACTCAGGCGAGACTCCACGTATTACAAGATTCATTGACATCAGAAGACCAATACGACGATGACTTTAAGTGTGAGAGTGGTCTTGTCAGTCGTGTTCAATGGCTGACGACTGTAATACAGCACTTGGGCGCTCTTCACCGAGTTTGGAATCAGAATCAGATAGGACAAGTAACTTTTCTTGTTCTAGTCGCGCTATAACTCCTCCAGTCCCACCTGAATTATCCGGCATACGCATCCGCCGAGGATATACTTCGGACACAGATGATGACCGTCCACTCGACGAGCACGTCAACCGCATTAACGACAGCTGTGACAGCTATGCATTTACAGACGATGCCTGACTCGAGTGCTGTGGTCGATGTTGTTTCCCTTGCGCCTTCCCTTTTACCCAGTTACACAGAACAGATATCTGTGGATAATTCGTTGACATTTATCGATACCCTTGTCGACTCTTTCTCGCCTTATTCTGAACTTCGAGAGGCTTGCAGTGACTCTCAGTACGAGCGTATCTTGGAAAAACTCACATCTGAATGGTATTTTGTGGGTGCATCGGTGCGTGATGTCATTATTGTTCCACTTGCTCTCATCTAGCCTGGATTATCCGTAGCTGGTCGCTCTTGCCGGGTATGTGCATCATGAAAGATGACTTCTTTCCGCAATTATTGATCTGCTTTCCTAGGCTTGACGCGGCTGTGTTCGGCTTTTCGTCCAGCTCGTTATTCTCCGTCAACTACTTTCGCCCGAAGCTCAATAGCTCTGGGGAGTGTTGCTTCAGGCATCGGCATCGCAATCGATGGTTGGTTCCTCTTGGTGTACAGTGGAGCAAACGCCAAAAGATTTCAGGTAATTCTCGATTGCGCATATCGGAACACAATGCTCAAGGCCGCCTAGAAATTTGCTCGCTGATGTATACGGCAAATATCTGTTCTTTTGCATATCGTCGCGTCTTCCTGCTGTATGCATGTTTGTGTCAGCATGCGCCTTAATGGCCTTTTTACTTTCAGTTGCATGGTCCGCTTGGCCCACTGCTGTGTTGGTCATGTGTTTTATCGCTGGCTCCCTGATCAGCCTCCAGTTCATCGTATACGGGCTACACTGCACGGTAATTTGTATGACTGAGATTTTTAGGAGAGCGCGCAGAGGATTGATGTGGTGTGTGAGGAGGCCGTCGAACAATGTCTTGGAGCATAATGTTTCCGAAAAATAGTGTATCTTGAAAAGTTCTCTTGCTAGCATCTGTAATACACGTCGATCGCGATAATATATTTTTATGTTTTACATTAAATGAACGAGAGAGATTTCTTGAGCCGATAGTAATATCTGTGAGGCTAGATGAGGCTGGGAGGAAGTCCGTTGCAATGCCACATATTCGGATATTGCGCGCGAATCAAAGATTATTCTGACCTGTTAGGCGTTACCCAGTGCCCATGATCATAGATCTCCAAACGAGAAGCAAGAGCTGGGGGAGGAAGCCACCAGCAACGAGGCCCTAGAAGTCAAGGTACTGAACGCCGGCACATTCTTATACACCTTTAAGCCATCGAGTTCCGGGGGAGTGGGCCATTCACGGGGATCAACAGTCAAGCACTGTCCAATAAAAATCGCGATCACAGCAATGTCTTTCCCCGGGAGTGCATACCGCAGTGTGCAAGCATTCCTCGATTATTCGAGGGACAAAATTATCAGGCAGACGTGTACACAAAAAGACATCGTGTGATGGAAGAAGAGCCACCTATCCGATCGTCTACGCGCAGCCTCGAGTCAATGAGCACCGCTGTCACAAGTTAACTCCGTCTAGCTGACCACGTTATTTCAATAACAGAGCATAGGTTGTCCGACTTGCACGTATCAGTCGAAGAATTTTCCTTGGACCCACAAAAACAAGATTCGTATTGGTTGCTTCTCGAGCCTCCGAGGGCATTTTCGGGTTATTTTTTCGCCGCTGATGTACCGGATTGGGGCTATTGTGCTGGGCACGCTTTGGCAGTGCAATGCTATATCTGTACATGTGCCCAGCTCCTCGTGGGTCAGTGGACCCACATAAGACGGTGTTTTGAAATCTGGGGTCTGACCGTCTTATCCTTTTGTCAATTATTTTTGTGCAGACAGCCACACACCTGAATTCTCCACGAGAGATATCTAAAACGAAGACGGGACCCCCTTCACTTTGAACTCCGCGAAGGCAAGTGTCAAAGCATACATTGACTGCACACCGTTATTTACCTCCACGTGCCGTGTTTACAAGCTTACAGCCTAGAGTCTCAACAAGCAAATGCATTCAGAAATTACAGAATACATAGTTCAAGCAGTACCTGTGGTCAACCATCATTCGCCGTCGGAGCTAGCGACATCGCTATGTGAATCGTCCTGCTCCCTACGGTCCTCCATTCGTACATCATCATTCTGAGTAGATTCAGGCACACTCGCCGTCGCAGGAGTGAAACCAGAAAGAATACCAGGCCCTCCAGATTTCTTGGCCTGTGAATGTTTCCAGGCATGAGCCATCTGCAAGAACTTGAAAGATCTCGGGTTGGCTTCTCGTTCATCATCGGCGAATACAAGTTCCCAATCTGTGTCAGAGTAATCAGGAAGCTGTGCTATATGCGGGGTAGATCGCTGACCTTCCACTACCTGGCCTGTCTCTTTGTCGACGTGTTGCTTCCTGCCGATAATAGGCATCATGCCTTCCACCTTGGCTAAATCGCTCTCGCTGCCATGCTCTTGTTCGAACGATTTCCATGACTCAAGTAAAGCAGCCCTCTGTGATGAAAACGGTCAGCTCCAACTGGATTATAAAACTGCTGCTCATACCTCAGCTTTTAGGCCCTTGACCTTTAAGTCTTTGTAACCACGTTCAAAGACTTGTCGTGCTATTTCGGGATCACCAGCGACAACACGAGGTTCGGAATCCTCGTCCTCCTCTTCTTCTCGCATAGCTCTGGGCAATGGAATACTTGACCCTTCGAACTCGGCATAGGATATCCACACCTTGTGGTGTCCGCTGAGAACCACCAGGCGCTCGTAAAGTGATCTCGTCTTCTCCCGATCACCCTGCTCATCAACTTCGAAGTCGATATATGCCTTCCAAAGGATTTCGGGCATCGATAGTGATGCTTGAGACACTCCGAGTTCAAAGATCGCCTCTGCACGGGTGAAATCCTCAAGAGCCGTCTCGAGTTCAGCGTATTTGATCCACGCCGCTGAGTTGGTAGGATCGTACTGCAGAAGATGTTTCATCACTGCCAAGGAAAGGAAGAGACCTTCACAACATACCTCAAGATACTTTTCGTACAATGTCCGCACGCGGTCAAATTCTCGCAGCTAAACATGATATTAGCATATCGTAAAGCCAAGAAAGTAAAGAACGTACATCCATCTCGAGTTGAATATAACCCTTGAATAAAGACTCCTTCGGGCACATGCCAATGGCGGTCCCGAGCATTTTGCGCGCTGCCATTAAATCCAACTGTCTGGTTTCAAACTTGGCAGCCATGATCCACAGTTTTGAGAAAGTAAATTGTTTGTGCGGCACGAGGTTCAGAACGGTACGATATACTTGGCGTGCACGGTCATAATCCTGTAGAATAATGTCAGAGTGAAAAAGTGGCGTGTGCGGAAATAAAAAGACCTTGGTTTCGATCTCCTCGAACAGAGCATACTCAAGCCAAAGGAAGATATACCGTCTCCAATGACGCTTTTCTTGTCCAGGAGGTACATGTGCAACAGCGCGCTCGTAAACGTCTCGCACGCGCTCCATGGCTGCATCCTCCTCTTCCTTGGTGCCCCCTTCTTCTCGCAAAGTTCGTAGGGCACCTTCTTCCAACCGAACGTAGTCGAACCAGACGTCGTAATTTCGTCCGTCTTGCGAAACTTCGTCTTCATATTGGATTCTTCGCTTGCCAAGCACAGTAGATTCTACAATGGACCGTGTGCCGTGCTGCTTCTCGAATTTGGTATAAGCTGCGTACAAATTCGCTGACTTTGATCGCGGAAGACGTGATAGTGCGAACTATTATTTGGATTGTGAAGCAGCCCTAGCAGAGTATGCGCGTGACGACATACCTTGTATATCACTCGAGCACGCTCGTACTCTTTCAACCGAGTTTCCATCTTAGCAAAAGCATTGAAAACTGCTTGAGCCTTTTCTACCTGCTCTTCCTCGTCCCCAAAGAACTGGAGGGCGGTTTGGAATACCTCTCTTGCCTTGTCCAACTTCCCCCGCTCTTCTTCAAACTTTGCCCACTTCACCCATACCCTAGGATCCGGCCTGACAGCTATCCATCGCTCATATATAACACTGGCCCTGTCCGATTCATCATACCGCTCCTCCATCTTTATGTATGCTTGCCAAGCTTTGTCATCCGGTTCCCATTGCATCCACCGCTCAAAGACTTGTCGGGCACCAGGGACATTTTGCAGAAGCTCCTCCAAGTAAACATACTTGTACCAGAGCTGGTCTACTCGAGGCAATAGAGTCACAGCGCGATCGAATAGGTTGCGCGCGTGTTGGACATTTCGGGACTTTAGCTCCATTTCAGTATAACTGAGCCATAGCTGAACGCTTCGAGGGTCCACGTCCAAAGCGCGTTCAAAGATAGAGCGAGATCGGTCGAACTCATTTTGGCTGGCCTGATACGGAGTGTATCAGACCGCGACATCAACCAAAGATTTGAAACCACGTACCTCCCAGTTTGCATATTGAGTCCATTCTTTGCTGATACAATATTCAACGGGAGTACCACCAAGGCCGAATGCTACACTCACATGCTACCTCTTGTCCTTCTGACTCGTTCTTCAAACTCCTTGCGCTTGCGGCCACGGTACTCGTGGAGTTCTTCAAAATCCTCGACACGTTGTTTGGGAGCGCGGAAGGTGGATTCTTGACGCTCTTGAGCCTAAAGGATATCAAATTCTAAATACTGAAAGGCGGGGAATTTGAACAACGCGCCTCTCGTAGAAGTTGCTCTGCGGTGATCTATGGATGTAAATATGGAGGGTCAACAAATACAGACACATATGTCAATGAAACAAACCTGGATAGCGGCAGGCGCCCGATTCCTGATTCTGGAAGTCATAGCCAGTCAGTCTCTGCATGATACGAAAAGTTAATAAGGCAAACCTAGGTGCTCTGCCGTCCTGCATAATTGCGACACCAAGGAATTTCCACCCGAGACAGTGAGCAAAGTATAGTGGGACAAGCAAAGACAAACAAGTTTGTCTATTTAATATTACTATCATTCCGGGCAATCTGCAACTTTTTCAGCAAATCTTTTGTAGCTCGTCAACCACTTCATATTATCTTCCACAAATTTAGTGTGTTGTAGATTCGTACCGCCTCTATATAGATCTGATTTTTTCTCATTTTTAGGATGTTATGGTGTGGTGTCGGATGAAAGCCGAGAAAATTCTGCTAATCTGCAAAATATGGTCACATCGAGTCACACCTCGGCATAGCACCAGCACAGTCCACCTGGCCTTCCCAATAAGTAAGCCTTATTAAGCTTGGTGCTTACGCGTACCGGCAAGCTTAATTAGGCTTGGTTACAGTAAACCTCCAACACCAGCGTTAAATATCGCCCCAAATACCTTTTTACCTTACAGCTACTACTACCTACCCGCTCAAAAGGGTAAGGACTGCCCCCTGCCCTCCCCACGTATACAGCACTTCCCGCAACCTCCCCGATTTACCTGAACTTTGATCAATGGCGGCTTCCCACGCCCTTTCTGCTCTTACCCTACACCGTCGACGTCACTGGGCAGTTACAGCCAACAATCCAGGCATCTGGCTAGTGTCCTAGGCACTGCACTGTCCCCTCAAGGTACCTGCGCTCCTGCCATCCTACTAGACCTGCTCTGTACCCACCTGCGCACCATCCTCCTCATTCCCGCCACCCTGCGCTCCCGCCATCTTCCTAGTTCCTGCCCTGTACCTACCTGCACGTCATCCTCGTCTTTTTCAGCACCCTGCGCTCCCACCATCTTCCTATTTCCTGCTGTGTACCTACCTGCACGCCATCCTCGTCTTTTTCAGCACCCTGTGCTGCCACCATCTTCCTAGTTCCTGCCCTGTACCTACCTGTACGCCATCCTCATCTTTTTCAGCACCCTGTGCTGCCACCATCTTCCTAGTTCCTGCCCTGGACCCACCTGCCCACCATCCTCGTCTTTTTCAGCACCCTGCGCTGCCACCATCTTCCTAGTTCCTGCCCTGTACCTACCTGCATGCCATCCTCATCTTTTTCAGCACCCTGCGCTGCCACCATCTTCCTAGTTCCTGCCCTGGACCCACCTGCATGCCATCCTCGTCTTTTTCAGCACACTGTGCTCCTGCCATCTTCCTGGTTCGTGTCTTATACCTACCTGCACACCACCCTTCTCATTCTCGCCACCCTTAGATCATGCTGTCCATCATGCCGTGCGGGACAGGGACTTCCAGGCTGAAAGGCCTTGTGCATAGAAAATTATATCACCATTGCTTGCTCTTAAATCTTCGTCTCCCCAGTGTCAGCTTAGTACTGCAAGATGGTCGAGACAACATGGTGTAGTGGACATTTGCAAGTTCGAGTAGCCTACTGGAGTTGCTGTTATCATACACTTGTATAGTTTCACGAAGTCAATAGCATCAAGTGAAGCATCTTCCCTCCCTATCACATGCCTGAACAATGTTTGATTTCTGGAAGACAAAATGTAAGAGTCAGAACATAGAACCAAACATCTAGAAGTGAAAGATTCGAAAATTTTGTGGAGTAGAGGAGTCGAGTCTAGTAGAAGGTTCAAAGGGTCAGAATGAAGTACCAAATTTGTGGAGTCATGAGAAGTGAAAGATTCGAAAATTTTGTGGAGTAGAGGAGTCGAGTCTAGTAGAAGGTTCAAAGGGTCAGAATGAAGTACCAAAAATGTTGAAATTGATGAAGTCGTGTGGAGTAGAGGAGTCGAGTCTAGTAGATCATGGTGCAATCATAGACATCGTTGTTTCATCTTGATGTGTAGATCCAAAGATTTCGCCTAACCTATCCAACATAGCATCACAGTCCAGGAGAGCACTATTAGTGTCAGAATCATTGCTGAAGTGAGGAGAGGGTGTGGAGAAGCAAGTATCACGAGACACATGAGGTGCGGGAGTGGCGTTGGAAGTAGTGTCAGACAGCTGACAAGAGGGTGCGCCAGAGGGTGCGCCAGAGGGTGTGTGAGAGGGTGCGCCAGAGGGTGCGCCAGAGGGTGCTGGAGTGGCGTTGGAAGCATGACAAGAGGGTGCGCCAGAGGGTGCGGAGGACTGGCCACGAGCCTCATGCTTGTCATTGTCTTCTTCCTCAGCGTCATTCTCCTTATCACTGTCTTCGACAGTAGCTGCACTCTTATACTTCTTGCGGCCGCACAAGCTAGAATCCATGGCTGTGGGCTTCTTTCGTTTCTTACCCTTGTCAGATCGAGTCCGTCGTCTATGGTCGTCGATCTCGCCATGGTCGAGTTTATCATTGTGCTCCTGGAGAACTTTCTCGAATTCCTTGTCCGTTAAAGTCTTCCAGTGCGTCGCACCCGACTTCCACCTCCGGAAGAGCCTGTCGAGCTCTGGGAGGGCGCTAGACACTTGGCTAAGGTTGGCGAATGGAATATTGTCAGGCCACCCCTCTATCATGACTTGGTAGCGTTGGATAATGTTCCGGAAATAAAGTGCCCATTGCATGTTGGCGTCAGGGTTGCCAGTGATCTGACCTGTATAGCAGTAAATTAGTTATACATCATACAGAATGGGAGGAGGGACTTACGAAGAGTACTGTTGATAATATTGCGGATGGCTGCGCGTGCTTGAGACACACGCTCTTGGTGATTTTGTGCAGCACCTGGTTTTGTTGTAAATAAGTTAGAGTTCTACCGAAAAAAAGCAGCAACTCGCACCTTTCACACCTTGAACCGCAAAGCCTTCCATCTTACCAAGTAGATCTTGATTGTCGACGCCCATCACAGATGGCATGAAGTCCTGAACGCCTTCAGTCGCAAAGGCTATGCTTCGAAGGGGAAGATCAGTCGACCCGCGCGTGGTATAGAATATGCTTTCTGCGCCTGTACGACATTGCAGACTTTTAAGCTATTTTAAACACATGTATGAGCCAAAGAAAATTCAGAGGGGGGGACACAAACCTCAATTTCGACAGCCTTGAGTGTTTGAGTGATATCGTTGACCTTCGATTTGGTGGAGGTGCACACACCAGTAGCCTTTGTTAATGACCAGTCGGCATACTCTTTAAGTAGATCTGCCCGCTCGTCCTTTGAAAGGTTGTGGTACTCATCCTTATGCTCATGAACGAGCTGTTGAAGTGCACCTTTGCCTTGGTTGCCTGTAGGAGATACGTCAGGTGCAATACACAGTGAGAAGGAAAAACAAAACTTACGATTTTCGCTGGCCTAGTTTTTTTTCCAGCAGAACGCATTCCATGCGTTCAGCTTGGAGCGCTTAGAACGCAGGATCCCTTGGCCAATGTACAGTTCATTCTGCACACGGCGAATGCTTTTATGGTGAGCTGAAGCGATAGTCTTCGTGGCCTCGTCGATCTGGCCCCAAGCCTCATCAAGGGCGATTTTGAACTGACGAGACTTGGTGCGTTGGTTGGCTGTGAGTAGAGCATGGGCCTCTTTGCTTATGACAACCTTTGGATGGATGCGAGGTTGCTGCATGCGGCGCCTGGCGCTGCTCTTGTGGGTGGAGGGAGATACCATGTCTATGAAAAGAGAGAGAAAGCAAGTTAGCGTCGGTACACAAAGTTCAGAGACGTTAAAAACATTTGTGCTTAGACATAATGCCACGGTGAAAAACTGCAAGATAATTATTCACGATCTACAAGATGATAAACAATCCAAAGAGGTAAAGCGCACATAAAAATACTAGAATGCCAAGACACTTCAGAATGACGGATAGCACAGAAGATTTGCGCTAGCAAATTATTAGCTTGACAGGTGTGCAGCTGCAATCAAATTACAAACCTTCACAATTTCAGGGCTGAACGGCACCCCTTGAAGGTCTGCAAGAAGGGCGTTTGCCAAGATAGAGGCTTGCTCATAGCTCAGATCCCACTTCTGGGACCTGAGAACCAACTCCCAACGACTGCTTTGCACAGTTCCAACAAGCACACGGAGCTTGGGCAAGAGCTCATCTCCCAGTTTGAACCGATCAAGAGCAGCATCGGTATTAGGACCGATACTAATGAGCGGAGGACTAAAGTTTATCGCATTGTAACCGAATTCAGGCCGAACCAAAAAGATTGGGCCAGGGACTCTATCAGCAACAAAGACTTCAGCAGCTCGGCGCCAGCGAATCTGTGAACGTGGAGTTAACATGTCTTTTGCAACACTTGCCCCCAGTTGGATTCCTTCAGAAATTGCTGCAGATGCCGGTTTCTTTGGATCTGCAGCAGGAACGGATGAGGTTTGCAGATTCTTCTCGAAGGTTTTTGGTGCTTGTGCAGAGCATGCAATGCGAGCCCCAGTAGCCACGATAGGCCCTGGGAGGTGCTGTGGTCCATTTGTACTGATATGAGTAGCAGGGACTTCACGGATTTGTTAGCGATGTGTTGTGAAAAAAGGGAGAGTTCAGTTTGACTTACAAGACTGAGGTGGTTTGATATTTTCAATGGCACAGCGCTTAGCAAAACGTTGGAGATGCGGTATCGCAAACTCTTGAGCGAATGCTTGTACAAGCACCACGACATCTCCTCCAATCTGTTGAGGAACTTCTTGCAGCTCGCATGGCGTGATATACAGGTCAAGAGGAATTTTCTCGGGTGACATAGTCGGTCCTACTCCAGAACCTGCACATCGAACAAGCAGAGATATACCACCGTCGAGATGGTCCTGCATAGCAATCTAAAGAGTGTCAGATTTAGCTATAAAAAACGAAGAAATTTGCTTGCTGCATCAAAGATGTCTTGGAGCGTTGCTTCCACAAGTTCTTTGGGAGATAGCGCTCTCCCTGACTCCAGTTCTTGACCATTAGAGTGAAAGGCTATGTAGGAGGGATGAAGGCCACAAAGTGTCTTGGTATGATAATGCGTGCCATCAATGTGAGCGTCGTGCCTAAGTAGTGCCCTGGCAGCAGCCTGGCGTTGATTGTTGCTGAAGCCTTGTGCAAACGTCGAGCAATGTAGCGCAGCGAGTCCAGACATTGTGAAATAGTGTGAACCCTGTGTTTCAGTTTGAGACTGCATGGTCATTGAAGACAATATGAGAGTAGTTGTAGAGGTAGCGAGTATTCGCTGTACTTGAACATAAATGGGCTAAAGCATTAGATAACACAAAGTGCAAAAGTCAAATTCTGCCATGGGCTCTACCTTGATATTTGCCAGTGGCCAATTCTTTTGTGAATGTAATGTAAGAGTGTTGACCAGGATCAATCCATTTGAGTTGGATGAGAGTATTTGAAGAGCTTGTAGCATCGGAAATGGATGATCTAAGGTTGTGTGAGGCTACTACTACTAGTAAGCATGCAATCAGATGTGTGATTGACTCGGACAAGATGCAGCGCAGTGCTGCCGATTTGAGATGTTAGATCAAATAAACTTGAATTTCATGCAACAAGCCGTTCATGATTTCAGATTCAAGTACTGTGATATCATAAAGCTGTTTCCTAACTCCTAGTTCAATTGTTGCGATCAAGTACTTCAAGTTGAGTCGACTTTCATTGTGAATCATTGCATCAATCACGTTTCCAATCAGTACTTCAACATCATTCTGCTCAACCACATCTTGGCGAAGTTCAAGAAAGATCAGAAATCAACCTCCCATATATCACTGCCGATGCATTTGGTCCCAAGCACATCAACATATATAGGCTTGGACGTGTGCAGCTGGAGAATCTCGTGGAACCTCTTATCAAGCGTACCGTTGACCCACAACAACGCAGACGGAAATCAACCTCTCATATATCACTGCTGATGCATCTGGTCCCAAGCACATCAACATAAGGCTTGGACGTGTGCACCTGGAGAATCTTGTGGAACCTCTTATCGAGCTTACCGTCGACAGTCCCAAGCACATCAACATAAGGCTTGGACGTGTGCAGCTGGAGAATCTTGTGGAACCTCTTCTCAAGCGTACCATAGACCTGTGTGACAAGGCTCTTTCTGATGCTGGTGTGAAGGCCAGTGAATGGATGCTGCAGCAGATGAGAATTCTCAAAACCTATGATGCATTGGAATAAGTTTAATAACACAAAATGACACAAGTAAACTAGTCAGTGATCGAATGAAAAAGTCGGCCATATCCTCTACCACTGTGCTGTGCTCCTCACAATCAATCGCTTCTATGTCAGTATAGTCAGATGTGATAATTGCATCAATGTCGTCAACATTCTGCAGTGCACCTATGAAAGAAATTAAATCGGCACAGAAAGTATGCGAGGAGGCCTACCTGAATTTGTATGAACGTCAGGAGATGTTGAAGGATGCGAGGCGGGAGGGATGTTGGGAGTCGATAAAGGATACTGCATGCGGACACCAATGCCCCTGATGCCCGATAATCCAGCCAGGTGCTCAATACGATCTAAGCAATAGCAATGGACGGCATTGGCACTGCAGCTCTGCAGCCAGTCTTGGGTCCGACAGAAGCAAGTCATTGATGACGGCAGAGGTTTGGAGTTCCTCAGTGTGAATTGCAGTGCATAAGCGGCGAACTTCAACGTTAAGTCGCTTGACTTCTTCATGAGCGCGGGGAGTTAGGGCGACAGCCTGCATGTTATACCGATTTATCACATTTCGGATAGCCTCGGAACACCGTTGTAAAGCCTTGCTGATCTGCTGACGTAGTTTGTAGCCTAAGATTTTAATTAGCAGAGAGAATCTATATGGGTACTAATGCAGAACTCACCTGTCCCTGACAACAAAAGTTTGGAAAGCTCAAATAAATGCATGACTACGAGGCGCTCCAGCTCGTCAAGTGCAGCACGATACTTGCCTATACGTGCCTCCATTTTGAATTCATTGTATTCTGGGCCACCTACCTCCCATCGTGCTTCCACAGTGAGCTGAATTTCGACATGTGCCACTAGCGCTTCTGCGTGCTGTAACTTCGCATATGATGAATCGACTCGGATCCGAGCTTGTGTGAGCGCTTCATTAATCTTCTGCAAGCTGCTAGCTGCAATCCCTGTAAGGGAATTATTAGCAGCTTCACGTGCTGCATGCCAATCAGTTCTGAGATTGTTAATGTCAGACATATCTACATATAAAAACAACTTACCTTCATTCAGTTAGTTCATCAAGTGCTTCAACATAATGGATACAAAGCTGGTCTCTTGCAGGTGGCTCTTTCAAGCTATGTAGATAAGCACGTTCTTGCTCGAAGTAGCGCAGGAAGTCATCATCGGTAATGTTCAGCTCCGATTTGATAGCGGATAGCTCAACAGTAAGGGTCTCAATTGATTTTAGGGCCTCGCGGTAGTGATTCCACAAAAAGTTGCCTGAGGTACATTAACGTCATCATTCATTTATACACAGTTAGACAAGAACTTACTAAGGTTAGCATATTTGTCGTCATTCCAAAATGCGAAGTGTTGCTCAATCGTCTGATGCCGGTGGAATGTGCTTGCATGTCGGGTGCCACGTGCGAGAGCATTAGATGCAGAAAATACATGTTCACAGCCCTCTCCTTTGCTGTGTCCAGTTCCTGTAATGTACATTGGATGCCAATCAAGTTGACACATGCGATTGTGAGCGTGCCCATGGAATGCCCCAACCATAAGACGAAACCCAAGCTCTCGCGCTTGTGGCCCTAGAGCGCTGGTACCTAATGTCTTGGTAAAGGCACAGCCTATATCATATGCACATGCACCGTTCTTGCCGTAGACTGTAAGCAGTTTGTCAATGATGGCAAGTGGGTATTTTGCCCTAATATATTAGATGAAACTTAACTGATGAGCAAACACAAACTCACAATTCTCCGCTTCGGATCATATCACAAGCAATAAGCACGAACCAATGACAACATGCTGCAATGAAGATTCCCGATTCATCGAACACCGAGAACATCTTCTTGCGAGTTTCCGGACCTGCATTTTTCCACCGATCAGGCACAACTGAATGGGGCAGGGTTGGTCTCAGCTGCTGTATTCTCAACATCGTTGTCTTCCGCCTATACGGCTGATGAGAACATAATTGTGCAATAAGTCGACACTCACTGCCCATGCTCTCAATTTGCCGCTGAATTCGTCCACAGACTCTGCATCAACCCAAAAGTCAGAGCGAGCCTTTCAAGAATCAAGTTGTGCATTCGTCCCGTATGTCATGGAATCCCATCTCTTCAGGCTGTTGTTGCCGTCAATTGATACGAGCCACTCAAATTCCAGATTAGGCTCATCCTCGAGCTTGTAAAAGCATGCAGGACAGGAGTTTAGAAGGCGCCAATTTGGAGTATCACGTTTCAGGGCCATGTGAAGGCGTTGGTCCACACAATGGAGAATTTCCAAATAGACGTTGAAGGCGGAAGATAGTTGTGCGGTGAGGTAAGGCCTATAAGAGATCTGTCAAGTCAAATCTCGTTATAATTTATGTAAATGCCCAAACAAACAGAGTGCTTACACCATGAAGAAAGCAGAGAGCTTTGCACTGTGCTTGAAAACCAAATGAAGGGCACACAGGATGTGTTTGTTGGTAAGCAGCAAGGGTACGGAGAGATATAGCAACAGTTGGATACACCGGTGCACATCCAATGTAGCCGTGATAAATTAAAGTCTCGTTAGGATACATATGGAAGGGTTGTGATTGAAGCGAAGAGCACTTTCGACCTGTTTAAATTAGTACTGACAAGAAGAACGCAGTCAATATACGTACTAAAGATATCGATAAGTTCAATTTCACTCAGTGAAACACGCTGAGTATCATCAGAGGGTGATGCTGCAGGTATCCCATTGCAGTTGGGCATGCCATCCCCCAAGTCGCGGTGGCGATAGTCTAAATAGGCCTCTACCAGGCAGCCCATTTGAATGCTCCAGTGGTTCGTTTCATTTTCGATGCGATCAGTACAAGTGCGTGGGTCTACATAGCGGCTCCATATCCATGTGTGTTTGAGATAGCGCAGGTAGTGAAAAAAAAAGCACTCACCATCCACTGATCCCAGCGATTTCATGGGCAAGTCCCTCGAATGCCTCAAATTCACCTCCAGCATGGCTCATGTCTAACCCTTCCTCACCTGGGGGGCTGTGTACAGTTGTGGCTCGACATCCATACCATGGTCAACGATCATGTTCTCGACCATCTCGCGGTCCTCAGATGACATCTCTATGGGAAAAATTGGTATGGCGGTCATAGAAAGTAAGAAAAAATACTACATACCTTGAACTAGAGCCAGACAACTCATTGCAGCTGCCTCGCGGCGCTGAGATTGCTTGCCAGCTGTCAACACATGTGACTGGCGATGCCGCCCTCTGAAGCTGTGTGAGATGATAGATTTAGAAAGGCCTTTCAGCCTGGAAGTCCCCGTCCCACGCGGCATGATGGACAGCATGATCTAAGGGTGGCGAGAATGAGAAGGGTGGGGTGCAGGTAGGTATAAGACACGAACTAGGAAGATGGTGGTAGCACAGGGTGCTGAAAAAGACGAGGATGGCGTGCAGGTGGGTACAGGGCAGGAACTAGGAAGATGGTGGCAGCGCAGGGTGCTGAAAAAGACGAGGATGGCGGGCAGGTGGGTCCAGGGCAGGAACTAGGAAGATGGTGGCAGCACAGGGTGCTGAAAAAGATGAAGATGGCGTACAGGTAGGTACAGGGCAGGAACTAGGAAGATGGTGGCAGCGCAGGGTGGCGGGAATGAGGAGGATGGTGCGCAGGTGGGTACAGAGCAGGTCTAGTAGGATGGCAGGAGCGCAGGTACCTTGAGGGGACAGTGCAGTGCCTAGGACACTAGCCAGATGCCTGGATTGTTGGCTGTAACTGCCCAGTGACGTCGACGGTGTAGGGTAAGAGCAGAAAGGGCGTGGGAAGCCGCCGTTGATCAAAGTTCAGGTAAATCGGGGAGGTCGCGGGAAGTGCTGTATACGTGGGGAGGGCAGGGGGCGGTCCTTACCCTTTTGAGCGGGTAGGTAGTAGTAGCTGTAAGGTAAAAAGGTATTTGGGGCGATATTTAACGCTGGTGTTGGAGGTTTACTGTAACCAAGCCTAATTAAGCTTGCCGGTACGCGTAAGCACCAAGCTTAATAAGGCTTACTTATTGGGAAGACCAGGTGGCGCAGTCAACTTTGACTCTCCGCAGCTCTCGATCTGTTGACATTGAGTCATCGAACTGGAAGCTTGAAGTTGTGCCAAGGTCTGAAAAATAATGAATACAGCAATATATTATTAAGTATTGTGATTCATCTAATTGTTGTGATTGTACTGGTGATATGGTCCTGAATAAGGTTGACTGTGTGCAACATCATACATCTGTACCTCACCACCAACTCAAAAATCTGCTCTGCTACCAGCTACTGGTGCAAAGAGAGGAATAGGTGGAGGCTGAAGCTGAAGCCCAGTAAAAATCAACAAGAAAGAGGTAGATACGTGTCAATATATATTGAAGAAAATAAAGCCTATAGATCTTATCATCATGTTTTGAGGTCTTTCGAAAAAACAGCACTTTTTGAGATGAGAAAAGATAGAAGTCGAAAGGAAATTGAGATCTTTAGATAGGTCAAAATGGTTTGATTTGGCCCGATTTGGCCCGGAAAATGATATCAATACAGATCTAATGCTATTGAATGAATTGTAGATGGGTATCACTGTGAATTGCTGGTATTAGGCAGGTATTATAATAGTGGGGTCGCTCCTCCCACCATCCCGCCATCCCAACACCAATGCTATCATGCACACATCCACCAGGATCCTGCCGCTAGTCATGGTGCTCATTCTTGCTGCCCTTGCTTTGGAGCGTCAAAGAAGAGCTGACCTGTAGTAGTAGAAGAACCAGTTAGTACAGTGGCCTATAGAACCAGTAGCCATGACGACACTCACCTGTGCTGTGGCCTTTTGTTTGTATTCCTGGTGTACTGCATTAGCGCGGGAGGTTCTCCCCGATGTAGCACATACCTCCTTGATACTGGTAGACAGATTGTTCCAGTAGAGTGCGAATGCAGCCGGTTCACGCTGGTGACCAAGTATCGAGACATCTAAAACTTACAGTGGATTTTTTATCTAGCGAGCGCAGTTGAAGTCAGTGCCAAATTGATGCAATGTGAGGTGCACATTTGACTCACCTCTATGTTGGCCGTTTCCTTAGCGTTTCCTTTGTCGGCACTACATAGCGGCGATAGCGCTGGTGCTGATCCACATTCAGACGGCAGGTGCCACAGAACGTCTGAGCCGCAGGGTGAGTCTGGTCGCCTCATTACCTGCCAGTGACTTATTCAATAAAATAGTACGAAAAATATGGCACTTACCTCATTCTCTTGATCACGAGATTCAATACAGGGAATCTCGGAACTGATGGAGAGTGGTGAAGGTGAGTCTGGGAGGCCACTCGTAGTACTGCCAGTCCACTTTTCTTTTGGTGCTGGTATTGGTTGAACTTCGACATCAGGAGATACAGCTCATTTCAGAGGATTAGAGGGGGAGGTGGCCAATGTATCTGGGATCTTGATGGAGGACTCGTGGGTTTCAGGTGTTGTGTCGATGTCATCAGGAGCGCACCAGCAATAAGTCCAGTAGACGGGATTGTCATTCATGACAATCCATGAAACAAGTCCAGCTCACTACTAGGTCAATCAGGGGAGGTAAGGGATGAGAAGGATGAGAGAGTGAAGGGCTGCTGTAGATTAGTTTGATGATTTGAAAATGAATAGATTTCATGTGCGTGATGCTACCGTGACTGGTTAATGAAGCGTGGAAGACGAGATTGGTTTGAGTGAAGTAGAGAGATTAATCAGTGTGATAGAAAGACCAGTGACCAAGGAAACATAAGGGAGAGGCATGAAGAACTAGCAAGGACCGAGTTCCTCTCCTCAAGGACAACACTGGCAGTCACATTAAGCGAAACAACTGCTGGCCGCCCTGGGCTTGTGGTTGTTGTGTTGTGCTAGTAACACAAGGGAGTGGTCATATCGAGCTGGACTCAGTGTCGCAGTGGGGGCGAATGACATGGTGGGCAGATGAGAAGATGCGAGTGTTTCAACTGTACTAGGACTCCAATAAACATAATGCAAATACGGTCTGGGTTATGGACTTATGCAAAATACACACGTGCATTGAATGCATGCAGGTGCAAAATTTGTCGCAAAGTTGCAAACTACGCAATCGAAGTCCGACATGTTTGCATCTTTTCACCTTTGGAAAGATTCTTTGCGTTTGCACAAAATTAGAGTTTTGCCTTCTCGAATTTCTTAGATTTGTATCCATCTCATTTTGTACTTAGACATCTATTGGCATGTATCTACCTCATTCTTGTCGATTTTCACTGGGGCTGAAGCACCAAATGGTGCATGGGATAATATGGGGGTGTGTACCTACCAGGTGGAGGAAGATCCATGCATGACATTGAGGGTTGCAATGTTGAGGGATAGGCTGTGGTTGATAGTCGCCAAATGGTGCATACATTGAATTTTGATGACTAGGTGACTCAGCATGTCTTGCGGTACTGACTCAGTAGTGTTGTTGTTGGTTTCAACATGCTGCCTGCGAGAATGGGGGGGAATTAACCAAGTTGCCATAGAGGAGATTGAATTTGTTACACACTCTCCTATCCACTGTCACATTTTCATACATGTTGTCAATTCTTCCTCTATAGCATCTTAAAATGACAGGATGACCTTTATTGAAATTGTATTCTGTAATCCTGATGAGGTGATTATTATTAGGGTACTACATGGGTATGGGTATATCTGTGTGGGTGTGGGGTATGGGTGTGTCATATCCCATATTCCAGACCTATGTCCGATGATATTCCCACGCCTTCTGGATGCACATCCGGACCTCCATACCCTTATCCATGACTCCAGACCTCCAGTCCACTATCGGTTCAGATCTGTACAACTTCGCACATCCATATATCCATACCTCCAGACCTCCGCAGCTAAGCCTGCTTCATCCACCCTTGTTCCAATCGGATCTGAGCTCATTCCACCTGGGACTTTACCTTCCCTAGACTACCGGGCTATATCCACGATTCATATCCTAGTTCTGTCTTCACCTAGACCACTGGATCCGCTCATCTAATATCCAGACACCTCATCCAATATCTCCAGACCTCCAGATCTGACCTATACCCATATCTGAAGCTCAAACCTTAAATCAGCATCTATCTCCTTATGGTAATCCCCTTGACTCTTGACTTTGGTTATTGTTTCTGTCTTGCTTATTGATCCTTGTATTCTGTCTCATCTCCAAGTTCATTTACTTATGCTCCGTTCATACTTACCAATATGTTTCCACATGCTTGTACATAGCATTTGTCTTCAGCTTACTGATCCTCTTGGATCTTGTCCAGTATATAAACCTCTGTACAACTCCTGTAGAGTTTCCTTAGTTCGAATATCAACATAGACTTGCTCTCTTTACTCATTCCTATCTCAGACCTTGGTCCATCTTAGTCTGACCTTTCCTTAGGCCTAGGGAAGGATTCCCTAGGCTGAATTTCCAGTCCTCTGGATTTATCCTTCTGTCTACATCCATGCTTAGGGATTGACTCTCTAAGCCAGAGTTTTGCCTTTCTGAGACTTCTGTCTATTTCCTGTCAACTCCATCTCTACTTAAGTGTAGTCTACCTTTGTTTGTTTCTACTCCAGACCTTGTTACAGTCTACGTACGCCCCTATTCATTTTCTCTTCTTACCTTGTATTACGTCATGATCGCCATCATAGCTGTCGCTAGACTTATCTCTTATCATCAGCTGTATTACATCATGATCGCATCATGCCGTCGCTAGGTGATCTATTCTTGTTATCTCTGACTCGTTCTGACTTCATTGTACCAGCCCTAAAGCAGTTATCACTCACTATATAAACCCACTTTGTACTATGTATGTAGTTCTTTACTTTAATCTTACTAGGTTTTACCTGGAACTTTCTTTGCTTAAGACCTCCAATCTTAAGTCGTCTGAAACTGATTCAAGTCAAGGACACTCTCCTTGCCTTGTCTTACGAACTCTTGCATACGTGAGAGTCTTGACTCGACCTTAGCCAAATACTCGTATTGAGTAACTATTGTTGGAACTATCCTAGTTCGTAACAAAAGATTCAAGTACCCTTCGAACCTCTCCACCATGAGAGGCCCAGATTGCTGATCAGCAAAGACGACCACTTGGGTCAGAAAGTATTGGTGGGAACGCGATCCTAACGAACCCGATTCCCCAGAAGAGTATCACGAGGCCGCCGGTCCGGATACAGAAGATAACAGAGAGAGACGCACACCATCCCCTGTAGAAGAACCAGACGACAGAGAGAGACGCACACCGTCTCCTGTAACCACAGAACCAGATAACCAATCCTTGACTTCATCCGACGAATTCCCAGTAGAACAACCACCCTG